CCGAGGCCGGTGTCGGCGCACGGCCGGAGCTGCGCGTCAAGGGGGGGTACTGTCACGGATTCAGCCGAGGCTGCCCCTCCTCCTTGCTTGGGCAGGCTTCGGCGTTCGTCGTCACCGGAGTACTAGCTGCCACCGATCTATGTTTCTGTGTTCTACTTGTTTTGTCTTTATTGTACACACCTGGTTCCCATTATGTTCATGATTTGTTCCCTATTTAACCCTCTGGCTCCTACTGTGTTCTGTGCGTGTTTGTTCTATGTTTGGTGTCATCGACTGGTGAGCGGTATTTGTCCTCCCTGCGTGGAGATTATGTTAATTTATTTTCACAAGTAAAGTACGTTGTGTACTAGCTCTGTGTCCTGCGCCTGACTCCGTCCTACTGCTACACACTGACGCCTGACATGTCTATAATTGGGGGGCCACCATTAGAATTAAATAGAGCAGCAATATACAGTAGTATGTATCTATGGAGGTGACTTACTAGAACATATGACAGCGGTACTTTGCCAGATGACTGTAGGCATCGTTTATGTCCCTCATACAGTTGAAGTCGTAAGTTTACATACACCTTAGCCAAATACATTTAAACTCTATGTTTTTCACAATTCCTGACATTTAATCCTAGTAACAATTTCCCTGTTTTAGGTCAGTTAGTATCACCACTTTATTTTAAGAATGTGAAATGTCAGAATAATAGTAGAGAGAATGATTTATTTCAGCTTTTATTTCTTTCATCACATTCCCAGTGGGTCAGAAGTTTACATACACTCAATTAGTATTTGGTAGCATTGCCTTTAAATTGTTTAACTTGGGTCAAATGTTTCGTGTAGCCTTCCACAAGCTTCCCACAATACATTTTGGCCCATTCCTCCTGACAGAGCTGGTGTAACTGAGTCAGGTTTGTAGGCCTCCTTGCTCGCACACGCTTTTTCAGTTCTGCCCACAAATGTTCTATAGGATTGAGGTCAGGGCTTTGTGATGGCCACTCCAATACCTTGACTTTGTTGTCCTTAAGCCATTTTGCCACAACTTTGGAAGTATGCTTGGGGTCATTGTTAATTTGGAAGACCCATTTGTGACCAAGCTTTAACTTCCTGACTGATGTCTTGAGATGTTGCTTCAATATATCCACATAATTTTCCTTCCTCATGATGCCATCTATTTTGTGAAGTGCATCAGTCCCTCCTGCAGCAAAGCACCCCCACAGCATGATTCTACCACCCCCGTGCTTCACGGTTGGGATGGTGTTCTTCGGCTTGCAAGCAACCCCCTTTTTCCTCCAAACATAACGATGGTCATTATGGCCAAACAGTTCTATTTTTGTTTCATCAGACCAGAGGACATTTCTCCAAAAAGTACAATATTTGTCCCCATGTATAGTTGCAAACCGTAGTCTGGCTTTTTTATGGCGGTTTTGGAGCAGTGGCTTCTTCCTTGCTGAGCAGCCTTTCAGGTTATGTTGATATAGGACTCGTTTTACTGTGGATATAAATACTTTTGTACCTGTTTCCTCCAGCATCTTCACAACGTCCTTTGCTGTTGTTCTGGGATTGATTTGCACTTTTCGCACCAAAGTACGTTCATCTCTAGGAGACCGAACGCGTCTCCTTGCTGAGCGGTATGACGGCTGCGTGGTCCCATGGTGTTTATACTTGCGTACTATTGTTTGTACAGATGAACGTGGTACCTTCAGGCGTTTGTAAATTGCTCCCAAGGATGAACCAGACTTGTGGAGGTCTACAATATTTTTTCTTAGGTCTTGGCTGATTTCCATTGATTTTCCCATGATGTCAAGCAAATATTAGCCTATCAGAAGCTTCTAAAGCCATGACATCATTTTCTGGAATTTTCCAAGCTGTTTAAAGGCACAGTCAACTTAGTGTATGTAAACTTCTGACCCACTGGAATTGTGATACAGTGAATTATAAGTGAAATAATCTGTCTGTAAACAATTGTTGTAAAAATTACTTGTGTCATACACAAAGTAGATGTCCTAACCGACTTGCCAAAACTATAGTTTGTTAACAAGACATTTATGGAGTGGTTGAAAAACTAGTTTTAATGACTCCAACCTAAGTGTATGTCAACTTCTGAACTTCAGCTGTATCTCTGTCACTCCACAACCGCTCCCCCATAGCACTGGCACTGGGCCTGGGGATAGGAGAGATACACACGTTATTGGGACCAACAGACTCTGCTTAGTTATGAATCATAGCTAAGACCCTGGGGTCTGTCCATGTTCCAGACACTTTACATACATCCACCTGTAACTGTGAAGACTCCCAGGGCCTTTTAATTGATCTGTAATTAAGTCTATTACTTCTTGTAGGTCTGAAAATAAATTGGCAACGAAAAAGGCCATTAGCTTTCAGAATTCTTATTCTGCTATGCTCACAAGTATGTCTTGATAATTCATTCCCAAATTGAAATAAAATCAAATGAGCTGATCTCGATCCATGATGATGATGATTGTTGGTTTGCTGCTTTTGGAGTGAGGGGAGTGGATCTCATTCTGCCAGGAAGTGAGGTTGGACAGGGGTACCACCAGTGGGAAGAAAAGGTTGAGGAAGGAGATGGTCTGGATGGTCTTTGCAAGGCCCTTTTCATCAGCCAGAACACAACTACTCCCCCTGGGGATAAGAGATGGAGGAGAATAGTTTAATAACTTTAACCAATAATATAATGTAGTGTCGAGTAAATGTTGCTAGTTATTGCTGATAAACAAAGGAGTCCGCTTATACTTAACTTTGATCATAAGGTTTATTCATATCACAAGATTTCAGCATAAGTTTACGGGTGTCATGATCCCCCCGGAGAGCAGTGTCCTCCAAATTACAATGTCTGCTCTAACCTCTTCTTCGTTTAAACCCAGTATATATAATCTTCCCCAAAATATGGGTGGCTCCCTCTACTGTCCAATCCCCTGTCTACAACACACACTTCCTCTGTTCTATCTGGGGTGTCACACTAAAAACGGCTCTCTTTGAACCTAAATAAACATCCCCTCAGGTTCCACTTGAAAACCATTAGCAAAGTCATAATCTTAATACACTACAGTAATAACATACTAAAATCACTGTAGCCTATTTATGTTTTATAGACACTGACAGAGAGACAGGCAGGCAGACAGTCAAGTAGACAAAGAGAAAGGTATACAGCCAGCCAGACAGACATAAAAAAGTAACCCAGTCAATAATATAGCCTACTGCCATTAGTTATTGGCTGCTATACATGCCCCATTCATTGCCCAGTCTACTACTCTTCCTATAGCCTAGCTGGATGATATTAATTAAAAACAAGGTTGCATTAGTACATCTTGTCAATGTGGACAGTAAAAGCAAGACACAAGAAACTAGCTGGGTTACCCCTCCAAAATAGCAATTTAGCTAACGATGTAACTACGGTAGTTAGCCTTGTTTACTTAGCTAATCAAGCTAACATTAGCTAATGTTGGTGATGATGTCGGTCTGAAATATATAAGAACCTAACATTAATATACTGCCTTCGGGACCTACATTATTCAATGGATAACGTTAGCTAGATGGCTAAAGTTCAATAATAGCCAACAATCTTACCTGGGAAAGGATAACATCTGTTGCAATTGTACTGGCCCCACCTTCCATTTAGCTAGCCAATCAATGACATTGTAACAAAAAGCAGTGCTATGATTTTAAAAATATGAAATATAGCTAGCTCTCTCTCTCTTGCTTCTTCATTTTTTAAGAAATTATTTTTTCAAAACTGTTCAACTATTGTCTTTCTCTCTCTTTGAGTCAACTACTCACCACATTTTACGCACTGCAGTGCTAGCCAGCTGTACCTTATGCTTTCAGTACTAGATTAATTCTCTGATCCTTTGATTGGGTGGACAGCATATCAGTTCATGCTGCAAGCGCTCTGATAGGTTGGAGGACATCCTTCGGAAGTTGTCATAATTACTGTGTAAGTCTATGGAAAAGGGTGAGAACCAAGAGCCTCCTAGGTTTTGTATTGAAGTCAATGTACCCAGAGGAGGACGGAAACTAGCTGTCCTCCGGCTACGCTATGGTGCTACCCTACAGAGTGCTGTTGAGGCTACTGTAGACCATTGCAAAACAGTGTGTTTTAATCAATTATTTGGTGACGTGAATATATTTAGTATAGTTTTATCTAAAAAGGATAACTTTTATTATTTTTTCGCTATTTTTATTTTTCTGAAATTCACTAAGGAGGATGGTCCTCCCCTTCCTCCTCTGAGGAGCCTCCACTGGTTGTCACCTATATTGCAGAATGTTTGTATACATAGCCTGGGGAAGGGGGGGGCAGAGTTTAAAAAAAATCGTGCCTGCACTACAGACTGCTATATCGGTCCGCTAATACAGGACTAGTAAAGGCCCAGTGCACTACTTTTGTAACCCAAAAAATCTCTTTTTTTTTCTGATTTTTCAGAGGGTGCTGCACCTACTTACTGTGGCTATGTTCATATAGAAAAGTAGTGTAGAACAGATATAGTTCACTATGAAGTAGAATAGGGAGTTGTGTCTGTTCTACAACTTACAGTGCATTCGGAAAGTATTCAGACCCCTTGACTTTTTCCACATTTTGTTACATTACACCCTTATTCTAAAATGTATTTACTTAATGTTTTTCCTCATCAATCTACACACAATACCCCATAATGACAAAACAACTTAAATACCTTATTTACACATTGCAATTCAATCTGCAACGCTCTAACGTTGCATCCCAAAAAGCACTAGTTTCCTACCATTTGGGCGTAGAGCCTTCTGATAGTGCGTAGCTAATGCGCAATGCTGCACCGTCCCCAAAAGCGCATCTTTGTCAGTGCTGCACGGATCAGATGAGTTCCTGCTTTTGCGGAAGCGAAAAGGCACGGAAGCCAGCGCCAGAGAGCTTGCAAGGGAGGAGTAAAATACACCATAAAATTTACAGAAAAAAATTAACTGAAATACACACAGCTTTCTCTTTTGCCACCCATCTACCGAAAGCCTGCCGAGGAGATGGGGGACAAGGCGGGCACCAGGTAAGGATTCATTCCCCCGCAATCTCGTATTTTCTACTGCCTTGTCAGTGTGTGTGTGTGTGTGTGTGTGTGTGTGTGTGTGTGTGTGTGTGTGTAGGCAAGAGAACAGCGAGCTAGCAACGCTAGCATCACTTGAGACCAGCCTGTTCCCCTTGCATCAACATCAGATTGGTCCGTACTTACCAAGGCAAACATGGCAACTAGCTATCTAATTAAACATTAGAGACTATTTAGCCAAAACGACCATAGTCGTAGGATTTCGATAGCAGTATTTGTGTTTTTATTAGCCAGACCCATATGTTTCCTAGCTAGCTAACGTTAGCAGAGGTAGTTAGCTAGCTAGAACTATTCGGGAAGAAGAGTTCGCAATCCACCTTAATATCCCTGTTTTACCTACACCCTGATGGCGATAACATAATTTCTAGTTTAACTAGATAAGTAGCTAGTTCCACTTCACTTGCAACAGTTTTAGTAAGCATGTTCTAGCTAGCTGCAGGGTGAGGTAAACTGTGTGTGTGGGTTTAGATACAACTCGCATCCAACAACTAGCTAGATCAAAATTAACGAATGAGCTTGATGTGCTGTTTTGATTCCTGGCTAATTAGCTATCTTGTGTTATCTGTTTATTTGGCCCTCAGTGTCGTGTATTTGACGTACATTTTACGCAATATCGCCCAGTGTTTTTTCATGCATAGATAAATATCCTGCGTGGAAACAACCAAGCACAACGTCTGTCCAGCTATTGATATCATGTGCCATATACACGTGAATACTGTATATAGGCATGTTGTATAGCCACTGTTGTGTGCTGTCCGTATCAGGCCAGGGCAGTTTACGATGCAGCTATTCATACACTTGCCGGCCTAACACCTTTGCACTTGGTAATCAGCTGCTTGCATCTGCATCAGTATGTACAGTCTGACTCTGAGCAGCTGTACTTCTCCACTAGGTTATTCTGGATCGATGTCCTCTGCAAGTGACTGTAAATGTGGAGAATGTGCAGCATGGTTCTCTACTGACATTCATTGATTTTATTCCTTGGTTATTGTGCAGCGGACCGGGTCACTTTCATGTAGAAGGTTTGAAATAAATGGTCAGATTGGTGTTTAGGTTCAGTGTTTTGGGATTTAGGGTCAAGGTCAGGTTAATAGGTGTTTGTCTTGTGGTCTATGAAGCGTCAGCAGCAGTGATGGCGACCCCCTGATGGATGCTAGGGAGCAAGTGGCGTGTTTGAGGGGTCAAGGGTTTGGCTGATAACTAGTGAGGAGGTATAAACTGTAGCACTGGCTCGTAAATGAAGAGACAGCAGAGCTCTAGGCCTGTGAGATTCAAACTGAGCATGTGCGAGAAGATAAGACACCTTCACCCTGGGCCTGTGCTCTGGAGACATGCACCATGCCCCGTGTCCACTACACAGACTCACTCTAGTTAAATTATATCCCAAGTCAAACTTACTACTATATACTGTTAGTGTGCTTATGTTCTCCACCACTAGTGGGAAAGAGTAAAGTATTCACCTTCCTCCCCTAGTCCTGCTCAGAAATGGACTAGTAGTCAGTGGTTCCTCTTCATTCCCCTATTGTTAATGAGTTGTTGACTTGTCCTTATCAGTCAGTGGCAGTCACTGGGATGAGGTTCTATGCAAAGATAGCCTAGATATCCCATTTATGACTGCGGACTATAGTCGTTCAATGCTCGCCAGTTAATATCCTCTTTCCTCCTATATGCACGCACACACTGTGTTACATCTCGCCACATTCCATGTTTGGGTACCTAGGTTAGGTATGCATAGGGTGTGTGTAGGCCTAGTCTGTGATGATGGAAGTGCTCTCTGAGAATTTAGTTCAGAAACTATTGTTGATCTGCATGACAAGGATGCTTGTGTCATAACAGAAAAAATGTTCTGCATGCATGCTGCAGTAGGCGTAATGAGTACACACAGTATGTATCAATACTCCTTTGTAGATATTCCTCGTGAAATGAGGAAGGAGTGTTTTTTTCCTGTTCTGTTTGTGGCAGTCAGCAGCAGGAAATGGCCTCTATTTGCTGGGAGAGGGTTTCCTGTCCAGATGCAGGATATTGGGTCTAACCCTACACCTCTGGGACATAATAGAGGACAAACTGGACGAACACCAGGGGCGTATTCATTATGCCGATTCTGTTACAAAATGTTTCTTAAACAGAAGCAAACGAAACGAGGAGAGGCCTACCTGAATTTGTTCAATATAAACTCTAAATTTAGTTTCAAAACGTTACATTTTGCAACTGTTTGGACTAATGATTACACCCCATACTTTATATCTTCCTACTTGATCAAATCTCTCTTTCTTGCTTTCTCTCTCACTTTCTATCTCCCGTGTCCTTTTGTCAGAGTCTTCAAGAAGTCAAGCCCCAACTGCAAGGTAAAGGACATGAGTATTGCATTACTAGTTGTATCCTTTGATGGTTTATGTTATTAATTGTGACACGTTCACATTTGTCTAAGTTCCTCTACTTTCCTCCCTCCTCCTTTCTGCAGGTCACAGTATACCTGGGAAAGAGAGACTTTGTGGATCACCTTGACCAGGTGGACCCAGTCGGTAAGTGCTGAACGATCAATGAGTTTACTGGTTAGAGCATCATGGGAATCAGAGAATCTCTCATAAAACTGCCTAATTTTATTGTTCGTAAACACTGTGTTTCAAACAATGAATTCCCCTCTTGACATTTTCCTTTCTCACAGATGGTGTGATCCTAGTGGACCCTGAGTACCTGAAAGACAGGAAAGGTCTTCCTCATTCTCTACACTGTTTTGTCTCCTCTATTTTTTGCCATTTTATATCAACCTCTTCTGATGTTCAAACCCCTCCTCCTCCTACCCAGTGTTTGTGACTCTGACGTGTGCATTCCGCTATGGCCGTGAGGACCTGGACGTGCTGGGCCTGTCCTTCCGGAAGGATCTGTACATCTCCACCTTCCAGGCCTTCCCTCCAATCGCAGGGGAACACAAAGCCAACAGCCGCCTGCAGGAGAGACTACTGAAGAAACTGGGCCAGCAGGCACACCCCTTCTACTTCTCTGTGAGTCAAGAAGACACACACATGAACATACATATACTTTGAGTCTGTAAAATAATACAATACAATATGGCAAATTTGTGTCTGTCTCTCAGATTCCCCAGAACCTGCCGTGCTCAGTCACCTTACAGCCAGGACCAGAAGACACGGGGAAGGTTCAGCATCACTTCATGCAAACTTACACATTATATGACGGATATCTAAACGTAGCAATTTCCATACCTGTAGAGTCAACAATACACACCCACATGAAACTAATAATGCCCATTTTATAATTTATGTCCCTGTCTCTCCTCCTCTCCTTTCTTCCACCTTTCTCTCTTTAGGCATGTGGGGTAGACTTTGAGATCAGAGCGTTCTGTGCCAAATCAATAGAGGAGAAGATTCACAAACGGTACGAAAGCCATTTCACTCTGTTGTGTGTCTTCTGCAGCAGCTTTTTTAGGGTATGTAATCCTTGAAAGCATGTGATATGCATGTCTGTGCATTTCTCTGTGTGTTTTTAGTTAGTCAGCAAAGTTGGTGATCTGTAAAGTATAACGTGTGTGTTGTGTAGGAACTCTGTGCGGCTAGTGATCCGTAAGGTGCAGTATGCCCCAGAGAAGCCTGGGCCTCAGCCCATGGTGGAGACCACACGGAGCTTCCTCATGTCGGACCGCTCACTACACCTGGAAGCCTCTCTGGATAAAGAGCTCTACTACCATGGAGAACCCATCAGCGTGAATGTTCACGTCACCAACAACTCCACCAAGACTGTCAAAAGAGTCAAAATCTCAGGTACCTGTCTTTAATCAAAGTTTTATCAATTATGGTTTTTTATGACTCTAGGCTCTTCATTCTTCTCCCCTCTGTTTTCTTTTGTATGTGTGTGGTTAACTTTTTATTTCCCTCTCTCTCCAGTGCGACAGTATGCTGATATCTGTCTGTTCAGTACGGCTCAGTACAAGTGTCCAGTGGCTCAGGTGGAGGCAGAGTGAGTATTTTACCTGACTCTTATACCTATATCCCTCCTCAGTTCAAATCAAATCAAATTTTATTGGCCACATGCGCCGAATACAACAGGTGCAGACATTACAGTGAAATGCTTACTTACAGCCCTTAACCAACAGTGCATTTATTTTTAACAAAAAAGTAAAAATAAAACAACAACAAAAAAAGTGTTGAGAAAAAAAGAGCAGAAGTAAAATAAAATAACAGTAGGGAGGCTATATATACAGGGGGGTACCGGTGCAGAGTCAATGTGCGAGGGCACCAGCTAGTTGAGGTAGTGTAAGTAATATGTACATGTGGGTAGAGTTAAAGTGACTATGCATAAATAATTAACAGAGTAGCAGCAGCGTAAAAGGATGGGGTGGGGGGGCAGTGCAAATAGTCCAGGTAGCCATGATTAGCTGTTCAGGAGTCTTATGGCTTGGGGGTAGAAGCTGTTGAGAAGTCTTTTGGACCTAGACTTGGCACTCCGGTACCGCTTGCCGTGCGGTATCAGAGAGAACAGTCTATGACTAGGGTGGCTGGAGTCTTTGACAATTTTGAGGGCCTTCCTCTGACACCGCCTGGTATAGAGGTCCTGGATGGCAGGAAGCTTGGCCCCAGTGATGTACTAGGCCGTACGCACTACCCTCTGTAGTGCCTTGCGGTCGGAGGCCAAGCAGTTGCCATACCAGGCGGTGATGCAACCAGTCAGGATGCTCTCGATGGTGCAGCTATAGAATTTTTTGAGGATCTGAGGACCCATGCCAAATCTTTTCAGTCTCCTGAGGGGGAATAGGCTTTGTCGTGCCCTCTTCACGACTGTCTTGGTGTGTTTGGACCATGATAGTTCGTTGGTGATGTGGACACCAAGGAACTTGAAGCTCTCAACCTGTTCCACTACAGCCCCGTCGATGAGAATGGGGGCGTGCTCAGTCCTCTTTTTTTCCCTGTAGTCCACAATCATCTCCTTTGTCTTGGTCACGTTGAGGGAGAGGTTGTTATCCTGGCACCACACGGCCAGGTCTCTGACCTCCTCCCTATAGGATGTCTTGTCGGTGATCAGGCCTACCACTGTTGTGTCGTCGGCAAACTTAATGATGGTGTTGGAGTCGTGCCTGGCCATGCAGTCATGGGTGAACAGGGAGTACAGGAGGGGACTGAGCACGCACCCCTGAGGGGCCCCCGTGTTGAGGATCAGTGTGGCAGATGTGTTGTTACCTACCCTTACCACCTGGGGGCGGCCCGTCAGGAAGTCCAGGATCCAGTTGCAGAGGGAGGTGTTTAGTCCCAGGATCCTTAGCTTAGTGATGAGCTTTGAGGGCACTATGGTGTTGAATGCTGAGCTGTAGTCAATGAATAGCATTCTCACGTAGGTGTTCCTCTTGTCCAGGTGGGAAAGGGCAGTGTGGAGTGCAATAGAGATTGCATCATCTGTGGATCTGTTGGGGCGGTATGCAAATTGGAGTGGGTCTAGGGTTTCTGGGATAATGCTGTTGATGTGAGCAATGACCAGCCTTTCAAAGCACTTCATGGCTACAGACGTCAGTGCTACGGGTCGGTAGTCATTTAGGCAGGTTATCTTAGAGTCCTTGGGCACGGGGACTATGGTGGTCTGCTTGAAACATGTTGGTATTACAGACTCAGTCAGGGACATGTTGAAAATGTCAGTGAAGACACTTGCCAGTTGGTCAGCACATGCTCGGAGTACACGTCCTGGTAATCCGTCTGGCCCTGCGGCCTTGTGAATGTTGACCTGCTTAAAAGTCTTACTCACATCGGCTACGGAGAGCGTGATCACATAGTCATCCGGAACAGCTGGTGCTCTCATGCATGCTTCAGTGTTGCTTGCCTCGAAGCGAGCATAGAAGTGGTTTAGCTCGTCTGGAAGTCTTGTGTCACTGGGCAGCTCGCGGCTGTGCTTCCCTTTGTAGTCTGTAATAGTTTTCAAGCCCTGCCACATCCGACGAGCGTCAGAGCCAGTGTAGTACGATTCAATCTTAGTCCTGTATTGACTCTTTGCCTGTTTGATGGTTCGTCGGAGGGCATAGCGGGATTTCTTATAAGCGTCCGGGTTAGAGTCCCGCTCCTTGAAAGCGGCAGCTCTACCCTTTAGCTCACTGCGGATGTTTCCTGTAATCCATGGCTTCTGGTTGGGGTATGTACGTACGGTCACTGTGGGGACGACATCATCAATGCACTTATTGATGAAGCCAGTGACTGATGTGGTGTACTCCTCAATGCTATCTGAAGAATCCCGGAACATGTTCCAGTCTGTGCTAGCAAAACAGTCCTGTAGCTTAGCATCTGCGTCATCTGACCACTTTTTTATTAACCGAGTCACTGGTGCTTCCTGCTTTAGTTTTTGCTTATAAGCAGGAATCAGGAGGATAGAGTTATGGTCAGATTTGCCAAATGGAGGGCGAGGGAGAGCTTTGTATGCGTCTCTGTGTGAGACGTAAAGGTGGTCTAGAGTTTTTTTTCCTCTGGTTGCACATTTAACATGCTGGTAGAAATTAGGTAGAACGGATTTAAGTTTCCCTGCATTAAAGTCCCCGGCCACTAGGAGCGCTGCATCTGGATGAGCGTTTTCCTGTTGACTTATGGCCTTATACAGCTCATTCAGTGCAATCTTAATGTCAGCATTGGTTTGTGGTGGTAAATAGACAGCTATGAAAAATATAGATGAAAACTCTCTTGGTAAATAGTGCGGTCTACAGCTTATCATAAGATACTCTACCTCAGGCGAGCAAAACCTCGAGACTTCCTTTATTTCCCCTTTGCCTGTTTCCTCTTTTATACATCACACCTAGGGCTGTTGACCGTATTACCGCCACACTGGCAGTCATGAGTCATGACCACAGTAGAATTCTACGTTGAGTCAAGGTAATCTCCTCTTATGCACACTGGACATGCAATAGTAGTAGCCTACCCAACTCGCTAACGATCATCAGAGTTACATATGGGGTAAAAAAACATAAAGTCAAAAATACAACAGAAAATATATATACAGTGTGTGCAAATGTAGCAAGTTATGGAGGTAAGGCAATAAATAGGCTATAGTGCAGAATAATTACAATAGTATTAACACTGGAATGCTAGATGTGCAAGAGATTATGTGCAAATAGAGATACTGGGGTGCAAAAGAGCAAAATAAATAACAATATAGGGATGAGGTAGTTGGGTGGGCTAATTTCAGATGGGCTGTGTACAGGTGCAGTGATCGGTAAGGTGCTCTGACAACTGATGCTTAAAGTTATTGAGGGAGATAAGAGTCTCCAGCTTCAGAGATTTTTCAATTCGTTCCAGTCATTGGCAGCAGAGAACTGGAAGGAATGGCGGCCAAAGGAGGTGTTGGCTTTGGGAATGACCAGTGAGATATACCTGCTGGAGCGCAGACTACGGGTGGGTGCTGCTATGGTGACCAATGAGCTAAGATAAGGCGGGGATTTGCCTAGCAGTGATTTATAGATGGCCTGGAGCCAGTGGGTTTGACGACGAACATGTAGTGAGGACCAGCCAACAAGAGCATACAGGTCACAGTGGTGGGTAGTGTATGGGGCTTTGGAGACAAAACGGATGGCACTGTGATAGACTACATCCAATTTGCTGAGTAGAGTGTTGGAGGCTATTTTGTAAATGACATCGCCGAAGTCAAGGATCGGTAGGATAGTCAGTTTTACGAGGGCATGTTTGGCAGCATGAGTGAAGGAGGCTTTGTTGCGAAATAGGAAGCCGATTCTAGATTTAACTTTGGATTGGAGATTCTTTATGTGAGTCTGGAAGTTGAGTTTACAGTCTAACCAGACACCTAGGTATTTGTAGTTGTCCACATACTCTAGGTCAGACCCGTCGAGAGTGGTGATTCTAGTCGGGTGGGCGGGTGCCAGCAGCGTTCGATTGAAAAGCATGCATTTAGTTTTACTAGTGTTTAAGAGCAGTTGGAGGCTACTGAAGGATTGTTGTATGGCATTGAAGCTCGTTTGGAGGTTTGTTAACACAGTGTCCAATGAAGGGCCAGATGTATACAAAATGGTGTCGTCTGCGTAGAGGTGGATCTGAGAGTCACCAGCAGCAAGAGCGACATCATTGATATACACGGAGAAAAGTGTCGGCCCAAGAATTGAACCCTGTGGCACCCCCATAGAGACTGCCATAGGTCCAGACAACAGGCCCTCCGATTTGACACACTGAACTCTATCTGAGAAGTAGTTGGTGAACCAGGCGAGGCAGTCATTTGAGAAACCAAGGCTATTTAGTCTGCCAATAAGAATGCGGTGGTTGACAGAGTCGAAAGCCTTGGCCAGGTCGATGAAGACGGCTGCACAGTACTGTCTATTATCAATCGCGGTTATAATATCGTTTATGACCTTGAGCGTGGCTGAAGTGCACCCGTGACCAGCTCGGAAACCGGATTGCATAGCGGAGAAGGTACGGTGGTATTCGAAATGGTCGGTGATCTGTTTGTTAACTTGGCTTTCAAATACTTTCGAAAGGCAGGGCAGGATGGATATAGGTCTGTAGCAGTTTGGATCTAGAGTGTCACCCCCTTTGAAGAGGGGGATGACCGCGGCAGCTTTCCAATCTCTGGGGATCTCAAACGTTATGAAAGAGAGGTTGAACAGACTAGTAATAGGGGTTGCGACAATTTCGGCGGCTAGTTTTAGAAAGAAAGGGTCCAGATTGTCTAGCCCAGCTGATTTGTAGGGGTCCAGATTTTGCAGCGCTTTCAAAACATCAGCTGTCTGAATTTGTGTGAAGGAGAAGCGGGGGGGGCATGGGCAAGTTGCAGCAGAGGGTGCAGAGTTGGTGGCCGGGTTAGTGGTAGCCAGATGGAAAGCATGGCCAGCTGTAGCAAAATGCTTGTTGAAATTCTAGATTATTGTAGATTTATCGGTGGTGATAGTGTTTCCTAGCCTCAGTGCAGTGGGCAGCTGGGAGGAAGTGCTCTTATTCTCCATGGACTTTACAGTGTCCCAAAACTTTTTGGAGTTAGTGCTACAGGATGCAAATTTCTGTTTGAAAAAGTTAGCCTTTGCTTTCCTGACTGCTTGTGTATATTGGTTCCTAACTTCCCTGAAAAGTTGCATATCGCGGGGGCTATTTGATGCTAATGCTGTACGCCACAGGATGTTTTTGTGCTGGTCAAGGGCAGTCAAGTCTGAGGAGAACCAGGGGCTATATCGGTTCTTAGTTCTGTATTTTTTGAATGGGGCATGTTTATTTAAGATTGAGAGGAAATTACTTTTAAGGAACAACCAGGCATCCTCTACTGACGGAATGAGATCTATATCCATCCAGGATACCTGGGCCAGGTCAATTAGGAAGGCATGCTCGCTAAAGTGTTTTATTGTCTATTGTCCCTCTAACCCAGTGGTTCCCAACCAGGGGTACTAGGACCCCTGGGGGTACTTGGCCTATCCACAGGGGGTACTGGAAGACTCATGAGACCATAGGTCTTACTGGTAAAATCCACATGAGGGGGTACTCCGGGCAGAGCAAAATTAAATTGGTGGTACAGTAACCAAAAAAGGTTGGAAACCACTGCTCTAACCACTCTGACATCAATGCAAATGCAATCGAAAATCACATCAAATACTTATCAAAACAGTATATTTTTTTAAAACGTACCTCACTGTGATTGATCAATTTGAAGAAAGAAGTTAAACAATAGGTTGAAACTGAGTGGAAAACATGGTCGCTGTGGATGTTGTTTCAAAGCCTAACACAACAAAATGGACAGAGATTTCTAAGGTGATGATAAATTCAAAGCACCATATGCATATTAGAGTTTATGCATAAGCCTATATATGAGCCCAAGCCCCCCAAAAAACCCTGAATTAAAATAATGATTGTGCCATTAAATAGCCAATTGCATGGCAGAAAAACATATCTTTGGTACATAATTGGTCTAGGCTAAATTAAACAAATTCAGATTTAGCCTAAAATTATAGTGAATTTGTTTTAGATTTTGAATAGCGTTTATTTTTGTATTTATTTTTTCATACTGGCCCCCTGTGGGAAACGAACCTACATCCCTGCCGGCCAAACCCTCCCCTACCTTGGACGACGCTGGACCAATTGTGCGCCGCCCATCTCCTCCTCTCATTCATTCCTTTCTCCAGCGCGCAGAGAGAGGGGTGCTGTTAACAGTTTAATTAAATATGTTTCGTTGTGAAAACATGTTACTATCGGTGTTCCCGAACAGATTTCACTTGGTTTCCCAAATTAAGCATTGGGTATCTGCAGGAACAGGGTTGGAGAGCCCATGGCATACAGAGTTTGGACTGAATATCACCTGTGGCGCTGCGAAATTACCGGAGTAGCCTACCCAACATGAGTGAAAAACGTACCCGCAGCAAAGTGGCCTCCATTCGCTATTCCAGTGCATATGGATGACATGTCTTTTTTACTTGCTCATTTGATAATGGGCCATTATAAATCGAAACTAATTTTACATATTAGTAAAGACAAGTTAAAATTGAGATTGGTGGAAAAATGATCACTTGACGAGAGAACAGCTTGTGCAGCCTGAGGCAAGGAGCAAAGCGCAAGCATTTTTTTGTTGCGACTTTCTCAAATCATCAATAGCCTATAGTCGCATCATGCAGCCCATTTCTTTTGATTTCTAAGTCATTCTAAAGTTAATATCATTCACAACTAAAGTTGCCAAATAACTCTAAATCTAGCGCGTAGGACCTGTTTCAAATGATCACTTTTACGCTCAACATACAGTGCCCTCCACAATTATTGGCACCCCTGTTTAAGATGTGGTCGAGGACTTCCAAAAATTCTCATTTTTTTTAAACAACATAGAACCCAAATGCAAAAAAAGAGAAAAATCCAACCTTTTATTTAAGTACGTTACTTTGGTATAAAAAAAAAAATCACACATTTAGAAAAAAATTAACTTGAAATCATGTGTCCCACAATTATTGGCACCCCTGATGTTAATACTTTGTACAACCCCCTTTTGTCAACAAGACAGCACTTAATCTCCTCCTATAACATTTCACAAGATTGGAGAACACAGAGAGAGGGATCTTTGACCATTCTTCTTTGCACAATCTTTCTAGATCATCCAGTGTCCTGGGTCCTCTCTTATGCACTCTCCTCTTTAGCTCGCACCACAGGTTTTCGATTGGGTTGAGGTCTGGGGACTGAGATGGCCATGGGAGGACCTTGAGTTTGTGACTGCTGAACCATTTTTGTGTAGATTTTGCCACATGTTTTGGATCATTATCCTGCTGAAAGACCCAATGACGACCCATCTTCAGCTTTCTGGCAGAGGCCATCAGGTTTTTATTTAAAATGTCCTGGTAGTTCAAAGCGTTCATAATGCCATGCACCCTAACAAGGTTCCCAGGGCCTTTGGAAGAGAAACAGGCCCACAGCATCACAGATCCTCCACCATACTTCACGGTGGGCATGAGGTGCTTTTCGGCATACTCATCTTTTGTTTTACGCCAGACCCACTTAGTGTTTGTTGCCAAAAAGCTCAATCTTAGTCTCATCTGACCAAAGCACACGATCCCAGTTGAAGTCCCAGTGCCGCTTAGCAAACTCCAGACGTTTACGTTTGTGAGTGTTAGTGAGAAAAGGCTTTTTCCTTGCATGCCTCCCAAACAGCTTGTTGGCATGTAGAGAGCGTCTGATGGTTGTTTTGGAGACTTTGTGACCCCAAGATGCCACTCTTTGATGCAATTCTGTGACAGTGAGCTTAGGACTTTTTTTTACTTCTCTTACCATCCTCCTCACTGTGCGTTGTGGCAAGATAAACTTGGGACCTCTTCCAGCCTTGTTTGTCACTGTTCCAGTTGTTTTAAACTTCTTAATGATTCCTCTGACTGTAGATACGGGCAAGTTAAGGCGAGTGGCTATTTTCTTGTAGCCATTGCCTGACTTATGAAGGTCGACACAAATCTGCCTTACTTGAATGGTGTGTTCTCTTGTCTTTGCCATGTTGACAAATGGGTAAGAGAATTAGGCCTCTGTGTCACGTCATATTTATACCCCAGGGAAACAGGAAGTCATGAATTACTAATTAAAAGTTCCTAGATACCCTGACCAACTTTAGCAACTACAGAAAAATATATTTTAAAAAAAATCAATAAAAATTTTCAGCGGAATTGCCCCCCGCTCACTCCAAAAAAGGAACAAAATCTGCATGTATTTCACTTTTAGCTTAAACCACAGCCTTACTTTATCTCCCCGAATTTGTTGCATACAGACTCATCTCGGATTATCCATTCTGTCTTGAAACGGGGATCTAACACTGACGCTAAAATGAGATGTTAATCAGTATAGTATATTCCATAGCGAATTGACACGTTGTTTGCCAATGTTTCTGCAAAAGCAGCGATGCCCATTGGAAGTGCAGTGTGAGTGTAATCGGTGAGCAGGGATTTGATTTCTGTGACAGCAGGGAGGATCATCCCCAGGTTCCCCAGCTCCTTCTGCATTTTGTCTGTGAGATCTGCTAGTGGTGTCAGCACACTGACAAGGTGCGTCAGCTGCTGTACTTGATTCAGGGTGATGTTAGCAACATTAGACTTGAGTTTGTTTTACCATAACGGGTCTTTTTGGAACAACCGGATAAACGACTGAATCATCCGCAGCTGGCTGCTCCATCGAATGGCGCAGGCATTTGTGGGGCGGACACCTAATTGGTCGGTTTCCTCTGTGCTCTTGCGTACACTTTTCACCAGGTGCCCGACTTTCACTAACAGCCTATTAATGTTGTCGTGCTTGTTAACGGCGTTTTTGATCGCCAGCTGAAGCATGTGAATGGGGCATCTCAGATGTAAATTTGACAAAGTAAAGTACTGATTTATCATAGTTTCTTGGGGGAGTGTAGCCCGGTTGAGCTGCGCTGGCGAAGTGTTGCATCCCTTCGCGTTCTCCTTTACTCAGCGGTTCATAGTCCATGAAAATCATTTCAAAAAATGCTACATCCAGCTCTCTTTTTCTCTCCCTTGTTATGGTTGGGCCTTTGCGTGCAGTGAATAAACTTTTGAATTCCTCAACCCTTTTCTCTTGTTGCTGCTGCTGCTCCTCTCGCTCTATAAAATACAAATTAATGGACGACACAAATTAAATTAAACAGATGGATTCTGGGTCAGGCTTGAGCATGCTTCAGACTCGTGGTGTGAGCGAGCGAAATTGGAGCGGGACATAGGGCGACGCTCCGTCCTTTTAAAAATGCCGCTCTGCGCTCTGTTCAAAATCCGTCCGCTCACGCTCCACGCTCGCTCCCGCTCCACTCCGCTCATATGCTCTGGTAGCCACTTCATATGCGCGCACTCTCGCTCCGTAATGGGAAAAATATCCATTCTATTTTATTCAGCTAAGTTCAATTATATTCTTCTTACTATCATATAATATATATATAATAATGTCACAGGACTTATAATCATATCTTGTCTGCTAAATGAACAAGCCTACAGCCTATGGCATAGCCAGATAACATACAGTAGGCCAACTCATATTCTGTTCTTCTGAAATAAAAAAAATTCATATAATGTTTTTTTTTAGACCCGCCTAAAATAAATAATTAATTAATGTATTGTGATGGTGTATATTCAATTGATTTATTATACTTTTTTTTATGTAGATGTTCCAAAGGCATGCATCAGAGGCTTGTATGTTAGTTGTATGAGTGGAGCCTGGAGATGCTAAACATGTTTATGTTCACTAATGGTCAAGATGCTAAACATGTTTATGTTAACTAAAGGTCAATTACTGTGAGACTGGCAGTCTTTTGCATGACAATAACCTGCTGACAATTTCATGACCACCACAGCCCTAGCTGCAGCACCTGACTTCATGACTTCATGGTATATAGGCTATGTTGGTGACATTAAAAGTTGAGTAATACCATGTTTGATTTCTGGCGCTATTCTGCCATTGTATATCAGTATTTTAGGATGAACAAATGTTGAAACAACATTTGCCCTGGTCTGGCAAGGAACAATTTTTTTTTGAGTTTGTCATTCTAAACACAGTTCCTTCTATGCTACAGGTAGAGGACAAAACATGGACACACTGTGGGCAAATGAGGAACAACAAGTACCCAAAGCATTGGTAACCTGTCCATAGACATTTGAGGCTACTTTAGATGGCAGAGAAACACCCTGTCATTTTGTGTATGTCTAAAAAATGAACACGAGTGGTGAAGCGCTGTCTCAGTTACCCAGAGAACATCCCCCATCTCCTGGCGGTTCTGAACTACTGCAGTATAGCCAGTCATACATTGTGGCAGGCAGCACCTGGGGATTTAGTTTGCTTTTAGCTGGAATGACGCTGTGTAAAGCTGATGCCTGTGTGTATGTTTCTGTGGGTCTGGGCTTTCTGCTTCTCTCAGACTGTCTCAGGGGCTGCGTAGCAGATCTTAAATTGTTCTCAGCTCTAGTTTGACTGTGTCTGCCCGCTCTGTGGCATCCATCCGCAAAGCCCAACTGGAGTGTAGCAACAGGAGGGAAGAGAGTGGATTTGAACCTCCATTCCTGAAGCCAGAACGACAACCCATTTGTCAAATGTTGTTCTCTTCTCTTGGTTTCATCCATTTCCTCTTGTGCTTTCTGTTAACCTTAGTTTAGTATTTTACTATTTTTCTTTCTGCATGTGTATCATTATGTTTGTAGCTAAGTTAGCTGTGGTTTAAATGAATCACACATCTCTTATCTGACATCCTCTTCCCACAGCCTCATCCAGCAAGTACAGTGAGGGAAAAAAGTATTTGATCCCCTGCTGATTTTGTACGTTTGCCCACTGACAAAGAAATGATCAGTCTATAACTTTAATGGTAGGTTTATTTGAACAGTGAGAGACAGAATTACAACAAACAAATCCAGAAAAACGCATTTCAAAAATGTTATAAATTGATTTGCATTTTAATGAGGGAAATAAGTATTTGACCCATCTGCAAAACATGACTTAGTACTTGGTGGCAAAACCATTGTTGGCAATCACAGAGGTCAGACATTTCTTGTAGTTGGCCACCAGGTTTGCACACATCTCAGGAGGGTTTTGTCCCACTCCTCTTTGCAGATATTCTCCAAGTCATTAAGGTTTCGGGCCTGACATTTGGCAACTCGAACCTTCAGCTCCCTCCACAGATTTTCTATGGGATTAAGGTCTGGAGACTGGCTAGGCCACTCCAGGACCTTAATGTGCTTCTTCTTGAGCCACTCCTTTGTTGCCTTGGCCGTGTGTTTTGGGGCATTGTCATGCTGGAATACCCATCCACGACCCATTTTCAATGCCCTGGCTGAGGGAAGGAGGTTGTCACCCAAGATTTGACGGTACATGGTCCCATCCATCGTCCCTTTGATGCGGTGAAGTTGTCCTGTCCCACAAAGCATAATGATTCCACCTCCATGTTTGATGGTGGGGATGGTGTTCTTGGGGTCATAGGCAGCATTCCTCCTCCTCCAAACACGGCGAGTTGAGTTGATGCCAAAGAGCTCCATTTTGGTCTCATCTGACCACATCACTTTCACCCAGTTCTCCTCTGAATCATTCAGATGTTCATTGGCAAACTTCAGACAGGCATGTATATGTGCTTTCTTGAGCAGTGGGACCTTGCGGGCGCTGCAGGATTTCAGTCCTTCACGGCGTAGTGTGTTACCAATAGTTTTCTTGGTGACTATGGTCCCAGCTGCCTTGAGATCATTGACAAGATCCTCCTGTGTAGTTCTGCGCTGATTCCTCACCATTCTCATGATCATTGCAACTCCACGATGTGAGATTTTGCATGGAGCCCCAGGCCGAGGAAGATTGACAGTTATTTTGTGTTTCTTCCATTTGCGAATAATCGCACCAACTGTTGTCACCTTCTCACCAAGCTGCTTGGCGATGGTCTTGTAGCCCATTCTAGCCTTGTGTAGGTCTACAATCTTGTCCCTGACATCCTTGGAGAGCTCTTTGGTCTTGGCCATGGTGGAGAGTTTGGAATCTGATTGATTGATTGCTTCTGTGGACAGGTGTCTTTTATACAGGTAACAAACTGAGATTAGGAGCACTCCCTTTAAGAGTGTGCTCCTAATCTCAGATCGTTACCTATATAAAAGACACCTGGGAGCCAGAAATCTTTCTGATTGAGAGGGGGTCAAATACTTATTTCCCTCATTAAAATGCAAGTCAATTTATAAAATGTTCGACATGCGTTTTTCTGGATTTTTGTGTTGTTATTCTCTCTCACTGTTCAAATAAACCTACCATTGAAATTATAGACTGATTAATTTCTTTGTAAGTGGGCAAACGTACAAAATCAGCAGGGGATCAAATACTTTTTTCCCTCACTGTATGGCTGCTGATCAAACAAATTCACTGTAGACTTTATATTTATCTAAGAAGTGTAAGGCAATATGAATAAATCATACATATTTCTCTTTTCAATCGTGTATGATCCATGTACTGTATGAATACTTTCTAGGAGTAGCCCTGTTATTTTATATTAGTGCTGAAGTTTGATTTGGTACAAGGGACCCTTGGTTCTAATAATATCCTGTACAGTTCCGGCTGGGCCTTGCTCTCCCTCCCCCATCCTTTCCTGTTCATGCCATTTGTATCATTTTTCAGGCTTCCAAGACATCTCTTAATAACCTCTAGCTTGTGATCAGGTGTTTTCCCATACCTTATTGTCCAGATCTATTGATATTCCAGTTATGGCCCAGGTGTGCTGATAAGTGTGTGTGTTCCTCTCCTCAGTGACCAGGTGTCGTCTAGCTCTACGTTCTGTAAGGTGTACACCCTCACACCCACGCTAGACAAGAACCGCGAGAAGAGAGGCCTGGCCCTGGACGGAAAGCTCAAACATGAGGACACCAACCTGGCCTCCAGCACCATGTACGATGACTCACATCCAAAACCATGTTAGATAATAATTACACTCTCTCTAGCTTGGCCTCAGCACTGTGATATTTCACACACCACACATACTGTAACTTGGCCAGCATGTGAGTTTACACATGCTAAGGGAGAGGTTGAGCTCATAAATGCATTATTATGATTTATTTTCGAACGCAGCACCCTGGAAGATGCAAGAACCCATCCCTTACTGAGAACCTTTTTCACCACCCTCTCATTCTCTTGTGTGTGTTTGTTTCAGTGTTAAGGATATAACTAACAAGGAGGTCCTTGGAATCCTGGTCTCCTACAAGGTCAAAGTCAAACTGGTCATCTCTCGTGGAGGGTGAGTTCCACATGAGTCAGTGATCAATATGTTGCGGGGGGGTTCTGTACAGGTACACACTGCAGTGGTGTTTTCCCTAAGTGCTACTTTTTCCACTTCATAAATTAACTAGGCTTCTTTTCATTTAAAAACCTCTAGAAGTCTTAGGGTGTTTCTCAAAATGCATACTACAGTGCTCCAAGCACACAAATTGGAGCACGGGAGGGTCGGAGTAGGAGTCCAAATCAAAGTATGCGAAACGGAGCACGGAGGGCACTTCTCGAATGTGTACTCAGTTTGTACATATTTTGAAGTATGCAAAGAAATATGATGCAACCATGTAAAAAAATGACGCAAAATGTCTTAATCAATGGCGGGCATTATTTGAGCTGAAGAGAAAATACACTCTGACTTAGGAATGAAATGTTGCCTTTTCACATCTCATATATTGCCTGACTACAATATTTTATCTTGATATGTTAATAAATACATGCTGTGTTAATTTTGGCATGTTTACCTGCCTACGTACCGTATACTGGCTAGCTACTAGTACTGTTAGATAGCCACGAAGAATTGTTAGCTAGCTACCCGCAAATAATTGACATCTATCTTGCATGATATTGGTTTTAGGTCATTTTTGCCTGTTAAACTATCTGGTTAGTTATATTATTATGATTCACATATAGCTAGCTGATAGTTATGAAGTAAAACGGTTGCTTTGTGTATATCTTCTTTTGTCTCTATTGCCATTGTTGTCCTGGCTGGAAGACGGTTCAGTGAATGGGTAAGACCATAGCAAGTCAATAGGGCCAACTGGCTGGCTGGCTACCCATGAAAAATTGGTAGCTACCCATGAAAAATGTACATCTACCTTGCATAACATTAGTTTTAGGTCATTTTTACCTGTTTAACTAGCTGGCTAGCTAGATTATTACGATTCAAATATCAAGTTGATAATTATGAAGTAAAACGTTTGCTTTGTGTATATCTTGTTTCGTCTGTTGTCATTGTTCTGGTGGAAGAAGGTTCAGTGAATGGGGAGGTGAAGCGTGAGGTAATACAGTAGAGGGAGTGCGAGTGCTTCTCAAATGTATTGTTTTATGCGTTCTCCACACTCTCGTCCTCACAAGAACATACTCAAGAGAACGTGGTCGGAGAACGCACTCGGAGCATGAGAGCGTGGAGCACGGTAGTATGAATATTGAGAAACACCCTAAGCCTCTGGGGGTTCTAAGCTGACATATGGAATTGTTTTAAGATGGTCATACAGTGGGGGAAAAAAAGTATTTAGTCAGCCACCAATTGTGCAAGTTCTCCCACTTAAAAATATGAGAGAGGCATAGGTACATGTCAACTATGACAGACAAATTGAGAAAAAAAAATCCAGAAAATCACATTGTAGGATTTTTAATGAATTTATTTGCAAATTATGGTGGAAAATATGTATTTGGTCACCTACAAACAAGCAAGATTTCTGGCTCTCACAGACCTGTAACTTCTTCTTTAAGAGGCTCCTCTGTCCTCCACTCGTTACCTGTATTAATGGCACCTGTTTGAACTTATCAGTATAAAAGACACCTGTCCACAACCTCAAACAGTCACACTCCAAACTCCACTATGGCCAAGACCAAAGAGCTGTCAAAGGACACCAGAAACAAAACTGTAGACCTGCACCAGGCTGGGAAGACTGAATCTGCAATAGGTAAGCAGCTTGGTTTGAAGAAATCAACTGTGGGAGCTATTATTAGGAAATGGAAGACATACAAGACCACTGATAATCTCCCTCGATCTGGGGCTCCACGCAAGATCTCACCCCGTGGGGTCAAAATTATCACAAGAACGGTGAGCAAAATCCCAGAACCACACGGGGGGACCTAGTGAATGACCTGCAGAGAGCTGGGACCAAAGTAACAAAGCCTACCATCAGTAACACACTACGCCGCCAGGGACTCAAATCCTGCAGTGCCAGACGTGTCCCCCTGCTTAAGCCAGTACATGTCCAGGCCCGTCGGAAGTTTGCTAGAGTGCATTTGGATGATCCAGAAGAGGATTGGGAGAATGTCATATGGTCAGATGAAACCAAAATATAACTTTTTGGTAAAAACTCAACTCGTCGTGTTTGGAGGACAAAGAATGCTGAGTTGCATCCAAAGAACACCATACCTACTGTGAAGCATGGGGGTGGAAACATCATGCTTTGGGGCTGTTTTTCTGCAAAGGGACCAGGACGACTGATCCGTGTAAAGGAAAGAATGAATGGGGCCATGTATCGTGAGATTTTGAGTGAAAACCTCCTTCCATCAGCAAGGGCATTGAAGATGAAACGTGGCTGGGTCTTTCAGCATGACAATGATCCCAAACACACCGCCCGGGCAACGAAGGAGTGGCTTCGTAAGAAGCATTTCAAGGTCCTGGAGTGGCCTAGCCAGTCTCCAGATCTCAACCCCATAGAACATCTTTGGAGGGAGTTGAAAGTCCGTGTTGCCCAGCGACAGCCCCAAAACATCACTGCTCTAGAGGAGATCTGCATGGAGGAATGGGCCAAAATACCAGCAACAGTGTGTGAAAACCTTGTGAAGACTTACAGAAAACGTTTGACCTGTGTCATTGCCAACAAAGGGTATATAACAAAGTATTGAGAAACCTTTGTTATTGACCAAATACTTATTTTCCACCATAATTTGCAAATAAATTCATTAAAAATCCTACAATGTGATTTTCTGGATTTTTTTTTCTCATTTTGTCTGTCATAGTTGACGTGTACCTATGATGAAAATTACAGGCCTCTCTCATCTTTTTAAGTGGGAGAACTTGCACAATTGGTGGCTGACTAAATATTTTTTCCCCCACTGTACCATGGATCATTTAGCTATTTGATTTGGAATTTATATAAATATAAAACAAATATTGAATTTGGCCTTTACTACTATAGCCCATAGAAACGCATTGAATAACACATTCATAAATGGCAAAAAGGCATTTAAAACATTTATAATAAGGCATACGGTTTTGAAGTGTTTGTCCTATATCTAGGAGATATAAGAAAGCTCAGGAAATATATATATATATATATATAGTGCCTTCGGAAAGTATTCAGACCCCTTGACTTTTTCCAAATGTTGTTACATTACAGCCTTATTCTAAAATGGATTAAATAAATAAAAATCCTAAGCAACCTACACATAATACCCCATAATGACAAAGCGAAAACAGGTTTTTAGAAATGTTCGCAAATTTATATATATAAAAAAAACAACGTATTTACATAAGTTTTCAGACCCTTTGCTATGCTCGAAATTGAGCTCAGGTGCATCCTGTTTCCATTGATCATCCTTGAGATGTTTCTACAACTTGATTGGAGTCCACCTGTGGTAAATTCAATTGATTGGACATGATTTGGAAAGGCACACACCTGTCTATATAAGGTCCCACAGTTGACAGTCCATGTCAGAACAAAAACCAAGCCATGAGGTCGAAGGAATTGTCCGTAGAGCTCCGAGACAGGATTGTTTCGAGGCACAGATCTGGGGAAGGGTACCAAAACACTTCTGCAGCATTGAAGGTCCCCAAGAACACAGTGGCCTCCATCATTCTTAAATGGAAGAAGTTTCGAAACACCAGGACGTCCTAGAGCTGGCTGCCAGGCCAAACTGAGCAATTGGGGGAGAAGGGCCTTGGTCAGGGAGGTGACCAAGAACCCGATAGTCACTCTGATAGAGCTCTAGAGTTCCTCTGGAGATGGGTGAACCTTCCAGAAGGACAACCATCTCTGCAGCACTCCAACAATCAGGCATTTTCAGGACTACCGGGCATGATGACACCTTGCTGTCCCCAGTCCGCCTGGCCTTGCTGCTATTCCAGTTTCAACTGTTCTGCCTGCGGTTATGGAACCCCTACCTGTCCCAGACCTGCTGTTTTCAACTCTTAATGATCGGCTATGAAAAGCCAACTGAGATATATTCCTGATTATTATTTGACCATGCTTGTCACTTATGAACATTTTTGAACATCTTGGCATGGTTCTGTTATAATCTCCACCCGGCACAGCCAGAAGAGGACTGGCCACCCCTCATAGCCTGGTTCCTCTCTAGGTTTCTTCCTAGGTTTTCGCCTTTCTAGGGAGTTTTTCCTAGCCACCGTGCTTCTACACCTGCATTACTAGCTGTTTGGGGTTTTAGGCTGGGTTTCTGTACAGCACTTCGAGATATTAGCTGATGTAAGAAGGGCTATATAAAATAAAATTGATTGATTGATTGATTGATTTTATGGTAGAGTGGCCAGATTATCACTCCTCAGTAAAAGGCACATGACAGACCACTTGGCGTTTGCCAAAAGGCACCTAAAGACACTCAGACCATGAGAAACAAGGTTCTCTGGTCTGATGAAACCAAGATTGAACTCTTTGGCCTGAATGCCAAGCGTCAAGTCTGGAGGAAACCTGGGACCATCCCTACGGTGAAGCATGATTGTGGCAGAATCATGCTGTGGGGATGTTTTTCAGAGGCAGGGACTGGGAGACTAGTCAGGATTGAGGCAAAGATGAATGGAGCAAAGTACAGAGAGATCCTTGATGAAAACCTGCTCCAGAGCACTCAGGACCTCAGACTGGGGTGAAGGTTCACCTTCCAACAGGACAACGACCCTAAGCAAACAGCCAAGACAACGTAGGAGTGGCTTCGGGACAAGTCTCTGGATGTCCTTGAGTGGCCCAGCCAGAGCCCGGACTTGAACCCCATCTAACGTCTCGGGAGAGACCTGACAATAGCTGTGCAGGAACGCTTCCCATCCAACCTGACAGAGCTTGAGAGGATCTGCAGAGAAGAATGGGAGAAACTACCCAAATACAGGTGTGCCAAGCTTGTAGCGTCATACCCAAGAAGACTCGAGGCTGTAATTGCTGCCAAAGGTGCTTCAACAGAATGCTGAGTAAAGGGTCTGAATACTTATGTAAATGTAATATTTCTGTTTTTTAGCAAGAAATTCCAAAACCTATTTTTGCTTTGTCATTATGGGGTATTGTGTGTAGATTGAGGGGGAAAAAACAATTTCATCAATTTTAGAATAAGGCTGTAACCTAATAAAATGTGGAAAAAGTCAAGGGGTCTGAATACTTTCCAAAGGCTGTGGATGTGTGTGTACACACACACACAGTACCAGTTAAAAGTTTGGACACACCTACTTTAATAAAGGGTTTTTCTTTATTTAGACAATTTTTTACATTGAGAATAATAGTGAAGACATCAAAACTATGAAATAACACATATGGAATCATGTAGTATTTGAGATTCTTCAAAGTAGCCACCCTTTCCCTAGATGACAGCTTTGCACACTCTTGGTATTCTCTCAACCAGCTTCACCTGGAATGCTTTTCCAACAGTCTTGAAGGAGTTCCCACATATGCTGAGTACTTGTTGGCTGCTTTTCCTTCACTCTGCCGTCCGACTCATCCCAAACCATCTCAATTGGGTTGAGGTCGGGGGATTGTGGAGGCCAGGTCATCTGATGCCGCACTCCATCACACTCCTTCTTGGTTAAATAGCCCTTACACAGCCTGGAGGTGTGTTGGGTCATTGTCCTGTTGAAAAACAAATGATAGTCCCACTAAGCCCAAACTAGATGGGAGGGCGTATCGCTATAGAATGCTGTGGTAGCCATGCTGGTTAAGTGTGCCTTGAATTCTAAATCAATCACAGACCGTGTCACCAGCAAAGCACCCCCACACCATAACACCTCCTTCTCCATGCTTTACAGTGGGAACTACAAATGCGGAGATCATCCGTTCACCCACACCGCTTCTCACAAAGACACGGCGGTTTGAACCAATAATCTCCAATTTGGACTCCAGACCAAAGGACACATTTCCACCGGTCTAATGTCCATTGCTCGTGTTTCTTGGCCCAAGCAGGTCTCTTCTTCTTATTGGTGTCCTTTAGTAGTGGTTTCTTTGCAGCAATTCGACCATGAAGGCCTGATTCACACAGTCCCCTCTGAACAGTTGATGTTGAGATGTCTCTTACTTGAACTCTGTGAAGCATTTATTTGGACTACTTTCCGAGGCTGGTAACTCTAATGAACTTATCGTCTGCAGCAGAGGTAACTCTGGGTCTTCCATTCCTGTGGCGGTCCTCATGAGAGCCAGTTTCATCATAGCGCGTGATGGTTTTTGCGACTGCACTTGAAGAAACGTTCAATGTTTTTGAAATGTTCCGTATTGACTGACCTTCATGTCTTAAAGTAATGATGGACTGTCGTTTCTCTTTGCTTATTTGAGCTGTTCTTGCCATAATATGGACTTGGTCTTTTACTAAATAGGTATATCTTCTGTATACCACCTCTACCTTGTCACAACACAACCGATTGGCTCAAACGCATTAAGAAGGAAATAAATTCCACAAATTAACTTTTAACAAGGCACACCTGTTAATTTAAATGCATTCCAGGTGACTACCTCATGAAGCTGGTTGAGAGAATGCCAAGAGTGTGCAAAGCTGTCATCAAGGCAAGTGTGGCTACTTTGAAGAATCTCAAATATAAAATATATTTTGATTTGTTTAACACTTTTTTGGTTACTTCATGATTCCAAATGTGTTATTAAATAGTTTTGATGTCTTCACTATTATTCTACAATGTAGAAAATAGTAAAAACAAAGAAAAACCCTGGAATGAGTAGGTGTGTCCAAACTTTTGACTGGTAGCATAAACCGTTGAAGTCGGAAGTTTACATACACCTTAGTCAAATACATTTAAACTCCGTTTTTCACAATTCCTGACATTTAATCCTAGTAAAAATTCCCTGTCTTAGGTCAGTTAGGATCACCACTTTATTTTAAGAATGTGAAATGTCAGAATAATAGTAGAGAGAGTGATTTATTTCAGCTTTTATTTCTTTCATCACATTCCCAGTGGGTCAGAAGTTTACATACACTCAATTAGTATTTGCTGGCATTGCCTTTAAATTGTTTAACTTGGGTCAAACGTTTCGGGTAGCCTTACACAAGCTTCCCACAATAAGTTGGGTGAATTTTGGCCCATTCCTCCTGACAGAGCTGGTGTAACTGAGTCAGGTTTGTAGACCTCACTAAGCGGAAGGTAGCTTAGTGGTTAAGAGCGTTGTGCCAGTAACCGAAAGGTTGCTGGTTCTAATCCCCGAGCTGACTAGGTGAAAAATCTGTCGATGTGTCCTTAAGCAAGGCACTTAACCCTAATTGCTCCTGTAAATCGCTCTGGATAAATGACTAAAACATTTTTGTTTTCTTGCTCGCACACGCTTTTTCAGTTCTGCCCACACATTTTCAATAGGAATGAGGTCAGGGCTTTGTGATGGCCACTCCAATACCTTGACTTTGTTGTCCTTAAGCCATTTTTCCACAACTTTGGAAGTATGCTTGGGGTCATTGTCCATTTGGAAGACCCATTTGCGACCAAGCTTTAACTTCCTGACTGATGTCTTGAGATGTTGCTTCAATTTATCCACTTAATTTTCCTTCCTCATGATGCCATCTATTTTGTGAAGTGCATCAGTCCCTCCTGCAGCAAAGCACCCCCACAGCATGATGCTACCACCCCCGTGCTTCACGGTTGGGATGGTGTTCTTCGGCTTGCAAGCAACCCCCTTTTTCCTCCAAACATAACGATGGTCATTATGGCCAAACAGTTCTATTTTTGTTTCATCAGACCAGAGGACATTTCTCCAAAAAGTACAATATTTGTCCCCATGTGCAGTTGCAAACCGTAGTCTGGCTTTTTTATGGTGGTTTTGGAGCAGTGGCTTCTTCCTTGCTGAGCGGCCTTTCAGGTTATAGGACTCGTTTTACTGTGGATATAGACACTTTTATACCTGTTTCCTCCAGCATCTTCACAAGGTCCTTTGCTGTTGTTCTGGGATTGATTTGCACTTTTCACACCAAAGTACGTTCATTTCTAGGAGACAGAACGCGTCTCCTTCCTGAGCGTTATGACGGCTGCGTGGTCCCATGGTGTTTATACTTGCATACTATTGTTTGTACAGATGAACATGGTACCTTCAGGTGTTTGGAAATTGCTCCCAAGGATGAACCAGAATTGTGGAGGTCTACAATTTTTTTTCTGAGGTCTTGGCTGATTTCTTTTGATTTTCCCATGATGTCAAGCAAAGAGGCACTGAGTTTGAAGGTAGGCCTTGAAATACATCCACAGGTACACCTCCAATTGACTCAAATGATGTCAATTAGCCTATCAGAAGCTTCTAAAGCCATGACATCGTTTTCTGGAATTGTCCAAGCTGTTTAAAGGCACAGTCAACTTAGTGTATGTAAACTTCTGACCCACTGGAATTGTGATACAGTGAATTATATGTGAAATAATCTGTCTGTAAACAGTAGTTGGAAAAAGTCATGCACAAAGTAGATGTCCTAACCGACTTGCCAAAACTATAGTTTGTTAACAAGAAATGTGTAGAGTGGTTGAAAAACAAGTTTTAATGATTCCAACCTAAGTGTATGTAAACTTCCGACTTCAACTGTATATATGTGTATATATTTTTTTTATCTAAGAGAACTGATTAAAGATTATAAAAGCTAATGATTTGATTAGTGTCGACAATGGAGTAGTCAACTGCTGCTTTCTGTGTAGGAAAACCCATGTTTAACATCTACTTCATTCTTCAATCATACCTGTAGATCTATTCATGGGTGCCTGACTTTGTGCACCCCCACTTTTATACATTCTGGCGGGGGGGGTCTGTGGGTCCTCCCGTTGAGAATTTTCCTGCAATTCTATATTGTTTCTCAACAGGGAATCCATGTTTAGTTGACAGAACACAACCTTTTTTCATAGGTTTTTGCCACAATAAATGTAATTGAATGAGTAGACTAGACTAGTTTTTCTGACTAGATTACTAATCTACCGCCGTCCCTCAAAGTCCCACCCACAGTGATTGATTGACAAGTCTGAAACCCTACCAACTCTGACTCACAAACATCCTGCCCCCTCCCCTGACAATCCCTCCCACAGTGATTGATTGACAGGCCAAACTGTTAAAGGGATAGTTCACCCAAATTTCTTAAATGACACATTGGTTTCATTACACTTAGTGTCCATAGCCACAGAGCCAAGAAAATACATAATTTTAAGAACAAACATAATTGTGGCAATTCAGATCTTGCAGTAAAACCTGTAAAAATAACTTTAATCTCAAGAGAAGACCGGTTTAGTGTTAAAAAAGGTTATCTTACTTAGGAAATAGCCCTGATCATATAGGCCTTGACAATATCCTTAACAACACACTGACTTCATACATTTTCAGTCATTTTAATTGTTAAGTCACAACCCATTTTATCAATCTGGGAGGTAAAGTCGTTCAACTATTCAACAATTTAGCTGTGTATTTTGGATAGATCAAGGCATTAGAATGTAGCAGAGGCCACCAAAATACAGCTTGTTCTGCAACAAACAAAAAATCCAGGAGGGCATACCCCCCAGCCCAGCACTCCCTGGCTGGCTACTTCCATGTACTTAGGGAAACACTGACACACACACCTACCACTTTTACTGACCACACACATGCTGTAGTCTACATTCTACACACAACCCCATTTACACTCCGACCTGTGTCATATACACTCCTGATACTCTGCCATTACAACTTGTGTATAAACTGTCATGAAATCACATCTCCCAGACCCTCACTAGTCTCTCTGCTCCTTCCACTCCACTCAATGGTGCGCCATGCTTTGCTGTCTCCCCTCTCGGTTGCGGTTGCCTTGGTTTTGAGTTCCGGCCTCATTTCATCTTCCCTCCTGTGGCTTGTGTCGCTCTCCCCTCCTGTGTTTGTCCGCCTGTCTGTTTGTTTGTGCGTCTCTCTCCCTCCATCTGTGCATCTGCTCTTGCGTTGGGTCTCAGGCTGCTGAGTGGCGTGTTAGAGAGGTAATATGACATCCCAGCCTCCACCTGCGTGTGTGTGTGGTGATCTTATGCCCTACCACCATCTGTGTGTGTGGTGATCTTATGCCTTACCACCATCTGTGTGTGTGTGCTGATCTTATGCCCTACCACCATCTGTGTGTGTGCTGGTCTTATGCCCTTCCACCATCTGTGTGTGTGCTGGTCTTATGCCCTTCCACCATCTGTGTGTGTGCTGGTCTTATGCCCTACCACCATCTGTGTGTGTGCTGATCTTATGCCCTACCACCATCTGTGTGTGTGCTGATCTTATGCCCTACCACCATCGTGTGTGTGCTGATCTTATGCCCTACCACCATCTGTGTGTGTGCTGATCTTATGCCCTACCACCATCGTGTGTGTGCTGATCTTATGCCCTACCACCATCGTGTGTGTGCTGATCTTATGCCCTACCACCATCGTGTGTGTGCTGATCTTATGCCCTACCATCATCTGTGTGTGCGCCAGAACCGCCATCAGTGCCTCTTAAGTGTGTGTATGTGTGATGATTTTACATACCAGCCATTGTATGTCAAATCTCACCTGCAGCTGCTAAGCTCCTTTTATAACTGCAGCCTCCTGCCTTCTCCCTGCCTGAGTCACAGAGTCCTAACCCTAAGGATGGTGTGAGGTTTCATTAGGCTGTGGCCCAAAGTCACACTGATGCAGAGTTATCAATGAAGTGTTGAGGGGAATAAAGCTTCAATATAGTAAGTCTGCACATCTTGGTGTTCAGGCTTTGATTTATTACAATTCATTGGTTATTACTGTATAATTACTGTTTTGAAACAAAGTGCTACCCAGCACTGAAGAGTTCCCATTGGGTAAGATCAATGTTTGACAGCAAAGGAGGGTTGATGGGCTTTATTCCCCCTTCACTGATCAAACATGTAACTAATCATATTTTCTGGGTTGTTTCCTGTCAGATCTTGGATTATTCATGGTGCAATAGTATATCATCATATGGATGTTTCCATAGAATAACTATCAAATTGTTATTGATTGACATGCATGATTGACCATGCATGTGGTCATTTGTAGCTCACTTGGTAGAGCATGGCGCTTGCTACACCAGGATAGTGGGTTCAATTCCCAGGACCCCCCCCCCCCCCCCCCCCCCCATACTTAAAATGTATGCACGCATGATTGTAAGTCGCTTTGGATAAAAGCGTCTGCTAAATGGCATTTATTAGTATTATTATGCATGCATATATATTGATCCCAATGAATGTTGTTTATCTTCTGTGTGTGTGTGTTTCCAGGGATGTGTCGGTGGAGCTGCCCTTCGTCTTAATGCACCCCAAACCCACAGAACTGCCCATATCCCGCCCACAGTCAGGTACCTACAGACTCCCACCACCTCTCCATAAGCCCACTATCAGGTCTTTATCTCAGTACTTCGGATGCATCTCAGTTCCTCTCCTTCCCTTCATTTTCAGTGAATTGAGAGAGTTGAACAAATCCTCTCTGGCAAGCTTCCACCATGTTACATTCACGTTTTCAAATGTTCCGATCAATTCAAATTAAGGAAGATGAGGACTTTAGAGTCCCTCAAGTGGCTTGCTGTTTTTTAGTGATTGGGAAGCAGTGAATTGTGATAGTGGGAACTCTACTAGGCCTATAAGTGAAGAGGAATTGACAGTGGACACAGTCTTGTGAAATATATTTCAGTAGTTTAGTTCAGCCTTGTGGGCAGGGAACAACAGTCCCTCACATACACAAGCCCATCAAATACATAATCTCACTCTCTGGTATTTCCTGCATGTAAGTTGCCATGGAGCCATTGCCATGGAGCCATTGCCATGGTGACATCGCACTGACATGTCATTATCTGTGTGTTCTAACAGCTGTGCCGGAGTTGGACCCTCCCATCGACACCAACCTGATAGAATTTGAATCAAAGTGAGTATTCATCTGGTCTATCTGACCATTGTAATCACTGCTTCTTTACTGTGACCAAAGGCTGCGTTTACACAGGCAGCCCAATTCTGATATGTTCCCCAATTATTGGCAAAAGAGCTGATCTGATTGGTGAAAAGACAAATAAGTGAAAAAAATATCAGAATTGAGCTGCCGGTGTAAACGCAGCCAGAGAGACCCTAAACCTATTCCCTCAGATCTAAAACACTCTCACTTCTGCCATGTTTCCTTGTTGTCATCCTGCAGTAGATTCTCCCAAGACGACGACTTTGTGTTCGAGGACTTTGCCCGCCTGCGGCTCAAAGGAATGGCAGACGACGAGGACTGCTAGAGCTCACACACACACACACTCTTGCGCAAACTCTTACACACACACACACACACACACACACACACGGTGGGATGAAGGCATGTGGATGGAGAGATGTGGTAGCCTCGTGGTCTTCCTGACGTTGCTTGCGGTGTATTTTTGTCTTACTTAAGCCACTTGTCTTCTTGTACATGTTCTCGCTGTCTGCAGTGGTTGTTGTTTTGGGTGGTGGCAAACACAACCAAAAACCCAGCACCATGTAAATGATGATGTAATATTGGACAATGGCGAATGCTGACAGATCCATAGGTGTCATTTGACCAGCAGTTTCACAGTGTCGAGGATGGGCACAATATGTGCTATAATGGATAAAAAGTAGATGACCAAAATGTCATGAAGAGGGATGATGTGCCATGGCTGTCCACGCTGAGGGAGTGCCATGGCTGTCCACGCTGAGGGAGTGCCATGGCTGTCCACGCTGAGGGAGTGCCATGGCTGTCCACGCTGAGGGAGTGCCATGGCTGTCCACGCTGAGGGATGATGTGCCATGGCTGTCCACGCTGAGGGATGATGTGCCATGGCTGTCCACGCTGAGGGAGTGCCATGGCTGTCCACGCTGAGGGAGTGCCATGGCTGTCCACGCTGAGGGAGTGCCATGGCTGTCCACGCTGAGGGAGTGCCATTGAAAGGAAGTGGGCTTTTTATCATTATTTTTCCACCAATCATAATTTAAATGTAATTATTTCTACAAATATTGATCATATTGATCATGTATTGATCATTGATATAAAGCAAGGTTTAGAGAGTACCTGCTGAAGAGAGGAGAGAAGGGCAAACACACAGACTGACACACTTTGGTTAGTGATGTAATTTAGGCAACCCTTTCATCTGCCCCATCATCTTTAAACTCCTGAATTTCTACCCAGTCATTAATTCTGTAAAAACCTTCATGTTTTAAGGGAAGAATACGGAGGTTTCTATGATTCACCCTCTTCTACAATAAGAGGACAGATGATACACTCCCACTTAAAGTAAACTTGCACACACTGCATCCACACTGTATAGCCTAGTGATACTCCTCACTGTCAGTCTGTCAGTTAGTCTCAATTCACCGCTTTGACATTCATCAGATTCTTGCACATGGTCTAAGAGAATGGGTATTTTAGAATAATTTCTCCATCAGATTCCATTCACTCTTGTGCTGAATCCCAAACTGACCCCTAGCTCTTCTTCCCTAGGCACTCCTTTAAATCTGAAAGGATTGGGTAGGTATAAGTAATGTGGGGAAATTCGAACTAGCCAAGCAAAAGGCAGGGTGAATACATTACCTTAATATTCATACCTGTCCAATCCTAGAAGTGCCTAGTGACGGGCTAGCTAGGGGTCAGTTTGAGATTCAGCATTGGTGTCAGAGTTTGGGAAAACCTGGCCTAGCGCACAGCGACACCAATGGAGCATGTTTTTCAGCAGTGCTGTGAACTATGATCTGTGATTATTGTTGTTGTGCATCTATGGGGTACCTGTTTGCAGCTCTTAAGTGTGAATATTTGGAAGTGCTGTGGGAGCATCATAATGTCTACAGAAAGTATGCTGATGTTATGATTTTGGTGGAACATGACATAACTATTATTAATATTATTACTACTGTATCATTGACTATGATTATTCTCAATCATTTAATACTTTTTTGTTTGCCATTTTTTTTATTTCAGAATGTTTATTTTTATTAAAGGCAAAATGAATTAACACATTTTCTAATAGATGCTTATTTTCGTGTACGTTCTATTAAGTCTCACATCCAAAGACGGAAGATAAATTAATCTGGCGGTTGAAGTGATAGTCAAGTATCCACACATGGTCTCAGATGACTTCCTTGTCAGAAGTTCAATCACAGTGCAATTTCTTTATCTACAATGTTAGTTAGAGTTAAATTTGATTTGCACAGTAGCGAGTTAAGTTATCAAGATGGCATCATGCTTCACCATTTGGGGCTCAAAGTGCACTGACACATTTATACCTACTTTGCAGAAATGTGTTGTTAGGGAAGCTCTGTGGGCCAGTGAGTGACCATTGAAAAGGAAACTTTGAGAAGGACAGTAACACATAAAAACAGGAAGCATTTGCAGTCACAGGACAGAGAGAGGTGTCTTAGTGAAGTGAAAAACATGACTGACCAGTTTGTTACTTTATTTCTCATGGTATTAATATTAAAACATTGAATTAGATCTTAGGTACTCATTTATATAAGCCTGTACATACAGTATCTGAAATTCACAACAGTTTGGTTTATAATTAGCTTTACCTATAGCTACATTGATGAAAATTAATTGGCCCACATCTTAAATATCTTTCAATAGATACAAAGATAAAAAACATTTGAGCCACATTCAAGGTCTGTTTTAGTACAGGAAGCTTTTGGGAAAATGAGTCAAGGTCCACCATGGGCAGTGTGCACCATCCTCTGGTCAAAGCAGATCATAACATTAGTTGGGAAGCAAGTGTGTGCCTGCCACTGCATGTGTGTTCTGTGTCTGTTGTTGTCTGTGTGTCTCCTTACAGAGAAAAGACAGGAGAATGGACACTTCTCTCTTAGCCCCAAACACATTTACATTTGGACATTTTAGTCATTTAGCATTTAGGTATTTAACCAGCGACCTTTCGGTTACCTCTAGATATATTAGTTTACCCCTATGAGAAGGGGCTAGGCGTTTAAATGTTTTAAGTATTCAAACTAAGCATAGAAACCTTGGTCTGTCACCTTTCCTGTGCATCATTGTGCCTGTTCACCCTCTCTGCCGCCTCCTCCTTATCCATCCATCTCTCCAGAAGCCCGTCTTTCTCTCTCCAGGCCACTGCAAGCCCATCCCTCAGCTCCCGCTGCTCCAACCGCCTGCCTGCCAACTCCTTTGATTGGCTCTCTAATGCAGACTCACACTCTGATAGGCTGGCCTGCAGAACGTTGACCCCCCTGGCTTGAGTGACAGCTTCCTTCCGATAGCGGGAAACTCTAATAGAATATGGTGACATTAGTCTATGTAAGTTTATATCAGACGAGTCATCAGACAACCTCACAACTAAGATGCCTCTCAGTTTCAGTATCTTTGTAGAAAATGTCATGGATGCATTATTAAACCATATAGTCTACTTTACCATAACATTTATTTATGAACAGATTTCAATGGTTGATCACTTACTGTGAGTGGCAGTATCGAAGCTCTGCGTCTTTCAGGTACATGACAGTGGTCAGGTCAGAAACTGCCTGTGCCATTAAACCCCTGCAACTTATCCAGAACGCTGCTGCCCGTCTGGTGTTCAACCTTCCCAAGTTCTCTCACGTCACCCCGCTCCTCCGCACACTCCACTGTCTTCCAGTTGAAGCTCGCATCTACTACAAAACCATGGTGCTTGCCTACCGAGATGTGAGGGGAACGGCTCCTCCTTACCTTCAGGCTCTGATCAGACCCTACACCCAAACGAGGGCACTACGTTCATCCACCTCTGGCCTGCTAGCCCCCCTACCTCTACGGAAGCACAGTTCCCGCTCAGCCCAGTCAAAGCTATTCGCTGCTCTGGCACCCCAATGGTGGAACAAGCTCCCCCACGACGCCAGGACAGGGAGTCACTGACCACCTTCCGGAGACACTTGAAACCCTACCTCTTTAAGGAATACCTGGAATAGTATAATAGTAATCATTCTACCCCCCCTTTACTACCACTGTCTTTATCATTCTACCCCCCCTTTACTACCACTGTCTTTTGTCTAAACTAACACCTGACTTATTTCACCTGCTAGCACTGACTTGTTTAAAGAAATGTACTTATTGTGATCGAGATGTAGTTGTCCCTGATTGCACTGACTTTGCTCACAGCTGCTTGTTTGAAGAAGTGTACTTACTGTGATCAAGATGTGCTTGTCCCACTGGCTATCTTAAGTTGAATGCACCAATTTTTAAGTCGCTCTGGATAAGAGCGTCTGCTAAATGACTTAAATGTTAAATGTTAAGATTAGACCGGTAAGAGCAGGTCAAAAATGAGATAAACAATCACTGTTTTGATCCAACTCTGGGCAAGAAAGGCAAGGAGAGGCAAGCTTGTGTACAAGGCCACTATGCGAGGGCAGGGTTGCCAGATGCAGCACAAGAGAAGACATCAGAGAGTCCAACTGACAGGATGACATTGAATGGAACCTACAGTACCAGTCAAAAGTTTCGACACACCTACTCATTCAAGGGTTTTCCTTTATTTTTTTAAACTATTTTTTACAATTTTTTACATTGTCGAAAATAGTGAAGACATCAAAACCATGAAATAACACATATGGAATCATGTAGTAAACAAATACACATATATTTTACATTTGAGATTCTTCAAATAGCCACCCTTTGCCTTGATGACATCTTTGCACACTCTTGGCATTTACTTTACCACGTCTCGCGGGTCATGGCTAGAAAGAATTCAGTTTTTGTCAAATTAACGTCAGATTTTATTTTCGTAGCAGGTTAGAAGAATTTACGCAGCAGGTTAGGAGAATGAATGTAGCAGGTTAGGAGCATTAGGTTAAGGTTAGGAAAAAGGTTAGATTTAGGGTTAGCTAAAATGCACAAAAAATATATACCTTTGACGTTAATTTGACAAAAGCTGGATCCCTTCTAGCCTTGTCTCAAATGACACGATGAAAACGAAACTGAAAATGAATCTCAAAGCGCACAGTATTTTTTCGCGGCCAAATTTGAAGCACAATTGCCTGTTGACTAGGCTACGTGGTGAGTGTTTGATTATTTGTTTGATTATTTAGCCTACGTTATTATAATGTCATTTATTGGTAGGTGTTGTTGCTTAAGTTATAATGATGTTGACCCAGTTTGATTATTCATTTAGATTCAACGAGTGAGATTATTCTGTTGATAATTATTTGCATTTAGGCTACGTATAGGGTAGGCTACTTAGCCTTCGCTCCTTGAGTTTAGTCGACTACACTACCGTAGACCTGTACCTTGGGGAAATATTTCATTTGGCAGGTGTTCTAACTTTCATTGGGTTGTAATCTATTGTAGCCTACATCGAATCTATCTGCCCCAGTTTTGCAAATGTCTTATGATTCAATATTTGTTTTGCTTCTTTCCAAAGATGACTTCATGCATTGAGGATAAGTGGTGCCAAGCGCTCACTAAGATTATAGAGGAACTGGATGAGGATCAATATAAAAAGATGTGTCACCTTTTGAATAAAATTCCAAATGGTGTAAAGAGTGACATTAAGCCAGTAGACATGCCTAAAACCATCATCAGTCACTTGGGAATGAATAAGTCTATCCTTGAAATGGGAAGAGTGATGGGGAAGATCCCAAGAAATGACTCAGCTATTCAGGACCTTCTGCGTCCCTTTGTTCAGAACCTGCTTAATGGGAAACAACAGAAAGAGAAAAAAGGTAGGCCTACCATAAACATACATAATTGGAATGTACAGTATTACAATTTCACAGAAAGTGTAGTGTAAATTATCAGGTCCCATCCCATCTCACTTCCCATGGTCAGCTAAAATTGTTGAGCGCAACATAGTGGTAATGCACTTCGCAGTGGGCAAAACCTGGTTGAAAAGACGTCAGTATGACGTCTTTTTATTACTTCATATTCTGGTCGCAAAAAAGTTTTTTACATCTTTTTTTTACTGACCAGAATATGTCGTCTTTTTCAGACCACTATAAAACCATTTGGTCATAATTGTGACCTCAATCTGACCAGCTTGTCATAATTCTGACCAATGTATTATGTGCTATATTATGTAGCCTACTGGTCATTAAGACCTCATCATAACCTGATAATGACCACCTGACTACAGTTTATTACCTACTGTAAAAAGCAGAGTAGGATATTGAAAACATTGTTAGTTAAATGTCTAATTGTTTCCATAGTCACCGATTAAAGTTTAAATCTGCAACAAATTATTTCATTTAAAATTGATCAAGCAATGGCAAAAGCAAATCTACGTCACAATTTTTTGCACATCTGCATACAGCAATTGTTTCATAATTCACCCAAAGACATTACATGCATAGAAAGACTGGGACACAGAGTATATAAAGGCCCATTGTTTTATTTGTATTAATGATTAATAAGGGCGGTGTGATGGGGTAGATCTGAGCACAGAAGGCGATCTGGAGCGTAGTGGCCCTCTTGAAGAGTGGTGTGGTGGGTCAGATCTGCAGTTAAGAGAATCAGCACATTAAAATGATCAATTTGAGATTTTAAAAGAAAACTAGACAATCCTGAATAAACTTTGTGGACTCAGCTGGCTAAAAGTATTTCTATGTTACTAGTTGAAGAAGTGTGTGGCAGTTATAACTTAGAGATGTCTTCAAAAAAGAGCAACTTGCTCATATACATACTTTACGTCCTCCTCCACCACGGCGGTCAGGGGCATATTTTAGGACTTTCCAGAGGGCCAGGAACACATCAACCTCGTGAGTTTTCTGGCTTTTCAGTTAGTCATAAGACAACATCAAAACAGCATTCAGTGGAACAGAATAACATTTGCAGCACAATAAACAGTGCAATTAGCTAACACAGACAGAAGATTACTCTGTAGCTCAGCTGGTAGAGCACGGCGCTTGTAACGCCAAGGTAGTGGGTTCGAACCCCGGGACCACCCATACACAAAAAAAATTATGCACGCATGACTGTAAGTCGCTTTGGATAAAAGCGTCTGCTAAATGGCATATTATTATATTATTATTACCATTAGAAGCCAACACACAGCAAACTACCAGATACCATTAATTAAACAACCATTATTTAATTGTACTGCATTTTAACAGCAGTGATTTTTTTAAAGGGTATCCTGTATTATTGTGCATGTTTATCTTACATGCTGGTAGCCTAGAACAAATGTTATGGAAGTGAATGTGCACTTTTCAATTGGGTGGACTGCAACTACAAAAAACACTGCCATAGCCTGTAGTAAAAGCAAAAGCATTTATAGCATCGGAGATTCTCTAAATTACGGACCATCTCTGATAGCTATAGGACCGCAGAGACTGTCACAAATTGTAGCTTTTAATGACCTAGCAAATTTGATGACTTTGAGGTGAAATATATCACATTTCTTTGTTTTTTAAAATTGGTATTTATTTACCTGCAGAATAAAAACCTCAAATGGCCCTACTCCTGAAAAAGATAATTGTGTGCTAAGCTTAATCATGCAAACCCTGCAGAAAAAGAACATTACAATAATTGTAATAATTGTAATGGTTCTAGTGTCTTATATGCAATGGGTGCATGGCCCACAAACACTATGCACATGTTTATATAGATTGGTGTATATTAATTGAGTAGCATTTAGATAACTGGTCAGTTGTTCAATCAGATTTCAATCAAAAACCAGATATCAATCAAAGACGTGTTTTTCATGATGTCAACAAGACGTCATGAAAAATACGTCTTAATCTGGTTGTGATCCGGTTATAAGACGTCCCGACCAGATTTCAACAAGTAAAAAGACGTCGTTATCATGTCATATGCCCACTGGGTTGTTAATTGTTAATGTGTTTGTTTTTTCCCTGTAGGACGGCAAAAGAACCGCAAAATTGATTCGGAGTCTGAGGAAACACCTGCAGCCACTGGTTTTAATTAATTTTATTCGAGATAGTGTTTTTGACTACATTAATTTTCTCCATTGGTCCAGTGTCCATTCAAATTAGTAGCATCTTTCAGGGTGTGTGAATGATGAGATCACTTGAACTGTTGGTATAGGCAATTAATTTAAAGCGGATTTTCACTGCTCTAGTCTAGTGGTAAATTGCTGTTGTGCATAGGACATTGAGATGAAAGAAAAACTATATTCATAAAAACAACAATACAATTATTATTTTATTGAAAATACACTTCTTTTTCAGGACAGAAGAGGAAATATGTGAGCGATTCAGAGGACGAGGAGTCAGAAAAAGGTTCTGAAGAATATGTTTTCAAGTTTCAGTCAATCAATTTACCTTATAGATTAAAATAAAATATAATTATAAGGGCCATGCATATTCTACATAGACGTTCACTTGACAAGTTCTATGAACAATGATAGTTTTATTTTTGTCATGCCAATTTTGAGCAGAATTCATTGTGACTCATTTGTTTTTAAGGTCCAGAGAACAAGGTGCAAGGGGAAAATAACAAGGTATGGGCACATTTTGCAAACCATTTACAAGCTGAAGTTAGCCTAGTTGGTTGCCTTGTCTGTTTATGCAATGAAAAAAGAGAAACTGACAGACAATCAGACAAGTGGCCTCAGCAATACAGATAATTTGAACTTGTATAGGGGAGGATGGTTTGACTAAACCCCCCATATAATTAGAATAACATTTATGTATGTTCTACCCATTATGTTTATATGACAGAACCACACATATTTTTACTTTCTCAGGGTAATCCTCCCCCCTCTTCCAAGCGCAAATCCAACTCCTGGGTAAGTGTGGCTGCATTTACAAAGGCAACCCAATTCTGATATTTTTTTCACTTGTTGTTTTTTTGACCAATCAGATCAACTCAAAATATCAGAATTGGGCTGCCTGTGTAAACTCAGCCTATCCTTTTCTGAAACCTGAAGACTCATTAGGTCCCAGAGTTTGAGTCACACAGACGCCCACAGTCCAGGGTGAAATACCTGATCGGTCACATAGAGTCAATTGGATATTGTATGTGGTTAGACATTGTGTGACAGATCCTCTTTTACACTGTGTTTGTCAGATGCTAACCATCGCAGATCTGAAAAACTTGGGAGGACTTGGCGATAAAGCGATAAAAGGAAAAATTGTAAAAAAATCTGATCTGATATATTATGACACAAAGGCAAAGAAAAAACAAAGTCTTTTCCATATGAGTCTGACTGATGACACAGCCAGTATCAAAGTCACTGTATATGGGAAGGAGAGATATGACTTATTCCAAGAGGGAAGCTTTTACCTGTTGAAAGCCCTCATTGTGGAAGGGGATATAGTGAAGGTCACACAAAAAAGCAAAGTGTCCAAAACAAGCCCATTAGAAGTTCCTCAGAGGCTGGAAATGGAGGCAAGGATGCTCATTGAACCGGCCCACCATCCATTCTGCTCCATCGCTGATGCCAAGGCCTCTCACCCAGGCATCCAGATGAGCATTGATGGAACTGTTATTGATGTGAGTCATACAGTACATATTTAAATTACCTTTAAATAACCCTTTGCTAATTGTTTTTAGTTAACTGCACCCTCTCTTTGCTCAGATGACACTTTTGAGTAAAGTAAAAGTGAAACGGGAGAGGACCAGAAAGTTGGTTGAGCGCCGCAGCCTGACCTTGCAGGATGAGACTGGTTCTATTGAGGTCTGTCTCTGGAGGGAGCAGGCCTGCAACTGCAATGTATTGGTTGGAGATACCGTAAGGGTGACCAATGTGTACCCCAGTGAGTACTTGGACAGTATTTCTCTCAACTCAACTGGAAGAACCAGGATTTATAAGGTGGGTCCTGTTACTAAGGGCTGGGTGGTCTGCCATTGCCTCTGCTTTTCAAATAGGTGATCAACTCTTTATTGCAGGCTAGTGATGATATTAATATATGGTCTCTCTCGCGCTCTCTGTGGTGTAAATTAGGTCCAGCCTGCTACTTTGGAGACTGTGAGGCTGTCTATTGAAGCAATTGAAAAGTGCACTAAGATGGAGGTGACCCTGGAAGCAGAGACGGATGGAAAGCTGAGAACCTTCATTGTGGCATCGGAGATCCTGGTACAGACCTATGGCATTAAACTTCAGGGAGACTTTGAAAAGAGGCTTCTTAAGATAATGCCGCTTTCTGCAGAGGCAAAAATACAAGGCAATAGAATTACATCTCTCACAAAGATTTAAATCCATCCTAATGATAAAAGGTTTTGTGGATTAAGTTTGATTACTGGCAACTTCGGCCACAAAACCAATGACTTGAAAAGTCACACACTTGTGCTAAAATATAATTTTTAAATGTATTGATTTGTATTTTTACCTGAACTTTTTCATTTTGTAATGAACTGAGCTGAAGTGGTACACCACAAACAAGATATCATTGAACCCAAGATTTGCTGAAGACTTTCCATTTCTGTCTGATTTTGGTTTAATTCTGCATGTAAAACCATTTGTATTTCACCAGTGGTAAGAGGGGATAAGGGGGTTCTATCTTTAAACTATTATACACATCATGTAATTCAGCTAAAAAAAATAGCTTTTAGTAGATGCTGAAAGAGACCTGGCTGATGACTGTATTATAAATACTGTACATAGGGCTCTATTTCAATCTGTATGCGCAATAGAAATGTAATGGTAATTTCCGATTGAGCTGACATATGCAGAGTTTACCGTAAATGCAGTCTCCTCCAACGCGGGAACATTGCCTTTAAATTTAAATTGGGATTTAGTGCTTTTTACTTGCGCGATATGGATTGAATAGAGCCCTTAATCTCTGATAATTATTTTTACCTCAAACCTTTTATCTTGCAACTGTCAACTTAGTTTTTTTGTTTAGAGGGAGGTTTGGCTAGAGCCTTTTGTCAAGCATTTCAATGGCAAAAAGCTGTACAAATTATATTAAATAAAGTGATTACCTCCATAACGAAGTGTTATGTCCTTTTTTTCACTTTATTGCTTGTAACTTTACTATTTTGACAATACATGGAATTGACAGACAAGCTTGAGATGGCTTGTTATTTAAAAATGAAAAAACTGCCTTGGCAATCATGTTTCATGCTGCTTTGGAATTTCTGGTCATACACTATTACTATTTTTCTATTAACATATTATTATTTTTTATCAAACTCCAATGTTTATCCTTGCCACTGTCATGTTTTGCTTTTCGGGGAGGCTTGGCTATGGCCTTTTGTCAAACATGTATAGTCAAGGAAGCAATTTCCTTTTTATACTTCCAGTTTATTGCAGGGAACATCTACAAGAGACTGAGGTCCTTCACATCAAGTACCATTTATATAGATCCTTTCACATCATTACACTCAGGAAAACAGCAAGGCTGGGGAAAATACAATAAACACATTAAATAAATATATACTTAATTCAAACATTTTGTGCACCATACTCTTCTGAGGAACTACTACATAAGTGACTAACAAATTAAGAGCTATATCTCAACAGCATACAATTCACAGCAGCACATAAATAAACACAAAAGACACAGTACACAAAATGTACATATTTAACCATTTTTGACATATCTCTTGATTTGACAAACATTGACCATTATGAATTTGTGGTGAATTCAGATTGCTCTATTGAAACAGGAGATAGTTCTACATATTTTTGTAACTTTGTAGTGGTCTGTTGCACCTAGGAATTTGTGGTGAGTTATCTAGCACACATGATCTATGTAATGAAATGTTTGGACCTTGAGGGGAACAAGATTTACAATTTTATTTATCATTATCAATTGACAGCATTTTTGGGTTATAGTTTTGGTCAATTCAATAAATAGTTGTATGCAAATACAAGGAATGATACATTTCAGTCAATAGCATATAACAGAGAGAACTTATGTTGAATGTTTTACTCAGAAGTTAATAAATAGCTTTTTATAAGGTTGCTTGCCTTGAGAACTTGAAATAGAGTGTGTGTGTGTGTAATCTTCTGATGCTGCAGGGGAACTTATGTCACCATGTACTCCTGGCGCTTGTTGAGTCGGACCTGGCAGAGTGACACCGCCCCCACTGCAACATAAATGGCTGCTGCGATGAAGCAGTTGATGCCCACCTGGTTGTAGAGTCCATAGATGGTCCCCGGGGGGTTCTTACTGTGGGGCAGAGAGAGATGAAAGAAACAGATGAGTTTGGGGGAAAACAACCCAAGCGAGACAACATGGGATGGTTTTCCAAGGGTGAATTCAAAGGGAATCTAAACTAGAAGAGACAAACTCAGTTCATTGTAAGGGTCTAATGGTCCCTTTCTTCACACCACTTACTCATTGCGGATGTCCTCCTCTGTGAAGGGCACGTCCTCAATCAGTACAGCAGACTTTGCACTGAAGAAGATCCCCAACATCACCTGCAATACAACAAGAGGATACATATGTATTGCATTATGCACATTCAGTGTAGTCAGAGAGTAAAGGTGTTTGGATTACAGGGCCAATTAGGGCCCAGTCAGTAGAGACATCCTGTGAGTGTGCATACAGGGTTGAATGACAAGCTCAGTCCAGAGACAGAAAAAGCGAGACATCCCACTCCCTACATTTTTCTGGTTCATATCCAGTCAATTAAATAAGCAGACCTGACCCTATAGATATTAACTTTAGCTATATCTAGCATACCGGTACAGTTAGTCAAGAGATGTTCTAGCAACACCAGACATTTAATGACAGCTACAGTAACTAGCTAGCTAACCCGATGTTGAATTTAATTGAATTCTAGATCAAGCATAAATTAGCATTTGGATCAGGAAAGTTTCCTCTCACGACCTCTACAAGCCAGAATGTTTAATAAAATTATATTTTAACTTACTTTACCGGTTGTCTGTGTGGTTGATCCTTTTGCAGGTAGGAATGAGAGACAACATATCTACAGGAAAGTATAGTAGTGGGTTCAGATTTCTATTACCTGAAGCATGGCACAAAATATGAAAATACATGAATGAGATGCCTGCATGCTTGTTTACATGGTTCTGCACATGCTTCAGGTGATAGAAATCTGTACGCACTACCAGCGCTTTGAAAAGTTGATGTAATTATTAGGGGTTGCGTTAACACAGGATTCTGCGTTTTTCACACAGAAAAGTAAAGATAAAACACTGAAAAAATATCTTGCTGCATTTTGTAAATGCAGACCTAAAATGCTTCTTATTCTAAATTATCCTTGGCTTTCCATGATAAACATAATATATATAATGGCCATGTATCGTTTTTGGCAAAAAAATACCTTGTAAGATAATTTATTTATGTGTGGCTGCTAGCCAAATAGCGTTGCACCACAGATAGAACAATGAGCCAGATATTTCACAGGATGTATAAATGTGAAGCATCCAATTGGCGTTTCCACTCACTACCAAATATGGTGATGAGAGGAAGCCCAGTGGCCGGCAGTGGGAGAAGATAGAGCGAGATGGATTTTAGCCGACATTCTGCTCATTTGCTCATGGATGAAACATTTGATCTCCATACAGTTTTCTGTTTCCAAAACTAGAATCTGTAACAAACAGAGTGGACTGTGTTTTGTAGACTTTACCCTTTGCCAAAGTTTATAAAAATGGCGTTGTTTAGGAGTGCAAGGGCAAATTGCGTTATTGCACATGTAACCGGTGTGAAATGGCTAGCTAGTTAGCGGTGCGCACTAGTAGCGTTTCAATCGGTGACGTCACTCGCTCTGAGACCTTGAAGTAGTTGTTTCCCTTGCTCTGCAAGGGCCGCGGCTTTTGTGGAGCGACGGGTAACGGTGCTTCGAGGGTGACTGTTGTCGATGTGTGCAGAGGGTCCCTGGTTCAAGCCCAGGTAGGGGCGAGGAGAGGGACGGAAGCAACACTGTTACATTGGTGCCGTGACCCGGATCACTGGTTGCTGCGGAAAAGGAGGAGGTCGAAAGGGGGGTGAGTGTAACCGGTGTGAAATGGCTAGCTAGTTAGCGGTGCGCACTAGTAGCGTTTCAATCGGTGACGTCACTCGCTCTGAGACCTTGAAGTAGTTGTTTCCCTTGCTCTGCAAGGGCCGCGGCTTTTGTGGAACGAGCCAATAGGATCTCACTAGCTCGTGCTTGGCTCTGCACACCTCCTTGCTTGTTCTGCCCACTATGATTAATTTACTCCCATTGGAAACTACAGGCTCTGGTCTATATTGGGTTAGTTATAAAAATATTTGTTTGCACTAGAGAGGAAGGGTCATGGCTAGAAGGGATCTAGCTTTTGTCAGAATTTACTTTTCGTAGCATGTTTAGGAGAATTTGCACAGCTGGTTAGAAGAATTAGGCTAAGGAAAGGGGTTAGGGTTAGCTAAAATGCAAACCACCCCAAAAAAACCTTGAGTAAATTTGACAAAAGCTGGATGCCATCTAGACATGACCATGAAGGAGTGATTACTGGGGTAGCAGTAAATGTAAAAGTTGACCAACTGAAGGGGAAGATTCTCTGTGTTTGTGATACTTGTCGTTTGGTGCGACACAAACAGGGTGGCGAGAGTGGGGAAACAGAAGAGTCATTGTCTGTTCTTTTTAGTTTTGAAGTTGAGTCTTTGCCTGACAAAGTGAAGTTAGGATATACATATTACATATATTTACATATTAGTCATTTAGCAGATGCTCTTATCCAGAGCGACTTACAGTTAGTGCATAAAAATTGTCTCTCTCCATACTATATACAAGTTATCCTGTACGAGCTTATGTGCCGAATACATTACGATGTTACAGGTGTCAAACTTATGGGCATGTGGCAGGGGGGGAGTGGTGAGAGTAGTAGATATGTACCAGTACAGAGGGATAGGCCAACAAGTGATATGTGTTTCAGTAAGATTGGATTTTTAGCGTTTATAGCAATGGTTATTAATTGTACTGCAGGGATGGAACGTAAGTCGAAGAAAATTGAGGTTGTGGTGGCAGCTGCAGAGGTATTTGGGTGTGCGAGACTTGACATAAGAAGAGTTACAGGGAGTGTTAAGTGGTGATGTCCCATCATTTCAGGTTGAGGGCATGAGGTAGGAATGAATATATTAAAATAGTGGAGTATACATTTTTTACATTTTAGTCATTTAGCAGACGCTCTTATCCAGAGCGACTTACAGTTAGTGAGTGCATACATTATTTTATTTTTCATACTGGCCCCCCGTGGGAATTGAACCCACAGCTCTACCAACTGAGCTACATCCTTGCCGGCCATTCCCTCCCCTACCCTGGACGACGCAGGGCCAATTATGCGCCGCACCATGGGTCTCCCGGTCGCGGCCGCCTACGACAGAGTAGGGTGGTGTTAATTATTAATAATATTTTTGAATTTGTGAGTGTAGTGTTAGATGGTAGGGTATTTCTTTATTAAATTTTTCAAGCAAAATATAAGGGAAACCTCATCGAAGAAGAAGACATGACCGAGATAAATAGGCAAAGCGAGAGGGATGACTGGGCCAAACTCTCCTCCAGTGTTTTTTCACTCACCAAGCGAGGCGTTTTTGTATGGTGGTATTTGTATAAGTGTCGAATTTGGTTAACAAAAAATGTAATGGCTTATTTGCTCATATATAAGTTACGCAATGCATAGGTTGTTACGGGTGTACTGATATAAGTAGGACCCGTGAGAAAAAACACTATCGGAGTTGTGGCTGTGATCACACTTATCTGCCCTATTATTGGCTAGAATGGTCCCACATGATCTTGCCTCCTGACTGCCTTCCATTTTTTAAGACTTATTTTCATTGTTTGAGCGCCAATAAGTATCTGTCAATATAATGGATAATCTGTGTTTGCACTTATGTTGTCATCTGATAAACGATTTTCTGCTGAATGTGTTGCATTAATGTATTTTGTGTTAAGAAAAACTGTAGTTACAAGAAAAACTGTAGTTACACGCCCCTTATCAATCTACTGAAGCAACAAAAACACAGTCAATATAAAACGTAGATTAAATGGTTTAGGAAGCAGATCTTTTTGATGGTCTGAGTTTTGAAAATTCAGATTTCTGAAAGCTAATGCGACCACTGATTATACTTTCCTGTGTATATATTGTGACACATTCCTACCTGTAAACGGACCAACCGGTAAAGTAAGTTAAAATATTATTTTATTTAACATTTTGGTTTGTAGAGGTCGTGAGAGGAAACCTTCCTGATCGAAACGCTCATGTATGCCCGACGTTGAATCCAATGCAATTCAACATCTGGTCTCCAGGCTCCTAGCTAGTTTGCGGCTAAAGGTTGCCCTATTTGGCTCTAATTATCAGCTTCTGGAAAGCTCAAGTTACTTTAGCCCACAATCAGCTACAGGTGTCTTATCAAAAAGAATAAGGCTGAGTAGCTAATATCGAAAGGTGGAAAATCTTGACACGACCTATAAACTAACGCTAGCTAGCTTTAGCAGATACTTTACTGACAAGCTGGGGTGGGAGCTAACGTTAGCCAGCTAGCTAATCCTTACCAGCATGATGACTCCCCATATGCTGATCACTATTCCACAAGCGGCCATTTTCGGACCGCAGAATAAAAGGGATGGCATTCTTGTAGTTGATATTTTCTACCAAAATAAACAATTTCGGTAGACTAATCTAAAACAGTCTTTTTCTTTTCTCAAAGGACGAGCATCGCCTAGCCTCCATCAGATGACAATCGATTCATTCGTTAATTTCCGTAAATGTTCGTCTATTGCGGTACCAAAGCCAATCAAAATTCGTCCTCAGTCAGGCCCCGCCTTCTCCCTTTCTCGAATCTCGCGCGACAGTCACCAGGCTAGTTAGCTAATCTTTATTAATTTATTTGACCGTTTTGTTGCGAAATTGAAAAATGTAGTTTTCAAACAACAAAGTTACACTTCGTAAACGCATTAGTCTATGCGACTTGGTCTGGCGTGTTAATTGTTGAAACGTTTAATTTTCCGCCTTCTATGGTAACTACCCTGCTAACGTTAGCTTCCCCTAAGCTATTTGCTATCGTTGTTGCGTGGGATAGCAAGCTACAGTAGCTGGCTAAGTGGAGACAGCAGCCCAAAATGACTTCAGCCTCTACTAAGGTAAGAACAGTCTAAGATCTTAAACAGTGCTTCTCTATTTTACTAGTAACCATGGTGTGAATGCGTCAGATGATATGGCCCTAAACTAATCCAATACTATTACAACGTTTCCATGTCTCTTTCTGTGACAGGTGGGAGAAATCTTCTCCGCAGCAGGAGCAGCCTTCACCAAGCTGGGTGAGCTTACAATGCAGCTGCATCCAGTAGCTGACTCTAGCCCTGCAGGGTGAGTGTGTACACTCACTCACTCAAGACAATATGGGGATTAAGGTGTAGTTATTCCATGATAACAGAGTGGTGCTGAGACTCCGATTTTTCACTTTAAAATGTATGTCAAACAAAAAGCATTGATTGCAAAGTTAAACATACCATACAACTCTATGCACAAGGACTACTTAACAATTTCCACAGAACATTTGACAAAAACACATTTACTTGAAGAACAGTGCATATGCAAAGTTTGGTAATAGAATGACGGCACAAACAGCACAAACTGGCATTCTGTTACTAAACTTTGCATCTGCACTGTTCAATTACATTTATTTTTCTTAAAAGTAGTAGTTGTGCATAGAGTTGTATGGTTTGTTTAACTTTGTATGGTTTGTTTAACTTTGCAATCATTTGTTTTTGTTTGACATACATTTTAAAGTGAAAAATCTCAGCATCACTCTGTTACTGTGGAATTGCCCAGCAATAACAGTAGTTTCCATTAACGTGTCCAGTGATTATTATAATTTTTTTTTTTTTGTCAAAGTTTAGAAAGATTGCATAGAAAATAGATGCGACAGTTGCGTTTCCATTTAACTGTCTCGTCTCAATAAAAACAGCTGGACGTAATGACGTCACACCAAAAAAAGTAACTTTTTTGCAAAAACCTACAGTGTCGAATAAAAATAAAGTGGTTCAAGTATTTCCATTACCAATTTAGGCAAATTGCGCATAAATACACATTGGCAACAGCCTGTATGCCCTCCCACCCAGATACATATATTTAGAGAGTAAGCTTATGCTAAGTTACAGGACAGTTTCTCAAGCACAGACTGGAATATGTTCCGGGATTTATCCGATAACATTGAGGAGTTTACCACATCAGTCACTTGCTTCATTAATAAGTGCATCGACGACATCATCCCCACAGTGACCGTACGTAGATACCCCATCCAGAAGCCATGGAATACAGGCAACATCCGCACTGAGCTAAAGGCTAGAGCTTCCTCTTTCAAGGAGGGGGACACTAATGCGGACTACGGCCTCCAACGAGCTATCAAACAGGCAAAGCGTCAATACAGGACTAAGATCGAATCCTACTACGCCGGCTCTGACGCTCGACAGATATGGCAGGGCTCACAAATTATGACATATTACAAAGGGAAACCCAGCCGCAAACTGCCCAGCAACATGAGCCTAGCAGACGAGATAAATGTGACCGACCGGCTCGATTCGGTCTTATGTAGCAAAATTTGAAATTGTGTTTTTTACATTGGATAAAAGTAGAGACTCAGAGCTAGAAAATGGTATATCATACACTACCGTTGAGGAACAATGGGAAAGTAATTATCCTTTAAAGTTTATAAACTTGTAACCTCACTTTTGAGAAAATGGCCTTTGAATGTTTTGGTACACCCACTGGAGAGCTCTTCTTTGTCTACACCCATTCAGCATCGTTCACACCCTCTTAAGCTATAGCCCAGCCCGTAAACTCAGAGCGCTGTCAGATTGTCCGTTTGTAAATTCAGTGCGTTTTGCTCTCGGAGCGGTCACTTGACGCTCTGGTCGAGGAGTAGGGTTGATCCGAGCGTTATGTCCTAACAACAGCAGTCAAGCACCCAAGCTAACGTTGGCTAGCTACTTCCAGACACAAATGAGAGAACAGCTCACTGACCATTTTACTCGCCCTAGCAGAGCTGGTTAGGCTGTTTTTATGTTATCCAGAGCGTTGGTGACTGCAACTGTGCTACTGGAAACAATTTAATTACGCTTTTTTGCGAACGTTTACTGACACCGGCCATATTCAACGGGTGTTGAGCGTTCGTAAATTCATCAGTTATTCTGCACTCTGGCACACTCAGACGAGAGTGCTCTGAAATCGGAGTAGATAGCCAGAGCGAATTTACCAGCTATGTCTATCAACAGTTGTCGCATTGACATCATGAACATTCTATTGAAATGGTTACTTGCATAGTGGAGTCTTTTGTTAAGACATGTAGCTAGCTAGACAATTCCAGACATTCAATTACATACCATTGTTTAAATGTTCCCCATTAATGGAGAGCTAACATGGCTGCCAAATGTTGTAGTGTCATGTAAATGCATCATAATGCTCATTCTAGACATTCAGTTTGATTGTATTTTTAAATACAGTGGGGGGAAAAAGTATTTAGTCAGCCACTAATTGTGCAAGTTCTCCCACTTAAAAAGATGAGAGGCCTGTAATTTTCATCATAGGTACACGTCAACTATGACAGACAAAATGAGAAAAAAAATCTAGAAAATCACATTGTAGGATTTTTAATGAATTTATTTGCAAATTATGGTGGAAAATAAGTATTTGGTCAATAACAAAAGTTTCTCAATACTTTGTTATATACCCTTTGTTGGCAATGACACAGGTCAAACGTTTTCTGTAAGTCTTCACAAGGTTTTCACACACTGTTGCTGGTATTTTGGCCCATTCCTCCATGCAGATCTCCTCTAGAGCAGTGATGTTTTGGGGCTGTCGCTGGGCAACACAGACTTTCAACTCCCTCCAAAGATTTTCTATGGGGTTGAGATCTGGAGACTGGCTAGGCCACTCCAGGACCTTGAAATGCTTCTTACGAAGCCACTCCTTCGTTGCCCGGGCGGTGTGTTTGGGATCATTGTCATGCTGAAAGACCCATCCACGTTTCATCTTCAATGCCCTTGCTGATGGAAGGAGGTTTTCACTCAAAATCTCACGATACATGGCCCCATTCATTCTTTCCTTTACACGGATCAGTCGTCCTGGTCCCTTTGCAGAAAAACAGCCCCAAAGCATGATGTTTCCACCCCCATGCTTCACAGTAGGTATGGTGTTCTTTGGATGCAACTCAACATTCTTTGTCCTCCAAACACGACGAGTTGAGTTTTTACCAAAAAGTTCTATTTTGGTTTCATCTGACCATATGACATTCTCCCAATCCTCTTCTGGATCATCCAAATGCACTCTAGCAAACTTCCGACGGGCCTGGACATGTACTGGCTTAAGCAGGGGGACACGTCTGGCACTGCAGGATTTGAGTCCCTGGCGGCGTAGTGTGTTACTGATGGTAGGCTTTGTTACTTTGGTCCCAGCTCTCTGCAGGTCATTCACTAGGTCTCCCCGTGTGGTTCTGGGATTTTTGCTCACCGTTCTTGTGATCATTTTGACCCCACGGGGTGAGATCTTGCGTGGAGCCCCAGATCGAGGGAGATTATCAGTGGTCTTGTATGTCTTCCATTTCCTAATAATTGCTCCCACAGTTGATTTCTTCAAACCAAGCCGCTTACCTATTGCAGATTCAGTCTTCCCAGCCTGGTGCAGGTCTACAATTTTGTTTCTGGTGTCATTTGACAGCTCTTTGGTCTTGGCCATAGTGGAGTTTGGAGTGTGACTGTTTGAGGTTGTGGACAGGTGTCTTTTATACTGATAACAAGTTCAAACAGGTGCCATTAATACAGGTAACGAGTGGAGGACAGAGGAGCCTCTTAAAGAAGAAGTTACAGGTCTGTGAGAGCCAGAAATCTTGCTTGTTTGTAGGTGACCAAATACATATTTTCCACCATAATTTGCAAATAAATTCATTAAAAATCCTACAATGTGATTTTCTGGATTTTTTTTCTCAATTTGTCTGTCATAGTTGACGTGTACGTATGATGAAAATTACAGGCCTCTTTCATCTTTTTAAGTGGGTGGCTGACTAAATACTTTTTCCCCCACTGTATTCCCCATGTAATGGTAATGAGAGCTAAGATGGCTGCTATAGAATGTTGAGGTTTCATGTAAATGCATCAATGCAGAAACCGCATTGTCCCAACTCTCTAAATACATGGCTCTGCTCCCACCTACATTTACATTTACATTTTCGTCATTTAGCAGACGCTCTTATCCAGAGCGACTTACAAATTGGTGCATTCACCTTATGATAGCCAGTGGGACAACCACTTTACAATATATATATATATATATTTTTTTTGGGGGGGGGGGGGGGGGGGGGGTAGAAGGATTACTTTTATCCTATCCCAGGTATTCCTTAAAGAGGTGGGGTTTCAAGTGTCTCCGGAAGGTGGTGAGTGACTCCGCTGTCCTGGCGTTGTGAGGGAGCTTGTTCCACTATTGGGGTGCCATAGCAGTGAACAGTTTTGACTGGGCTGAGCGGGAACTGTGCTTCCGCAGAGGTAAGGGGGCCAGCAGGCCAGAGGTGGATGAACGTAATGCCCTCGTTTGGGTGTAGGGACTGATCAGAGCCTGAAGGTACAGAGGTGCTGTTCCCCTCACAGCTCCGTAGGCAAGCACCATGGTCTTGTAGCAGATGCGGGCTTCAACTGGAAGCCAGTGGAGTGTGCGGAGGGGTGGGGTGATGTGAGAGAACTTGGGAAGGTTGAACGCCAGATGGGCTGCAGCGTTCTGGATGAGTTGTAGGGGTTTAATGGCACAGGCAGGGAGCCCAGCCAACAGCGAGTTGCAGTAATCCAGACGGGAGATGACAAGTGCCTGGATTAGGACCTGTGCCGCTTCCTGTGTAAGGTAGGGTCGTACTCTGCGATTGTTGTAGAGCATGAACCTACAGGATCGGGTCATCGCTTTGATGTTAGCGGAGAACGACAGGGTGTTGTCCAGGGTCACGCCAAGGTTCTTTGCACTCTGGGAGGAGGACACAACAGAGTTGTCAACCGTGATGGCGAGATCATGGAGCGGGCAGTCCTTGATATGTCTGCCAGACATGCAGAGATGCGATTCGCCACCTGGTTATCAGAAGGGGGAAAGGAGAAGATTAATTGTGTGTCGTCTGCGTAGCAATGATAGGAGAGACCATGTGAGGATATGACAGAGCCAAGTGACTTGGTGTATAGAGAGAATAGGAGAGGGCCTAGAACTGAGCCCTGGGGGACACCAGTGGTGAGAGCACGTGGTGCGGAGACAGATTCTCGCCACGCCACCTGGTAGGAGCGACCTGTGAGGTAGGACGCAATCCAAGAGTGAGCCGCGCTGGAGATGCCCAACTCGGAGAGGGTGGAGAGGAGGATCTGATGGTTCACAGTATCAAAGGCAGCAGATAAGTCTAGAAAGATGAGAGCAGAGGAGAGAGAGTTAGCTTTAGCAGTGCGGAGAGCCTCCGTGACACAGAGAAGAGCAGTCTCAGTTGAATGACCAGTCTTGAAACCTGACTGGTTTGGATCAAGAAGGTCATTCTGAGCGCGATAGCAAGAGAGTTGGCTAAAGACGGCACGCTCAAGAGTGCACCTACAGTGCATTCGGAAAGTATTCAGACCCCTTGAATTTTTCCACATTTTGTTACGTTACAGTCTTATTCTAAAATTGATTAAATATTTTTTTCCCCCTCAACAATCTACACACTTCCACATAATGACAAAGCGAAAACAGGTTTTTAGAAATGTTTGCATATTTATGAAAAATAAAAAACAGATACCTTATTTACATAAGTATTCAGACCCTTTGCTATGAGACTCGAAATTGAGATCAGGTGCATCCTGTTTCCATTGATCATCCATGATGTTTCTACAACTTGATTGGAGTCCACCTGTGGTAAATTCAATTGATTGGACATGATTTGGAAAGGAACACACCTGTTTATATAAGGTCCCATAGTTGGCAGTGCATGTCAGAGCAAAAACCAAGCCACAAGGTCGAAGGAATTGTCCGTAGAGCTCCGAGACAGGATTGTGTCGAGGCACAGATCGGGGAAAGGGTACCAAAACATTTCTGCAGCATTGAAGGTCCCCAAGAACACAGTGGCCCACTAAGACTCTTCCTAGAGCTGGCCGCTCGGCCAAACTGAGCAATCGGGGGTGAAGGGCCTTGGTCAGGGAGGTGACCAAGAACCCGATGGTCACTCTGACAGAGCTCACGAGTTCCTCTGTGGAGATGAGAGAACCTTCCAGAAGGACAACCATCTCTGCGGCACTCCATCAATCAGGCCTTTATGGTAATGCAGGAGTGGCTTCGGGACAAGTCTCTGAATGTCCTTGAATGGCCCAGCCAGAGCCCGAACCCAATCGAACATCTCTGGAGAGACCTGACAATAGCTGTGCAGAGACGCTCCCCATCCAATCTGACAGAGCTTGAGAGGATCTGCAGAGAAGAATGGGAGAAACTCCCCAAATAAAGGTGTGCCAAGCTTGTAGCATCATACCCAAGAAGACTCAAGGCTATGCTTCAACAAAGTACTGAGTAAAGGGTCTGAATAATTATGGAAATGTGATATTTCAGTTTTTTTATTTTTTATAAATTAGCAAAAATGTCAAAATATTTTTTTTGCTTTGTCATAATGGGGTATTGTGTGTAGATTGATTAGGGGAAAAAACGATTTAATCAATTTTAGAATAAGGCTGTAACGTAACAAATGTGGGAAAAGTCAAGGGGTCTGAATACTTTCCGAATGCACTGTATGTTTCAGGAGCCCATGAATGCCAGCATTTATAGAATGCGAAGCAATTCAGGCATTCTTGAAAGTCAGGACAATCCTTGTCCTACAAAGAAACATATTTTTTTATATTTGGAAAATTGATTTTGCAAGTAGTAGGCGTTTAGAATTAAATGTGGAGCTTTATAGTTACGTGACGACATCACGTGCCCCGCCTACCCTCAAAATTATTTGGCAATCATCATTTATTTGAAAAACAGTTTCCATTGTAATTTGTCGCAATTAAGAACGTTCGACAAAGGAAAAGTCCACCCCTGTCGATTGGATAAAATGTTGTGGATCTTTAGAAAATGTCTCCTGTATCTGCCGTTTCCATTACACGTCGCAATAACACAATTTGTGACATTGCTTTTGTCTAATAAACCTGGGTCAATGGAAACTTGCCTACTGACTCTTCTCCTTTCTTCTCCCGCTCTTCCCATTGCTATGTCCCTCTCCCCAGAGCCAAATGGACCGAGACGGAGGTCGAGATGCTGCGGTCAGCTGTGCGGCGCTTCGGTGATGATCTGAACAGTATCAGCTCTGTGATTAAGGAGCGCACTGTGTAAGGACTCTTCTGTCCCCTCTTTCTTGCCATCCATGTTTATTCTATCCTGCCACACTTTCAGTCTCTTTCTTTCTCCCTCTATCGCATCATACTGCACCCACTCTTACCATCTTTCACTGCTCTTTCATCCATTTATCTTTTATCTTTACTGCCTTTTTTCTAAAGAAGACATCTGGTGGGGTTGACGTCAATTCCAGACAACTCTTGTTGGCAAATTATCTTGTTTACCATTATACATCCTGTGTTGTAAACCTGTATGAAAATCACATAACCAATCTATTGCCTCCTCTGTTTTATGCAGAGCCCAGATAAAGACGACAGTGAAGAGGAAACTGTATGAGGACAGCAGGGTGCCCCTCTCCTCCGACTCCCCCAAAAAGATCACCAAGAAGACCACAGTCATCATGGCAGCCGCACCAGCACCCGTGGCCCCCACTGTCATCGCAGTGCCCACCTCACAGGTTGTCGTGACAACAGGGCTGCAGAGCCCCTCCTCTATGCCCCCTGCCATCAAGAAACAGAAAACAGCAGGTGAGTGGAATGATACAGGCCTTTACGTCAAGGGGAAGGGATTGTGTGATGAATATGGCTTGTATACTGAATTTAGTAGATTCCATTTGAATCCATAGTCAAAAGACCAAGACATTTCTTTTGAAATATGCTAACCCTTTTCAAATCAATACTTCTGATGCATTTACCCCAAACATTGGCTGATTTGAATGTATGTGCAAGTTTACTAACATGTGACATGTTTCCCTGTCTGTGTGTGTAGATGTGACGCTCAGTGCTCTGAATGACTCTGATGTGAACAGCGACCTGGTGGACATTGAGGGACTGGGAGATAGTTCCAACACCAAGAAGCTCAACTTTGATCAAGGTGAATGATAATATCCGCTCCATAACTGGCTCTCAATCAACATGGTTCACATTGTGGCATTATGCCAAAGTCCAAGGTATTTAGCTGAATAGAGAGTCTTCATCAGTTTTAAATCTGTGTGGCTCATCTTGTTTTCCCAGAAAGCCTCAACCTGGACTCCAGCCTAATCATGAACTCCAGTGACCTGCCCCTCTTGTCTCGCTGACCTCTAACCACACTGTACCCTTGGGTTGGAAACACTGGGTCCCTATATCACCAGAGAGCAGACTACAGTTAGTATCTTTGTTACAGAGCTTTTTTGGACACATTTAAGCAGATAGATTTGTGTATTTTTATGAACAGACCCCTCTCCCCATCAAGTACTTCTGTATTCAGTCTGGGGCATTTCTACTGAGGAACGCTTCTATTTGGCTGTTTCTCACAATCCTAGTTTGTGTGTGATGTATAGCTTTTTTTATTGTAACATTATAATTTATTTGCTCTGCTAATTTTCCAAGTACTGTATTGCAGCTGAACATATGCTGTTCATGATCTCCAGAGAGAAATGGTGTTTCAGTGCAGATGTCCATCATGTAACGTAGAGTGAGTGTACATGTTGTGTACCACTGGTTGATATTTATAAATGCAAGATACCGGCTATCCAACTATTACCGGTATTTCATTTGTTCACACAATGGTTGTGTTTAGACAAATGTTAATCTCTTTTGTGTCTGTTTCACTGGGCTTGTAGAATGTGATAGAGGGTAGCGGTTCAGACTGCCATCTAGTGGCCGTTATAAAAAAGATTGCAGAAATGTACAGGTGACCATATGAAATTATCTATGGAGACAAAGGAAAGTCCACAGGTTTTCTGATATAAGACAGTGAATTTTGTTTTCATGATTTTTATTCATATATATATATATATATATATATAATACAATATATTTATATTTAAAAGGTGTACATTATTCTCACTCTCTCTTACAGTTCCATAAAAATATGTAGAGACTTGTCTAAGCTATTTACAGTTTGAAAATACTTGTCTGAATGTTCTGGCAATGTGCTTTAATTCCCTTTCTCACAATAACATGTCTTTATTTCCTCTCTCTCTCTCTCCTCTTTGATTTATTATATTGTCAGTTTAAAAAAAAAAAACAGGAAAAAAAGGAGCCCTCTAACACTGACATTTCGTATATGTAAAACAATCATTTTTAAGATTGTGGTTGTTCACATTCTTAAAAATGTGATATTTTGAATAATGACAAGGAAACAATAAAATAATCTGTAAATGACTATACAAATTAAGTGTGTTTAACTGACCTCGCACCAACCAGATGGTCTTCCTGGTTGAAGTATTGCAATTGAGACGGCCAGACGTGGCCTCTGTTTGTCTCCTAGATTATCCCCTAAATATGTCACCTAGGTCAGACCCAGGCCTGGACCGATCTCCTACAGGCAGTGGTCTTGTACGACAAGACACTGGGAAACACTACTGATAAGGCATGCAAACTCTGTGGGTCAACTGCAATGAACATCGACAGATTATTAAAATATTTTATATTTGGCTTCAGATCACTTCCAAGTCTTAAATGTATTTATTTCCCCCTAGTTCATCCTCTGCAACAAGGATGGGATTGGTGAAACTACCACTGAATGTTAGTGCCATTTGATGGCAAGTTTTACTTGTAGGTTAACCGCAGATTAAATTGGAGTTAGTTATGATATCAGACAGAGATCAGCATCTTCTATGGATGTTCATGTCATTTGACTCGGTATGCATTTACAGGATATCTCCCCATACTTAGGAAAGAGTATCAAATACATATGTGTCTAAAAGCTATAGTCTGTCTGTACAATGTGTATGAAAAGGTAATAATTTGGGTTTGGCAATGTGAGTTGATTGATCATCTACACTAGGATCTCAATCATACACCTTGGAGAGAAATGGAGCTGTGATGCTGGTTGTCCATCTAAACGATGTATGCTGTCAAAATATAACTACAGTCTTGTGAACATGAATAGAACTCAAACTGGAGTTTTTATTTCCCTCCAAATTCACTGATTGTCACTAAGGAAAAACAAAGTTCCTTCATCTAAAATCAGTGGTTAAGATCAGCAGATGACCCTCAACCCTTGCTGACCTAAGCACTTCTGAGACAGGACAGAGACAGTAACCTGATGAGAAACGAGCAAACGAAGCAAATCTACAAAGCAACAGCATGTCTTAAAATCAGGATATGATCCCATTCGTGTAACAGCAATATTGATTAATAATGTGAAAATAATACTGTGCAAAATCGTGAAAATTGGAAGTAGAAGGTCTTCAAAAAGGAGACATTTTCTGTCCATTGCTGTAAAACTTAGCTCTGGAAAGGGCATTTGAATGAAGAGTATTACACAGTTACTGTCGATAACATTCTCTTTTCGTATAAGACACTTCTCTAAGCAGCTTATATAGACAACATATTTCACAAGTCAACAGGTTTGGAGGTCACACAGTCATGGGGTTAAAAACCACATAGCTTTCCCATAAATTACATCAACCCAAACAGCATGATATGCCCTTGATGTCACTTATGAAATCTCACTATCTACCAGGGTACTGAGCATGTATAACCATACCACATTACAGAATTTGAATAAGACCGGTCAGTAATGTAATCCATGGGAAAAATGTATGTTAACACCCCACAGACTACCTCTGTTAAAGTAACCATGTAGAGAAAGGGTAATATCACGCTCTACCCAGAGGACTGAGATCCCCAGTCCTGGTCCTTTCTATCTAACTAAAGAACACACACCTGTCGAGGTGATTCCTTCGTCAAGTAAATGTGTTTTTGTAGAATTTTCAGTGGAAAATATCACGCTCTACCCAGAGGACTGAGATCCCCAGTCCTGGTCCTTTCTATCTAACTAAAGAACACACACACACACCTGTCAAGGTGATTCCTTCGTCAAGTAAATGTGTTTTTGTAAATTGTTCAAAGTAGTCCTTCTGCAGAGTTGTATGGTGTTTAACTTTGCAATCATTGGTTTTTGTTTGACATACATTTTAAATGGAAAAATCTGAGTGTAGCTAGGTTTCCATCCAATTGGCGACAGATTATCATGTGAATATTCTAAAATACGCATTAAGAAAATATGTGAATTTCCCCACCAGTGGTGTTTCCACCAAACTAATGTTCAATGTGTTTCCATCGCATTTTCAACTCTAGCGATAGTTTTGTCACAAACTGTTAAATAGCAAATTTGCCTACTCTGGTCTTGGCATGTGCGCTCTAGCCAACAGCTCGCAGATACAGTGTGGGTAGGCTAGTCTACATGATGAGATTATTATGGATAAGTGCGAGAATATTTGTATTTGTCAAAACGGCAGTCAAGCATCGATCATCATGTCACCAGAATAAGACCCTCGACATTTATTGGAAAGTAGCATCAAGCTCATACCATGCACTTTCACCACCCTGTGAAGTTCATCATAACTGATTTCATCTGTAGCCTAATAAACTGCATGGTTTCCCTGAGTCCTAGTGGGAGGACCACACGTCATCGCGTGACTCCAAGTTTACTTCGATATGATGGTAATTATATCAATAGTAGCGCATAAAGCCATTTCTCGCATAATTAATTTTACAGGCACAAAAAGATCCCACCATATCGAACGAACAAATTATCTGTCGGCATTTCTAAAATTGTACTGAAACTTCCTGCTACCATCACAGCTGTTGTAATTTTTTTTATACGATATGACTTTACTAGCATAAAAACTGTGGATGGAAATGTGGTTTGTGTCACTCTGATACTGTGGAATTGCCCTGTCATGTCAATGACAGATTTGTGCTAAACATTTTAGTTACTAGTATTCATGCAGAACTATCATTAGGATTGGGCTGTTAAGGACCAGGATTGTGAGGGTCCTCTGGGCAGAGCTTTGCTTGGGGAATCTATATTTACAGTACAAACCCCCACAGCCAGAGAAAGTGAGGGGGCCATAAAGGCAGCCCTGCTCATAGCCGCGTATTCACATATCGACAAGCTCAAAGCCACCACCGGCTCGGCAGTCCACTGTGATGCCCTGGTGACTTAATGTTTCATGTTTGAGTTCTAACTTCTGGACTATCAAAGAATACTGAACTATTGGGTCCCGTTCAGTGGGATATAACGTTACCTCTGAACACAACTTCGGACAAGGCCTTTTCTTGACTATTGGAAGAACTTGTTCTGTTTTACAGTACCAGTAACACCTCTAGATATGAGATAAACAAAATCCCAACAAGGAAAATGACAACCATAGTTGATATTGGTTATCACAACACAACCCACATGTCAACTACAGCGAAAAGTGAGTCCAGAAGTTAGTCAAACGATTTTCTAAGTGCTTTCACATTGTCATCACAATCTCTTCACCCTGACACTACCTTACAATGCGCTGGTCACCTGATCACCAACTTCCTTTAGCAGGGCATTTCCTGCAACCTTCTGATTAACAAAGCACGGGTGCCAGTCTTTGTATAACATCTAGATATTATCTTGATTACAAATCAAGATCTGATTACTTCAGGAGCCAAGGAATATGTTTCTCCAAGGCTCTGATGGTTTGAGAGAGAGGAGTGATCCCTGATAGCCCGATTGCGTAGAAACTAGGGATCTGATAGGCTTACTGAGTTGATTCGCAGGCTCTGATAGGTGGACTAGGTGGGTGGGGCTTTGAAGATTTGGTAGGAGTGTTGAGGGATCCAGGGCCCTGACAGGCTGACTGATTGTAGTCCTGGTCTGTGATAGGCTCCTGGTGTTGGGTTGTCTAGATGTTGGGGTGGTAAGAGGGGGGAGGAGACAGGGACAGGGGACTACCATCACACACAGACACACCACCTGTAGGAGAGTCTGCAGATGCCTGGGACACACTGGGGGAGGGGGAAAGAAGGAAAAATAGAAAGAGAGGTTAACAGAGGTGCAGCTAGCACCATATTTGCAAGAGTGTGTGTGTGTTTCTAGTTCTCACCTGACTGTGTAACTAGTCCGGTGAGCAGGATCTGTTACCCCGGCAACAAACAGCTTCTTGGGCGGGCCATCAGACTCCACTCCACCTACATGACAGAACAACAGGATGAAGGAGAGGAGACACACACACCAAGATCAAAGTAAGCACTATTCTTGAAGCACCGTTCTTACCTTTCCTTTTCAGTGGAGTCAGGGCAGGCCATCTCACAGTAGAACTGACTGTAGGCCTGGTAGGGGACACATTTTGTGTTAAGTTGGTGTGGACACAGTGTCAGTGTAGCAATGAATCTGCACTCAATTTAGTTTGCCATACGGCGTGGAACTCAACTCACCCCCTAAACCACCTTCGAGTTGGACTAGGGGACGAATTGGGTGTGACACCACTGTCCTGTGAATTAAATCCCTGTGAAAGACAGCGGACCAAAATAAATAAATAAATGTGAGATGCCTCTTTATCCATCTATTTATTCATCATCCATCCATTAATCCTCTCTCCATGCTTTGGTATGACAAAGCACTACAGTCACGTGCAGAACACAGTGGGAGTACTCACCCCTGATGAATGGTCATGCCAGTGACTGACAGGAGGAGGGACCAGGTTGGAAGCACTACAGCAAGAGAGAGAGAGAACACACTTAGTAGTGTGTGTGTGTGTGTGTGTGTGTGTATGCATGTGCATTTGTACAGCGTTTCACTACCTTACCTTAGTCTCTGAAGACTACCCCTGAGTGTCATCTCCATATTCTCTTCCTGGAACAAAAATACAAACTTCCAGTCAGTGGTCATACACCACACATACTACAGCACGCTGCACACACTCTGAAACACCAATGTGAGCACTCACATAAGATAACCTCACACAGAACTGTACTAACACACTGGCTAATACATAAGCAAACACTCAAACCAGCATCATTACTCAGAGGCAGGCATTTGGCACAAATGGAGGGAAGAGGCCCAGAATATCCCTAACCTTGTCCTCACCTGCCTTTTGTGGTCTGGTCTCTCACCACCCAATGAGAAAGGGGACAGGGGGATGGCCTGTGGAAACAAGACTGGAGGTATTATTGTCAGCCTGACAGAATACTGAATGATAACAGACAGGCAGTCAGATACAGACAGAAATACATGGAGATTGACAAATCAGAAAACACTGAAGGCATTTCAACACCAACTTAGTGAGACAGAATACACACACACACACACACACACACACACACACACACACACTCACCCGATAAGGGCAGCTGGGGTTTACAGAGACACTGCTCCGCCGATACCGGGCTGAACTAGTTGGACTGAACACTGTCATACCATCACTGTTACACGGAGAGAAACAAACAATACAATAAAATACTCAGTCATTCCAAGGCAGACATATGAAAAACATAAATTACATTTAGACAATTGCATTCACTCAAAGAGAATATCAATTTCACTGACCTGACACTTGTGATCATGGGGGCGCTGTTCGATCTACGAAGAGCCCCGCCTCCGCTCCCGGTAGTTGCGCCTGCGCACTGGTCCACTTCCATTCGTTCCATTTCTTGAAATCCCCGGCCTCCAGCCTAGCAGCTGGCCTAAGAGTGCTCACAGGCGGCGTACGGCCCTACTCTAGCCCGGTGAAAGCCCGACCTGCAGGCCTCACACACAAAGCTTTCGATCCAATTCAGAGCCGCTAAATCAGCGGGAAATGTACTTGGTGTCTTCCTTCTATCTCATTTTTGTTAGATGAAGTAAGACTTTTGGCTCAAGTTACTGCATGCGACTGACTATTCGTAGCTAACTAGCTAACCTTAATAAAATACCCAGAAACCCAGTTCCTATGGTTGCATAAAGGCTTAACAAATAACGCATAGAAAAACACTCAACTAGCGAGATAATCCTTTACAATACATTTTAACGTAAATTAAGTTAGGTTAGCAGGCCAGTTGGAGACGTGATTTTTTAAGATTAGCTAGCTACTCCAACTGTTGGCTAGCTAGCTAGCAGCTAACCAGTCAGTCAGAGAATAAAACGGCACTGTCCTCAACAACAATATAACCTTTGGCATTGGGTCGTTGAAGTGGTGCATCCTCCAGTTAAGTTGTTAATTGCGCAATCGACCAAATCTCCCAACATTTGAACTATTTCTCGAAATATAACTAATTGAAAGATTTTACAACATAGTCCTCCACCAAATAGAGGTAGTTCGTCATCTGTGATAACAGCGCCTCTCCTTGGCTAGATAGAATATTGCATGAAGGAGATTAATTGCAACATGAGAAGGCTGGAGTGCTGCATGTGCACGTTGTCTGTCTGCCTGCCTGCTTGGGCTGCATCACTTTTTCCAAACAGATTTTGATAGCAGACAATCAAAGAGATAAGGCTGGGGTCAAGGATAGGGGTTGGTGGTAGGCCTATGCTTAGCTCAAAATACAATATCTGATTTGTTATGGGGTGCCTAGCCCGCTGTAATTCGAAACCCTGCACTGGTTTACAATAGTACATAAGAGTGACTTCGCACAGTTGTCCTTTTATAACAATCACTCTGTTGAGTTAGACTATTTAAACTTCCTCCATGGTTTCCTCTTGGATTGTCCTCAACATTCTTAGACTGTTCTGACTGAGCTATTTGTTCTGGATGCTGCTACTGCTCCTATGCCTCCAGCTTTTTCACACTCACGCTTTTCCATTAACAGAGGGAGGGGAGGGGACAGCAGTCAGCAATAACATTTGTGGTCCAGGCTTTGTGGGTCACTGGCTGCTGATAAGGGGCAGAGCTGCTTACTGTCCCAGCCTGTGTTATGACATCACCTTTCTACACCAGCTGTCATGGCCTGGAGAGGGGGGTGGAGGGAGGGTCATGACTGGGAGTATGAATGGAGGCTGTGTGTGTGTGGCTGTGTGCGTATGTGTGTGTGCCTTCCCAATAATGTGTGAGTGATTGAGAGCGAGGGAGATGTTCTGTGAATGAATACAGAGTTTAAAGATGTGTGAGGGTGTCAGATTAAGCAATGTGCAGTTTCAGAGGACATACAGTACTGTATGTAGACCAGATGAAAGGGAGGGTCATTAACCTTCTACCCTCCTTATGGATTGGCTAATTATCACAGGACACTCCCCCTAACATCCAGTCTTCGTTGGCCGGTGATCACACAAATAAAGTTAAACACAAACAAGAAATAGACCACACTGTCCACGACTGTGATTACACTTCAACTGCATTTAATGTCAACATGCTGACTGAGAAAGTAACACATTTAACAAGTCCAAATGAAATAAAGTGAAAAACAACTAAGTGCCCCAAATAGAAAGGTCCATACAAAAAATACACAAACACACACAAATTTACACGTAAACGATGCCGTATTTGTTCCAACGAATCGCCCTCTTCTTCTCCCTTTCAGTCTTCTTTTCTCCCTTCACCTCCTCCTTCTCTCCCACTCTGTCTCTCCTCAGGATCCTCAGTGGCCAGAGAGAGGGGTTGCGGTGGTGGTCATGCTGACTGGCCGTGTCACAGCAGGGGCCACTCTTGTCTCCAGTGAGGAAGTACAGGAGAGCGTTCAGCCAGGCATTGCAGGAGGCCATTGGCCTAGTGATCTTGTAGCAGATTGAGATTGTCTTCATGGCGTTGCAGCCCCCCATTTGACCCCTCCTGAGGAGCAGGTATAGTGTCCGGGTAACGTGGAAGGGGAGGAAGCAGAGTGCGAACAGGAGAGTGATGGTGACAATGGTTTTGATGGACTTGCGGCGCCTGCAAATGTAATAGGAGTGCTGTGAGCTGGAGATGGAGATGGACGTCCTCTCCCTGCGCCCCTCTGACCGCCCATCACCTCCCTCCTCGTCTTCCCCCACCTGGGAACTGGATGGGGAATGCAGGGTCCTAAAGATGGTCCTGACTACCTGGGAGTAGCACCATGCGATAATGGTGAATGGGACGAAGAACCCCAGTAGGTGCAGGACGAGGCCGTACGGGACGTAGTCTGCAAACTCTTTATCAATAGCATCATCCCAACAGTTCACAAATCCCTTCGGACCATCACGACCCTCTCTCCTCCACCCACCTCCTCTTCAGACCCATTCCCCCACTCTCCTTCCCTCCCTCCACCACCTCCTCCTCTCACCACATACCCTGTCTGGGCAAACCTGAAGATGGGACAAGTAACCACAAACTCCACCACCCACATCATGGCATAGGAAAAAATTAATACTGAAAAATACTTCAGAGATTAAAAAGTTCAATGTTACTTCATAGCATTCATCCCTTTCCCATGGCTATGAATCTGCTATCACAGTTCATTGTTTCATCATACTACATCATGCACACAATTATGTGAAAGTACGACATATAATAATTGCTGGTTAAGACACGAGGTAATAAGGCCAGGAGTTTTTCCTGATCATGTGACCTGAAGAGGAAAGACTCTGGGTAAGTAACTTGAGCCTGGTGAGGTCACATGGTCAGGAAAATCTCTTGTACCTAGACAAGTCCAGCATGGCCCGAACATATTTTTGGTATCTCAGATTGGGAGGAAGGATGTTTAACATGCTTTTTACATTTGTATTACAAACCACTTTTGAGAAAATCGTAATGAAAGAGGCCATTTTAGGTCCCTTATAGACCTATGCATGCCTCCTGTAAGACCCTATGATCTGTGAACCGTACACGGTACAGACATCTTGGTGTTATTATACTCCTTAGTGTGCTCTAAAATAAGGAGTATGGCTATATTCTGGAATACACATTTTCAACTCAATTTAGTCAACATTAACAAATATTATTATGAATATTTTTGATTTAGCTTATTTTTAAACATATTGTTTGGAAGAATATACTCTTCAAACACATCACATTCCCAGAGTGGGCCCTCTGCTACTTTTGAAGAAATTATCAGTTTTATATACTTAACAAAAATATAAACGCAATATGCAACAATTTCAATTATTTTACGGTTCATATAAGGAAATCAGTCAATTTAAGTAAATAAATTAGGCCCTAATCTATGGATTTCACATAACTGGGCAGGGGTGCAGCAATGGGTGGGCCTGGCTCCCAAGTGAGTGGGCCTATGCCCTCCCAGGCCCACCCATGGCTGCACCCCTGCCCAGTTATGTGAAATCCATAGATTAGAGCCTAATTTATTTATTTAAATTGACTGATTTCCTTATATGAACCGTAACTCAGTAAAATAATTGAAATTGTTGCCAGGCCCAGGCAATCAGAATAAGTTTTCCCCCACAAAAGGGCTTTATTACAGAAATACTCCTCAGCACCCCCACCCTCCCCCCTCAGACGATCCCGCAGGTGAAGAAGCCAGATGTGGTAGTCTTGGGCTGGCGTGGGTACACATGGTCTGCGGTTGTGAGGCCGGTTGGACGTACTGCCACATTTTCTAAAATGACGTTGGAGGTGGCTTATGGTAGAGAAATTAACATTAAATTCCCTGGCAACAGCTCTAGTTGACATTCCTGCAGTCCCTCAAAACTTGAGACATCTGTGGCATTGTGTTGTGTGACAAACTGCACATTTTAGAGTGGCCTTTTATTGTCCCCAGCACAAGGTTCACCTGTGTAATGATCATGCTGTTTAATCAGCTTCTTGATATGCCACACCTGTCAGGTGGATGGATTATATTGGCAAAGGAGAAATGCTCACTAACAGGGATGTAAATAAATTTGTGCACAGAATTTGAGAGAAATAAGCTTTTTGTGCGTGTGGAACACTTTACATGTTGCGTTTATATTATTGTTCAGTATACAAAGAAATTGACATTATAGGTCATTAACCAATCACAGCCCTCCTGTAGGATTGCACATTCAGCAAATCACCAGCAGAAGAAGCTCCCTTTGAATCATAACTTTAAAAGTAGCAGAGAGCCCACTCTGGAAATGTGATACTTGTAGAGTATATTGTTTAAAACAATGTCTAAAAATGAACAAAATCAAAAAGGGCACTTTTGAGATTAATATTAATAGTTTTAATCTTGAATAAATTTTGTGTAAAATTGTATTTCAGAATGTAACGATAGTCCATATTTTAGAGCTATTAGGGGTATAATGACACCAAGGTGTTGTCATGCATAGGTTTACAAAGGGCCTAAACTGACCACTTTCATCATGAATTTCAAAAATTGAAATCCCTCAGCTTCTCCTTCATTGTTACAAATGTAAAAAGCACATCAAACATCCTTCATCCCAATGAAGTTTCTATGTGAGAATTGCCAGAACAATCGGAGAAACTCAAAATATTTTCGGCCTATGTTGGCATGGACTCAATCACCCAATAGCAGCTTTGTGGTTTCCTATGCTGATGGTAGTTATAGTTATGGCGGCAAACCACCTAGGTATATCATAAGAGTCCGAATACATCATGTCAATACCCACAGGCTTATTGGCACTATGCAGACAATTCCCTTACATCAACAACTACATGATGCTTATATTACTTATAATAGAGGATAATTAGCAACAAATAACCAAATGGTTACAGGACAGTTCCATTTAGCCTGAATATGTAACTCCTTAGCTTGTTTTATACAGGCTCTAAGTGGACAATTCCCTTATATTAGTAAGTCAAGGATATTGCAATGTTTACACAATAAAACGTGTGCAAAAGCTGGTATCCCTCATATGTAAATGATATAACTCATTGAATGTTGGGTTACACTATGGCTGTGAAGGTTCTCCGTCTGACACCCCCAAGATAAATAGGACTTGCTTACCACAGGCAACAGACTAGGAGTCAGATATTATTAGAGATGTTTCAAACAACATCACAAATGGCTTAAAACCCTCTTTCTGATATGAAATATTTTTGGTTAAGTGCATGCTTAAGTCAAAACAGGTCCTAATACAGTACTCTCTCCAATAATGATGATGCAGATTATGCTGGTCAAGATCAGGTGGGGATGATGAAGAGAAAGTTATCCATACCCTGTCTGTGTAATATGGATTGTATTATGACGCCGGTCCAAGATGTTGCTCATCAGTGTTCATCCTCAACATTTCTCCTTTACGAAAAATCATGTTGAGTAGGCTACTATGGCAACAATTCTGACAGTCTCATAGTGGCAAATCCTGGACAGAATCACTTTATGCACTATTGGTCACAATGACTTCCTGTCCTGGTACCCTGTCCATGGCAGTGATGATGTCACATCCTGTGCACCTGTGGGTCAGGATTATGTCAGATCCTGTACGTCCAGGAGCATGGCGTCCTGTTTGGTCCTCAGCTGGTCTCTTATCAACAGGTGACCCACCAACTCTGAGCTCAGGTCTACAAGAATAGAATATTACTAGTATTACTACTATTGTCACATGAAAAGCACAACAACAAGGCACAAATACATATAGATCCAAAAATGCACAAACCGTACAGCAAGCACTCACATGCCAGTGCATTTACTAACAAGTTATTACCATGTAATAACCACTTTTTTTTCCATGTAATGATCATGATTTCCATGTAATGACTGCCTACTGACTGTGTATGCCATAGTTAAGTGAGGTCCTGATGGAGTTGAGCTGCTGTATTGAGCAGATCTGCAGGTCACAGCATTCCAGATGCTTCCTCTTAGTGATCACACTACTGCAGGCGAGGTGCTGAGACAAACACACACACACAGGAATTATTCACCACACATACCAATCCTCACCTCTCTCCCATCCAATGCTCGCCGTTTCCCTCTATCTCCACAGTCCACACTCACAGTCTCCCTTCACCATCCTTCTTACCTCCTTCTCTTTCTGTTCAGCGAGCAGCTTGTTTTTGAGCGCACTCAGTGCGGCCCTCACCTCCAGCTTCAGGCCAGAGGGATGGTAACCACGGCTACCTGCCTCTATAGAACCCTGACAATAAACAATAAACACAAAATGGCATGAGTATGGATGTCAGGGTTGGGGTCAATTCCATTTCAATTCAGAAAGTAAACCAAATTCCAATTCCACATTTTCATAATTGAAAAGCATTGAGAGTTGGAATTGGAATTTGAGTGGACTTCCTGAATTGACTGGAATTTAAATGGAATTGACCCCAACCCTGATAGATGAATGAATGATACATCGCTGTAGAACAGTGTTCTTCACACCTGGTCCTAGAGTGCCGCAATGTGTGCAGGTTTTTGTCCCAGTCTTGAGCTAAACTATAAAAGAGGAGGGAATCGCTCACCTCTTTGCCAGCCCCCTCCTCCTCATCATCACCATCCTCGCTCTCACTGTTGTTGGTGTAGCATAACTGTAGATTTTTGTGGTTGTGGAATCTGTAATAAGAAAAGCAAAAGGCAACAATTGCATGAACAGAAAGAACAGAAATTAGATGGTTTCAGAGAATACAGAATGAAGTTTATAATGAGATTGACTGTTTTTGACATTTGTTACCTAGATGAGACAACAGTTACTCGACACCTTCCGTAGTCCTCCTCCTGCCATTCCTCTCTCCTCCGCAGCCCATCCTGCCTCTTCTCCGCCCAGCCCCCTGACACACTCCCCTGTTCCGACCCACTCGTACTCTGAAAGAGAGGAACAGAGGGAGGGATCAGGGATGGAGGACATGGGAGGAGGGAAGTGGTGGAGACGTGTGGTGGCAGGGGAGTTGAGAGTGTAAGTAAGGGTGTCATTAATCCCATCTCTGCAGTTTTTTTCAAACAGACAACTTCATCTTCAATTTTTTATTTATTTTATTTTACCTTTATTTAACTAGGCAAGTCCGTTAAGAACAAATTCTTATTTACAATGACGGCCTACACCGGCCAAACCTGGATGCGCCGCCCTATGGGACTCCCAATCACGGCCAGTTGTGATACAGCCTGGAATCGAACCAGGGGGTCTGTAGTGACGCCTCAAGCACTGAGATGCAGTGCCTTAGACCACTGCGCCACTCAGGAGCCCAATGCCAGGGGTTCACAGGGTGTTATTCCTATCATCTTATTAACAGAGGTTATTACTGTGATCTCGGGCTCCAGCTTTCAGCCTAATACCAGTAGATGACACACATGTGTAAGGCAAAGAGAGAAGTAGGATGAAGTTACCCCTAGATTCTGATCTAAGGTCAATGTTGTGTTGTTCCCGCTAATTGTTAAGGTCTTGATTTGGGGCAGGTAAGCTAATCTCAGATCTGTCGTTAAGGGCAAATCACAAAAACGTCTACTCCCTCCCTTCATGCCCTCTAACCTTTAACCTCTCCCTCCTCTCCTCCTCCTGTTTCTCCAGCTCGGCGATACGCAGGCTCAGGTCCCCCCACTGCATGATGGGTAGGTCCTGGTCGTCCTCCGAGGATCCTCCATTCTGATGAAGTCGCCCCGCCCTTTCCTCACCAGACAGCTCTGTGTCATCACTCTCCTTCTCCTCTGCTGTCTCTTTCTCAGTATCTCCCTCCATCCTTCACACTGTTGTTGTGGGCAGATGGCAGAGAATGGGAGGTCAAGGAAGAGGATTTGATTAATTTTAATTTGGCATAAAGTGACTCACGTGGGTGGTCTCTGATATATATATATATATCAAATAGCAGCTGCCAACATCATTATACAATGTGCACAATCTTACAACAAGATAAAGCAGAGTTTATCAACAATAGGATACCAGGATAGCCTTCTCAGGAGAAAAACACAAAGCATTCCTTAGAGACGTTCAGGAAACATTTGGACTAAACTGTAGGCTAGATTAGTCTATTTCGTTATAGTGAATTGTTTATCTTTCCCATTATCTTAACTCTGAAGTATGCATGCACTAGCCTACACCGGAAAACTCCCAATCTGTTTTAAAAGGTTGCATTTTAAATACTTTTCAGACTGCTCTGTCTTGACTGTAGAACGAGTGCGTCCATATCTCTTGCCATGAACGTGCTGCCTGGTTCGCGCGCACTACACATTGAATACAAAGTATCTCTTCTCCTTTGATATAACGCACATGTTTGCCACACACACCGTTAAAGATTTCATGTTTACAATTTTAATATTGAGGGGGGCGGGTGGCAAGCGGATACTTTGACTTACCTATTCCAGACCGTGCCCTATTCCCGACATCGAGGTCTCCTTCTATTGTTTATGTCTTATATAATTAGATAACTTACGGTTTCCCAGTTCTCAGCAGTGTAGGCTATCGTTTTAATAGCCCACAATAAGCTATTCACTTCTGATTTAACTCTTCCTTTAAAGTTAAGGAAACACCCTGCCTGCCTTCCTCCTGTACCCCTTCCCTCCCGCCCCCCTCTTTCCTCTGACCCGTCCCCACAGCCTTTTAACCTCTACCTTCTGCAGCCGGGAAAAGATACGCCCGCTTTTCCTACATCCAATGTGCCTTCACTTGAGCCCTCGGTGCCTATCTCGTTGAAATAGCGATGCTTAGGATTCCTGGAAGTGTTGAAATTACATGCGATATCTATTTAAGATTAAAACAAGCGGGTGTGGTCTGGCTCTGGTTCTACAGTCGTGGTCAAAAGTTTTGAGAATGACACAAGTATTGGTCTTCACAAAGTTCGCTGCTTCAGTGTTATGAGATATTTTTGTCAGATGTTACTATGGTATACTGAAGTATAATTACAAGCATTCCATAAGTGTCTAAGGCTTTTATTCACAATTACATTAAGTTTATGCAAAGAGTCAATTAACTTCTGGGCCACATCCTGACTGATGGCAGCCCATTCTTGCATAATCAATGCTTGAAGTTTGTCAGAATTTGTGGGTTGTTGTTTGTCCACCCGCCTCTTGAGGATCGACCACAAGTTCTCAATGGGATTAAGGTCTGGGGAGTTTCCTGGCCATGGACCCAAAATGTCAATGTTTTGTTCCCCGAGCCACTTAGGTATCACTTTTGCCTTATGGCAAGGTGCTCCATCAGGCTGGAAAAGGCATTGGTCGTCACCAAACTGTTCTTGGATGGTTGGGAGAAGTTGCTCTCGGAGGATGTGTTGGTACCATTCTTTATTCATGGCTGTGTTCTTAGGCAAAATTGTGAGTGAGCCCACTCCCTTGGCTGAGAAGCAACCCCACACATGAATGGTCTCAGGATGCTTTACTGTTGGCAAGACACAGGACTGATGGTAGCGCTCACCTTGTCTTCTCCGGACAAGGTGTTTTCCGGATGCCCCAAACAATCGGAAAGGGGATTCATCCGAGAAAATGACTTTACCCCAGTACTCAGCAGTCCAATCCCTGTACCTTTTACAGAATATCAGTCTGTCCCTGATGTTTTTCCTGGAGAGAAGTGGCTTCTTTGCTGCCCTTCTTGACACCAGGCCATCCTCCAAAAGTCTTCGCCTCACTGTGCGTGCAGATGCACTCACACCTGCCTGCTGCCATTCCTGAGCAAGCTCTGCACAGGTGGTGCCCCGATCCCACAGCTGAATCAACTTTAGGAGACGGTCCTGGCGCTTGCTGGACTTTCTTGGGCGTCCTGACGCCTTCTTCACAACAATTGAACCTCTCTCCTTGAAGTTCTTGATGTTCCGATAACTACTAGCAGCAATATCCTTGCCTGTGAAGCCCTTTTTGTGCAAAGCAATGATGACAGCACGTGTTTCCTTGCAGGTAACCATGGTTAACAGAGGAAGAACAATGATTTCAAGCACCACCCTCCTTTTAAAGCTTCCAGTCTGTTATTCTAACTCAATCAGCATGACAGAGTGATCTCCAGCCTTGTCCTCGTAAACACTCTCACCTGTGTTAACAAGAGAATCACTGACATGATTGCAGCTGGTCCTTTTGTGCCAGGGCTGAAATGCAGTGGACATGTTTTTTTGGGATTAAGTTCATTTTCATTGCAAAGAGGGACTTTGCAATTAATTGCAATTAATCTGATCCCTCTTCATGACATTCTTGAGTATATGCAAATTACCATCATCAAAACTGAGGCAGCAGACTTTGTGAAAATTAGTATTTGTGTCATTCTCAAAAACTTTTGACCACGACTGTACATTTCCAACTAGAAACAATTGCAAAGGATTAAGGGTTAAGAATGTACTCTTAATTAGTGTCCAATTTCAACATTTTTGGAGATGACTACTCAAACCAGATGGGAAAACCCGGGAGAGAAAGTCACCCAGTATAATTGCTTTCAGTGACATACTGTCAAAAGTATTACAGCATTTGGAGAAAAAAAACAAATGCATACAGTTGAAGTCGGAAGTTTACATACACCTTAGCCAAATACATTTAAACTCAGTTTTTCACAATTCCTGACATTTAATCCTAGTAAAAATTCCCTGTCTTAGGTCAGTTAGGATCACCACTTTATTTTAAGAATGTGAAATGTCAGAATAATAGTAGAGAGAATGATTTATTTCAGCTTTTATTTCTTTCATCACATTCCCAGTGGGTCAGCAGTTTACATACACTCAATTAGTATTTGGTAGCATTGCCTTTAAATTGTTTAACTTGGGTCAAATGGTTCGGGTAGCCTTCCACAAGCTTCCCACAATAAGTTGGGTGAATTTTGGCCCATTCCTCCTGACAGAGCTGATGTAACTGAGTCAGGTTTGTAGGCCTCCTTGCTCACACACACTTTTTCAGTTCTACCCACACATATTCTATAGGATTGAGGTCAGGGCTTTGTGATGGCCACTCCAATACCTTGACTTTGTTGTCCTTAAGCCATTTTGCCACAACTTTGGAAGTATGCTTGGGGTCATTGTCCATTTGGAAGACCCATTTGCGACCAAGCTTTAACTTCCTGACTGATGTCTTGAGATGTTGCTTCAATATATCCACATAATTTTCCTTCATCATGATGCCATCTATTTTGTGAAGTGCACCAGTCCCTCCTGCAGCAAAGCACCCCCACAGCATGATGCTGCCACCCCTGTGCTTCACGGTTGGGATGGTGGTCTTCGGCTTGCAAGCCTACCCCTTTTTCCTCCAAACATAACAATGGTCATTATGGCCAAACAGTTCTATTTTTGTTTAATCAGACCAGTGGACATTTCTCCAAAAAGTACGATCTTTGTCCCCATGTGCAGTTGCAAACCGTAGTCTGGCTTTTTTATGGCGGTTTTGGAGCAGTGGCTTCTTCCTTGCTGAGCGGCCTTTCAGGTTATGTCACCTGAAGAAGATTAGCCCTCCTGTAGCTCAGTTGGTAGAGCATGGCGCTTGCAACGCCAGGGTTGTGGGTTCGATTCCCGTGGGGGGCCAGTATGAAAAATGTATGCACTAACTGTAAGTCGCTCTGGATAAGAGCGTCAGCTAAATGACTAAAATGTAAATGTAATGTTGATATAGGACTCTTTTTACTGTGGATATAGATACTTTTGTACCGGTTTCCTCCAGCATCTTCACAAGGTCCTTTGCTGTTGTTCTGGGATTGATTTGCACTTTTCGCACCAAAGTACGTTCATCTCTAGGAGACAGAATGCGTCTCCTTCCTGAGCGGTATGACGGCTGCGTGGTCCCATGGTGTTTATACTTGCGTACTATTGTTTGTACCGATAAACGTGGTACCTTCAGTCATTTGGAAATTGCTCCCAAGGATGAACCAGACTTGTGGAGGTCTACAATTGTTTTCTGAGGTCTTGGCTGATTTCTTTTGATTTTCCCATGATGTCAAGCAAAGAGGCACTGAGTTTGAAGGTAGGCCTTGAAATACATCCACAGGTACACCTCCAATTGACTCAAATTATGTAAATTAGCCTATCAGAAGCTTCTAAAGCCATGACATCATTTTCAGGAATTTTCCAAGCTGTTGAAAGGCACAGTCAACTTAGTGTATGTGAACTTCTGACCCACTGGAATTGTGATACAGTGAATTATAAGTGAAATAATCTGTCTGTAAACAATTGTTGGAAAAAATTACTTGTGTCATGCACAAAGTAAATGTCCTAACCGACTTGCCAAAACTATAGTTTGTTAACAAGAAATTTGTGGAGTGGTTGAAAAACGAGTTTTAATGACTCCAACCTAAGTGTATGTAAACTTTCGAATTCAACTGGACATATCTCCATTTATTTTTAAATAGCCTGACATGCAGGCCAGATGGCTATGATTAAATTAATATCATTCTTATTATAAGAGGGAAATTCCAAATAAACTAAAATAGTCATATTTAATAAAAAGTGGACAAATTGGTTTTCTAATATTTCCTTGGCATTTTTTATTTCCTTGGAGCTTGGCAGTTTTGGCATTGGAAATACATTTTGTAAAGTTCATTAAGGAGTGTATTGATATAAAATATCCTAAAAAGGATTCAATATTGAGAAATCTGACAAAGAGATATTACATGTTTTCTGTTTACAATAAGTGAAAGATAACAAAGCTGGTGAGGTGCATTTGTTATAAGCTAGGCTACTAACATTATCTAAAGGATTGTGGGTGAAATTGTATATATGATTTACATGATTCCGTACATTACAATAAATCATGTCAAAGTAACATTTCAGGAAAAGGCCTATATCATTCTGTCCATTTATCCAAGGCTGCTCAGTCATTTCCTCTCCTCCTATCCTATTCCCAACCTCTACTTTCCTCTCCTCCTCATTCACCAGCCTGTTGCTCCCACTGTGTGTCACTGACGAGTCGATAGTTCAGCTGCCGGTAGTTCTGTGGGTGAACCTGTCTCTGCCTCCATACCTCCTCATACAGGCTCTGTGTGACTGGGGGTAGAGGGGGGAACCTCCCAGTCTGAGCTAAGGTCTGGGCATAATCCCACTGGTCCTTGTCCATCTTCAGCATGTGTCTGAGCTGCACCCCCCTCTCCGCTTTCCTTACCATCTCTCCCTGGGCCTCCTCTTCCATCTCAGCCCGTGATGGCAGAGCCACAGAGCCCTCCAGCACTGCCAGGGCAAACTGGACCTGAGAGAAAGAGGGGAAGAGTGAGTGAGAGAGAGATAGATAGATAGATAGATAGATGGATAGATAGATAGATAGAGAGAGAGAGAGAAAGGGAAACAGGGGAAAGAGCAAAAAAGCAATAAGAGAGAGAGAATGAGCAAGAGATGGTGAGGGAGGGGTGGAGTAGCCAGACATTTTGTTTCACAAAAAATAAGATCATCAACAATATCATCAACCTCACCTGGCAGTGGAAGTGGGGGAAGGGGCAGATGATTTTGCAGATGCCTATGATGAAGAGTGAGGGGAATGCTGGGGGCACCAGGAACCTGTAGAGCGGGGTTACCAGGTGCTCCTGGACCTCCAGGCCCAACCGGGCTGGATCCAGGAAGGGGTAGCTGAAGTTGTAGCCAGTGCAGAGCAGCAGGACCTGGGCCTGGGTAATGGACCCATCCTGGAACCGCAGAGACCCATCCTCCTGGATCTCCTCCACAGGGGTGGCCTGGTGGACCCCATAGGGCAGAGGGAAGGGCAGGGTGGGCTTACCGTGGCTCAGAGTCACCTGGGCGTTGGATCGACCCAGTTCTAGTGAGATGTCCAGTCCTGAGGCCCCAGCACCCAGCACCACCACTGACTGACCTGAGAAGGGCTCTGGGTGGCGGTATGAGTGACTGTGGATCACTTTGCCTGGAGAGAGAGAGACAGGTGGATGGGATGAGATAAAGGCCATGGGTTTTTCCTGACCACCTAACCTGGCCGAGAGGTTTTCCAGATCAGGTTGCATCGTCAGGAAAAACCTGGGCATGAGATATAGGTAGAGAAAGAGCGGGATAGAAGGATAGGGATTGATGACTGTGGTGTGCACCTTTAAATCGCTCTAGCCCAGGGATGGGTGGGATGTGAGGGTCAGAGTAGTGCCTACAGGGGAAGAAGGAGACAGGGGTCAAGAGTTAAGTGTTAGGGTGTAAAAGACGGTGTGAATATCTAAAGCCCATGCACATCTCTTACCCGCTGCAGATGAACACGGAATCAAAAGTTTCAGTGATCCGTGATCCAGACTTGTCATTTGACGTCACCTCCCACGTCGTCATTGGTCCTTTCCCCTCTGTCACCATGGTGACAGGGCTCACCTCCTTCACTACAGTGCTGAACTAACAAAGAGTGGGGGAGAGATGGGGTGAGAGGCTTTAGACTCTTGTCCTGTGAAATGGAATAAACATTTTCCTTTTTTTCACCTGAAATCGATGAGTGTGGACCTTCCTTCTCTACTCCTGACAAAGAACCATGAGGCATTGTTTGTGAGTGGATGGTACCTACTCTAATGTGTGGTGTGATGCAGTGGCTCTGGCAGTATCTCTCCAGATACCTCTGCACTTCCTGGTGTGGCAGGAAGGAGGGCAGTTGGGGGTCAAAGGGGAAGTCAGGGAACATCATCACCTCCTTGGGCAGGTTGGTCCTGCATAGAGGTAAGGGAGGGTAAAACATGAGACACACAAAATAAGACTTGGGTCATTTCAGAGAGAGAGAGAGAGATAAAGAGAGAAATATATATATAGAGAGAGGGTGAGGTTAGAGTGTTACTGTACCTGAGGTCTCTGTACATGCTGCTGTGAATGGGCAGCCCGTTGTCATAGCTACCGGTGCGTTCCTCGTAGAACCAGGTGCCGCCCACCTGTTCCGTGAGCTCGTAGATGACGGGTGGGGCGAAGGTGTCTGGGCGGGACAGGATGTGACGTGCGGCACACAGACCTGCAGCTCCCGCGCCCACCACCGCAACTCGCAGCTGCCGCATCCTCACGGTCCTGTCCAAGGACATGACAGACAGACAGGGGGACATACCAATCACAAAACCTGGAATACAATTACATCTGGGACCTATTCAGGAGGGTGTTTCTAAAAATACAGCTAGAGAACTGAATAATAACTCTAAAGAAAACAACAGACTGGTACTGTGAGACAACACTGACACCAAATAGACAAAGACTCTCTGTCGCTGACATACCTACACAACAGACACAAACACTACACACTGTCAATCACACACACTGTCCTACTAGGTAACATTGTATATGATGCCAAACAGATACATCTGAGCTCAAGACAGAGAATGCACAGAACATTACAGTGTGTATTTGAGCTGTGGGGGTTTGGTGGGAGGGGACTGAGGGTGTTTCAAAGTTCACTTACGTGTGAAGCCAAAAACTGCTGTGTGTTGAGCAGGGTTAAAACAATAGAAGAAAAGTATTTGCATGTAATTTCAACAGAAGACAAGAAGGAAAAGTCTAAATTCTTAATCTCACAATCCTTCAGTGGTGCAACAGCCTACAGTCTTTTTCAGCACAGAGTGAAGTGAACTTTGATCTTGAGACAAACAATGGACATTGGGAGAATCTCAATTGTATACTCTTCGCCTCCTTTTCAAAGAAAGAAGTCAGAGGGGCGGGACCTCTGGCTTTCCCCTCCAATGGGTTTTGAGAAGGAGGCGAGGAGACAGGAGAGAGGACGCGAGGAGAATACAATTGAAATTCTCCCATTATCTGAAGAACATCACATGACAAAGCGAGTAGTAACTTTTAGGGATACGTCATAAACCAGAGGCGTGACAGACACAAAGGTCTTTGAGATGAACGTTAATCGCAGTTGCCGCTTGTTAATAAACAAACATCCATCCACAAATGTATTTTGGAGCAAATTAGCGTAGACAGGACAAGGAGAAATTCGATCTTTTCATCTCAGCAATAATCCGTGCTGTGCTCTTATCAGACTGTTCAACAGCAGTTTATTCCGTAATCTTCCGGGGTTGTGACAACTCAAAACGTTGGTTATATTTAGCGCCATCTTTGTAAGGGACTATGAAATACAGCTGGAAAAGTATCCAATTACAGTTACATACATTCCAAATGTATCATAATTCAGAAATAATTCATGTTAATTGTGTGCATGTTTAAGTTTACTAATGTAATACTAATAATTGTACACCATTGATTGAGAGGTTGTTCCCCGTCTTTACCCATCCTGGAAATAGATTTATAAAAGTGGCGTCTAGTCATTAGCAGACGGTGCTCTTTATTCAATCTGTTAAATTTAAGCGTTACAGATTCAGCGATAGAAATGTTAAGGTAAATTCCGATTGAGCCGACATAAGCACCGTTTACCGTGAATGCAGTGTCCGCTAAAGCGGGAACATTGCCATAAAATGTATATCATGCTGTAATGCTGAATTTCCCTGAGGTCAAACAACACAAGGCAACAACAGCATTCCAACCAAAAGTTGTTTTTATTATACAACGTCAGAAACATAAATAAGAACCAAAAAAAGAGAGATACATCCCCATGATCCATATCACACATTCATTTCCAGGAGGCTGAATTGACATTTGAGTCCATGTCCATTTGAGTCCAATCATGCCTTCATCCTGTGTTTTTTATGCTACAGAATGTCTCTGTCTCTCACACACACACACAGTTATTTAGCAGTAGCATTGCCATGAGGCAGCTGTTGTTGCTGTTGTTGCTCTGCCAGAGCCTGCTGCAGACGGGTGCGTTTGCGGGAATAGTGCTGCCAGTGCAGTAATTGCTGCTCATCAATGAACTTGGCACATTGTGCATTCACAAGCTCCTTCCTGAAGTGCTCGTACTGAAGCAGCTCCAGCATGTGCAGGCAGTGGGGGTATCTGCATGACAGGGGAGAGATATACAGCGCCTTCAGAAAGTATTCACACACCTTAACTTTTTCCACATTTTGTTGTGTTACAACCTGAATTTAAAATGGATAACATTTGTCACTGGCCTATACACATTTTACATTTGAGTAATTTAGCAGACGCTCTTATCCAGAGAGCGACTTACAGTTAGTGCATTCATCTTAAGATAGATAGGTGGGACTACCACATATCACAGACATAGAAAGTACATTTTTCCTGAATAACGTAGCTGTCAGTAGAGTCAGAGTTAGAAGGGGGGGAGGGGTCAAGTGTAAGTGCTGGTTAAGTGTTCTTTTTTTTTGGGGGGGGGGGGGGGGGGGGGGGGGGAGCGACAGGGGGAAGCTGGTTTCACGATTGGGGTGCAAGGACAGATAAGAGCTTGGACTGCACTGAGTGGGAGGGCCAAGAGACCTGAGGTGGCAGAACGGAGTGCTCGGGTTGGGGTGTAGGGTTTGAGCATAGCCTGAAGGTAGGGAGGGGCAGTTCCTCTTGCTGTTCCGTAGGCAAGCACCATGGTCTTGTAGTGGATGCGAGCTTCGACTGGAAGCCAGTGGAGTGTGCGGAGGAGCGGGTTCACATGAGAGAACTTAGGAAGGTTGAAAACAAGGCGGGCTGCTGCGTTCTGGATAAGTTGCAGGAGTTTGATGGCACAAGCGGGGAGCCCAGCCAAGAGCGAGTTGCAGTAGTCCAGACTGGAGATGACAAGTGCCTGGATTAAGAACTGCACCACTTCCTGTGTGAGGAAGGGTCGTACTCTACGGATGTTGTAGAGCAAAAACCTGCAGGAGCGGGTCACTGCTTGGATGTTTGCAGAGAACGAAAGGGTGTCTAGGTTCTTTGCACTCTGGGAGGGCGACACCGTGGAGTTGTCAACCGTGATGGAGAGGTCTTTGAGTGGGCAGGCCTTCCCTGGGAAGAAGAGCAGTCTTGTCGAGGTTGAGGTGGTGGGCCGACATCCAAGTTGAGATATCTGCCAGGCACGCAGAGATGCGTGTCGCCACCTGGGTGTCAGAAGTGGGGAAGGAGAAAAGTAGTTGAGTGTCATCTGCATAGCAATGATAGGAGAGACCATGTGAGGATATGATGGAGCCGAGTGAATTGGTGTATAGAGGGAAAAGCAGAGGGCCTAGAACTGAGTCCTGAGGGACACCAGTAGTGAGTACGTGGTGCAGACACAGATCCTCGCCACGTCACCTGGTAGGAGCGGCCTGCCAGGTAGGATGCAATCCAAGAGTGTGCAGAGCCTGAGACGCCCAGCTTGAGAGGGTGAAGGCAGCGGATAGATCTAGGAAGATGAGAACAGAGGAGAGAGAGTCATCTTTGGCAGTGCGGAGAGCTTCCGTGACAGAGAAGAGCAGTCTCGGTTGAGTGACCTGTCTTGAAGCCTGACTGGTTAGGTTTAAGAAGATCGTTCTGAGAGAGATAACGAGAAGGTTTATCAGAGTGTTCAAGTGTTTTGGAAAGAAAAGAAAGAAGGGATACAGGTCTATCAATTTTGACATCAGAGGAGTCGAGTGTTGATTTCTTGAGGAAGGGAACAACTCGGGCCATTTTGAAGTCAGAGGGGATGCAGCCAGTGGTCTGGGATGAGTTGATGAGGGAAGTGAGGTCTCCAGAGATTGTCTGGAGAAAGGGAGGTGGGGATGAGGTCGAGCGTGCAGGTTGTCGGGTGGCCAGACCTCACTATTCGCAGGATGTCATCTGGAGAGAGAGGGGAGAAAGAGGTCAAGGCGTAAGGTAGTTCTGTGTGAGTGGGACCAGTGGACTCAATAGGCTGAGTGAATGAGTAGCGGATGTTGTCAACCTTTTTTTCAACGTGGTTGAGAAAGTCGTCCACAGAGGGAGGGGGAGGAGGATTAAGGAGGGAGGAGAAGGCAGAAAAGAGATTCCTAGGGTTAGAGGCAGAAGCTTCAAATTTAGAGTGATAGAAAGTGGCTTTAGCAGCGGATACAGAGGACGAGAAGGTAGAGAGGAGGGAGTGAAAGGATGATAAGATCGGCGGAAGTTTAGTTTTCCTCAATTTTCACTCAGTTGCCCGCAGCCCTGTTCTGTAAGCTCGCAATGAGTCACTCAGCCACCGAGCAGGAGGAGAGGGCCAGGGCGAAAGGAGACAGTGCGAGTCATAGGATGCGGAAAGAGAGGAGAGTAGAGTCGAAGAGGCAGAATCAGGAGACAGGAGGGAGAAGGATTTAGCAGAAGGGAGATAGGATATAAGAGGAGAGAGTAGTGGGAGCGAGAGAGCGAAGATTGTGACAGAGCATGACCATCTGGGTAGGGGCTGAGTGGTTAGGGTTGGAGGTAAGGGAGACAGAAAAGGAAACAAAGTAGTGATCAGGAGACCTGGAGGGAGGTTGTAGTGAGATTATTATCCATAATGTCAAAGTGGAATTATGTTTTTCAAAATGTTAACAAATGAATAAAAAAAGAGTCAATAAGTATTCAACCCATTTACATTTTAGTAATTTAGCAGACGTTCTTATCCAGAGCGATTTACAGTTAATGAGTACTTTTTCAACCCCTTTGTTAATCGCAAGTAATAATGTGCTTAACAAGTCACATAAGTTACATGGACTCACGCGGTGTGCAATAATAGTGACAGGTGTGGCATATCAAGAAGCTGATTAAACAGCATGATCATTACACAGGTGCACGTTGTGCTGTGGACAATAAAAGGCCACTCTAAAATGTGCAGTTTTGTCACACAACACAATGCCACAGATGTCTCAAGTTGAGGGAGCGTGCAATTGGCATGCTGACTGCAGGAATGTCCACCAGAGCTGTTGCCAGAGAATTTAATGTTCATTTCTCTACCATAAGCTGCCTCCAACATCGTTTTAGAGAATTTGGCAGTACGTCCAACTGGCTCACAACCGCAGACCACTTCTAACCACGCCAGCCCAGGACCTCCCCATCCAGCTTCTTCACCCGCGGGATCGTCTGAGACCAGCCACCTGGACAGCTGACGAAACTGAGGAGTATTTTTGTCTGTAATAAAGCCATTTTTTGGGGAAAAACTAATTCTGATTGGAAAACCTATTTCAGTTTGCTTTCCAACAGACACTGGGAGACAAATTCACCCTTAAGCAGGACAATAACATAAAACACAAGGCCAAATATACACTGCAGTTGCTTACCAAGACAACATTGAATATTCCTGAGTGGCCTAGTTACTGTTTTGACTTAAATCAGCTTGAGATTCTATGGCAAGTCTTGAAAATGGCTGTCTAGCAATAATCAACAACCAACTTGACAGAACTTGAGGAATTTTAAGAAGAGTAATGTGCTAATATTGTACAATCCAGGTGTGCAAAGGTCTTAGAGATTTACCCAGAAAGACTAACTGATGTAATCGCTGCCAAAGGTGATTCGAACATATATTGACTCAGGGGGTTGAACACTTCGCTAATCAAGATATATTAGTGTTTTATTTTTCATATATATACACACACACACAGTACCAGTCAAAAGTTTGGACACACCTACTCAAGGCTTTTTCTTAATTTTTTACATTGTAGAATAATAGTGAAGACATCAAAACTATGAAATAACACATATGGAATCATGTAGTAACCAAAAAAAGTGTTAAACAAATGAGATTCTTCAAAGTAGCCACCCTTTGCCTTGATGACAGCTTTGCACACTCTTGGCATTCTCTCAACCAGCTTCATGAGGTAGTCACCTGTAATGCATTTCAATTAACAGGTGTGCCTTGTTAAAAGTTAATTTGGGGAATGTATTTCTGTCTTAATGCGTTTTAGCCAATCAGTTGTGTTGTGACAAGGTAGGGGGGGTATACAGAAGATTGCCCTATTTAGTAAAAGATCAAGTCCATATTATGGCAAGAACAGCTCAAATAAGTAAAGAGAAACAACAGTCCATCATTACTTTAAGACATGAAGGTCAGTCAATACAGAACATTTCAAGAACTTTGAACGTTTCTTCAAGTGCAGTCGCAAAAACCATCACGCGCTATGATGAAACTGGCTCTCATGAGGACCACCACAGGAATGGAAGACCCAGAGTTACCTCTGCTGCAGAGGATAAGTTCATTAGAGTTACCAGCCTCAGAAATTGCAGCCCAAATAAATGCTTGACAGAGTTCAAGTCACAGACACATCTGAACATCAACTGTTCAGAGGGGAATGTGTGAATCAGGCCTTCATGGTCAAATTGCTGCAAAGAAACCACTACTACATTTACATTTTAGTCATTTAGCAGACGCTCTTATCCAGAGCGACTTACAGTTAGTGAATACATTTTTTTTTTTATACTGGCCCCCCGTGGGAATCGAACCCACAACCCTGGCGTTGCAAACGCCATGCTCTATCAACTGAGCTACATCCCTGCCGGCCATTCCCTCCCCTACCCTGGACGACGCTGGGCCAATTGTGCGCCGCCCATGAGTCTCCCGGTCGCGGCCGGCGGCGACAGAGCCTGGATTCGAACCAGGATCTCTAGTGGCACAGTTAGCACTGCGATGCAGTGCCTTAGACCACTGCGCCACTCAGGAGTACAAGGACACTAATAATAAGAAGAGACCTGCTTGGGCCAAGAAACACGAGCAATGGACATTAGACCGGTGGAAATGTGTCCTTTGGTCTGGAGTCCAAATTTGAGATTTTTGGTTCCAACCGCCGTGTCTTTGTGAGACGCGGTGTGGGTGAACGGATGATCTCCGCATGTGTAGTTCCCACCATAAAGCAAGGAGGAGGAGGTGTTATGGTGTGGGGGTGCTTTGCTGGTGACACTGTCTGTGATTTATTTAGAATTCAAGGCACACTTAACCAGCATGGCTACCACAGCATTCTGCAGCGATATGCCATCCCATCTGGTTTGGGCTTTGAGGGACTATCATTTGTTTTTCAAAAGGACAATGACCCAACACACCTCCTGGCTATGTAAGGGCTATTTACCAAAAAGGAGCGTGATGGAGTGCTGCATCAGATGACCTGGCCTCCACAACCCCCGACTTCAACCCAATTGAGATGGTTTGGGATGAGTTGGATGGCAGAGTGAAGGAAAGGCAGCCAACAAGTGCTAAGCATACAGTTGAAGTCGGAAGTTTACATACGCTTAGATTGGAGTCATTAAAACTTGTTTTTCAACCACTCCACAAATGTCTTGTTAACAAACTATAGTTTTGGCAAGTCGGTTAGGACATCTACTTTGTGCATGACAAGTAATCTTTCCAACAATTGTTTACAGACAGATTATTTCACTGTATCACAATTCCAGTGGGTCAGAAGTTTACATACACTAAGTTGACTGTGCCTTTAAACAGCTTGGAAAATTCCAGAAAATTATGTCATGGCTTTAGAAGCTTCTGATAGGCTAATTGACATCATTTGAGTCAATTGGAGGTGTACCTGTGGATGTATTTCAAGGCCTACCTTCAAACTCAGTGCCTCTTTGCTTGACATCATGGGAAAATCAAAAGAAATCAGCCAAGACCTCAGAAAACAAATTGTAGACCTCCACAAGTCTGGTTCTGGCCGAAGAACACCATCCCAACCGTGAAGCACGGGGGTGGCAGCATCATGCTGTGGGGGTGCTTTGCTGCAGGAGGGACTGGTGCACTTCACAAAATAGATGGCATCATGAGGAAGGAAAATTATGTAGATATATTGAAGCAACATCTCAAGACATCAGTCAGGAAGTTAAAGCTTGGTCGCAAATGGGTCTTCCAAATGGACAATGACCCCAAGCATACTTCCAAAGTTGTGGCAAAATGGCTTAAGGACAACAAAGTCAAGGTATTGGAGTGGCCATCACAAAGCCCTGACCTCAATTCTATAGAAAATGTGTGGGCAGAACTGAAAAAGCGTGTGTGAGCAAGGAGGCCTACAAACCTGACTAAGTTACATCAGCTCTGTTAGGAGGAATGGGCCAAAAGTCACCCAAATTTTTGTGTAAAGCTTGTGGAAGGCTACCCGAACCGTTTGACCCAAGTTAAACAATTTAAAGGCAATGCTACCAAATACTAATTGAGTGTATGTAAACTTCTGACCCACTGGGAATGTGATGAAATAAATAAAAGCTGAAATAAATCATTCCCTCTACTATTATTCTGACATTTCACATTCTTAAAATAAAGTGGTGATCCTAACTGACCTAAGACAGGGAATTTTTACTAGGATTAAATGTCAGGAATTGTGAAAAACTGAGTTTAAATGTATTTGGCTAAGGTGTATGTAAACTTCCGACTTCAACTGTATGTGGGAACTCCTTCAAGACTGTTGGAAAAGCATTCCAGGTGAAGCTGGTTGAGAGAATGCCAAGTGTGCAATGCTGTCATCAAGGCAAAGGGTGGCTATTTGAAGAATCTCAAATATAAAATATATTTTGATTTGTTTAACACTTTCTTGGTTACTACATGATTCCATATGTGTAATTTCATAGTTTTGATGTCTTCACTATTATTCTACAATGTAGAAAATAGTAAAAATAAAGAAAAACCCTTGAATGAGTAGTATTGTATATATATATTTTTACAAATGTTAGAATTTTTCGTTCACGTTGACATTATAGTATTTTGTGTAGATCACTGACAAAAAATTACAGTTAAATCCATTTTAATCCCACTTTGTAACAACAAAATGTGGAAAAAGTAAAGGGGTGTGAATACTTACGGAAGTCACTGTTATACATACATAATACATTATACATACTGTTATACTACTGTGACTGATGTATATGATGCAGAGGGAGAGACCATAAGTGTTGTCATTTTGGGAAAAACAACATTTAATCTTACTTCAGGAATTTGGCATATTCAGGCTCCTTCCAGTACAGTAGGTACTTCAGGTAGTTCACAAAGGGTTTTTCTCGCAGGTAGCCCCTCTGAGCCAGAACTAGAGGGACACAGAGGAACAGAGACAAGTCACAAACAATACTAGCTATATCTGCAGATTATAGTAATTAGTGTCTTTGGTTGTACAGAGTGACAGAAAATTAAGGATAAATTAGCTAGCTAGATAACCCACTCACAGTTCAGATAATTCGGATTGGCCAAGCATTGGATGAACTCCAGCTCTGATTGAAAGCGGTTCCTTGCCTGCTCCTCTGTGAAATTAGACACACAGAACAAGTTAGAGTAACATAACATTACAGTTGACTTTGTGGATGGCAATTTGTTAGCTAAAACAGCTGGCTAGGAAACCTGGGGTGTGTTCAGTTAAACGTTTCATATGTTGCGTTACAGTTTATATTGAACGACACTTTTCTCAAAAACGGTGCGCACCATTCTTCAACAGGCTTTGAGTTAAGTTTTCTCCCGTTTGCTGGCCGAGTTGTGGCCTGATAAATATAAGTGTGACCATATGAAATTGCATAACTCGTGCAGCACACCATACACAATCTCCCTTTGGCCCACCATAATCACAATGTTCTTCAACTGGTCAATCAGTACAGTACCGTTTCCGTTTAATTAAACGTTGCAAACGTCGTACTGAACGCGCCCCAGGGATATAAAGTTAGCTCGAGCTACATCAGATTAGCAAAGTTAGCTTGCATTATTTGGGCATTCGTCCTTTTAAAACAAGCAGTGGCAATACACCCAGTCCGCTAGCTACTTTATACTTGTTTGTAGCCTACTTTGTCTAACGAGGTAGTTAGTTAACGTTAGATGTCGAGTTGGTTAGCTATATTACCTGATTCCATGACGCCTGCCATCAAATGTGATCCAAATTAAAGGTCACTGGGTCTGCACGAAAACAACAGGTGCCTTAAAACTGAAATATGTAAGCTTTTTAAACGAATATATCGTTGGTTTGCTGAATTAATTGTTGTGGTCTGGTAAACAAAAAAATCAGTCCGATCATGTCGCCATATTTGCCGTAAACTGCAGTAGTATTACTCTTTACGACAATAGTAGACTGCCATTCTCAAGTTAACCACAAGAGGGCAGAATTCTCCCAGTGTTCAAATACTTTATGTCTGTCTGAAAGGAGAGACTTCACAGACTTGCGGAATGTTTTATTTTACATCCAGTACAAGTATTTTCACCAAAGTTTACGTTGGACACATGTATCATGGAAATAAGGCAGCATTTACCATCCTGGAGTCTGTGTTATATGTACATTTATCTTGATTTGCGATTGATGCAATAAGGGCCTACAGTGCATTCAGAAAGTATTCACATCTTGATTTTTTCCACATTTTGTTGTATTACAGCCTGAAATTAAAATGGATTAAATTGAGATTTTGTGTCACGGGCCTACACACAATACCCCATAATGTGAAGGTGGAATTATGTTTTTTGAAATATTTACAAATTAATTACAAATGAAAAGCTGAAATGACTTGAGTCAATAAATATATACAACCCCTTTGTTATGGCAAGCCTAAATAAGTTCAGGAGTAAACATTTGCTTAACAAGTCACATAATAAGTTGCATGGACTCACTCCGTGTGCCATAATAGTGTTTACCATGATTTTTGAATGACTACCTTATCTCTTTACCCCTCACATACAATTATCTGTAAGGTCCCTCAGTTGAGCAGTGAATTTCAAACACAGATTCAATCACAGGGAGGTTTTCCAATGCCTCGCAAAGAAGGGCACCTATTGGTAGATGGGTAAAAAAAAAAAAAAAAAAACATACATACATTGAATATCCCTTTGAGCATGGTGAAGTTATTAATTACACTTTGGATGACGTATCAATACATCCAGTCACTACAAAGATACAGGCGTCCTTCCTAACTCCGATGCCGGAAACCGCTCAGGGATTTCACAATGAGGTCAACAGTGACTTTAAAATAGTTAGAGTTTAATGGCTGTGATAGGAGAAAACTTTGTAGTTACTCCACAATACTAACCTAAATGACAGAGGGAAAAGAAGGAAGCCTGTACAGAATACAAATATTCCCAAACATGCATCCTGTTTGAAATAAGGCACTAAAGTAAAACTGCAAAACATGTGACAGAGAAATGAGCTTTATGTCCTGAATAAATATGTGTGGTCCTCTGTAGCTCAATTGGTAGAGCATGGCGCTTGTAACGCCAGGGTAGTGGGTTCGATCCCCGGGACCACCCATACTTAAAAATGTATGCACGCATGACTGTAAGTCGCTTTGGATAAAAAGCGTCTGCTAAATGGCATATTATTATAATACAAAGCGTTATGTTTGGGGTAAATCCAACACATCAATGAGTACCACTCTTCATATTTTCAAGAATGGTGGTGGCTGCATCATGTTATGGGTATGCTTGTCATCGGCAAGGACTAGGGAGTTTTTAAGGATAAAAATAAATGGAATAGAGCTAAGCACAGGGGAAAACCTGGTTCAGTCTTCTTTCCAACAGACACTGGGAGACAAACGTACCTTTCAGCAGGACAATAACCTAAAACACAAGGCCAAATATACACTGGAGTTGCTTACCTAGACGACATTGAATGTTCCTGATTGGCCTAGTTACAGTTTTGACTTAAATCGGCTTGAAAATCTATGGCAAGACTTGAAAATGGCTGTCTAGCAATGATCAACAACCGACTTGAAAGAGCTTGAAGAATTAAAAAAAGAATAATGTGCAAATATTGTACAATCCAGGTGTGCAAAGCTCTTAGAGACAGCTGTAATCACTGCCAAAGGTGATTCTAACATGTATTGACTCAGGGGTGTGAATACTTATGTAAATTAGATATTTATGTATTTCAATTTCAATACATTTGATAAAATGTCAAAAAACATGTTTTCACTTTGTCATTATTGGGTATTGTGCGTAGATGGGTGAGACAATAATCCATTGAATTAATTTTGAATTCAGGCTGTAAAAAAAAAAGTGGAATATTTCAAGGGGTATGAATACTTTCTGAAGTCACTGTAGCTCTTGCCTCTGGCCCCCTGCTGAGCTGTTTTCCCACAGCTCTACCTGCCCCAGACAGACAGGGCCATAGTTCAATGCACCCTCCTGTTTTTACAATCCTCTGAATTATAAAACATCCAATAACTTAACTGGGAGGTGAAAGATTAATTATACACTTTTGAGATTCTTTGAATGAATGACTTGAATCCCCTGAGGCTGTCAGTATGAGATATATAGAGGGTTTGTTATAGTCAGTCATGTTCTCAGATGTGAGTGAATAGATAAGTCATTTCTCTTTTGGCATCGGTGGACTTTATCCTGTCCTGCGGCGTATCGTGTGTGTGTGAAGGAATACGCTTCTAATCATTTAGGCTGACTGACTACACACCATATCTCATTCTGTTTGCTTGATGAGGTAACACTGAACATTTTTGTGTGTGTTTGAGAGAGAGAGAGAGAGAGAGAGAGAGGCAACAGCAGGATTCTGTTGTACTGTGCTCAAGCTTTGTCTTCGAGACAGTAACTGTAAGTTACTCACTAACTTAACAAAGACTTACTAGGTTTCAACACATTTGTCTAAGAAGTCTTATCCAAATGAGATTTGTGTCTGTCGTAGTAATGCATGGTATATAGCTTGATAGGCTAGTGTGAGAGAAGATGTTTTGTGGTCAACAGAAAGAGACAATGTCCCAGGGACCATATCAGCTCAAACAGTGACCTGCACAACCTCAAAAGTCCATGCTTTATTCAGCAAAAAAACTAAACAAATACAGTACAACATACAAAACCCATAAAAAGGTTGTCATCGGAATGGAAATAACAACGCTTAAACTCAAACAAAAGTCAATCATTGACAAAACTATACAACATATCTCATTAATTACACTTACTGAAAAGCATTTATCATAATTTATGTAATATAACAGGGTTCCCCAACTCGCGGCCCGCAGGTGATTTTATTTGGCCCCCCAAGTTTTCTGAGCAAAACTTTTTTATATTTTTTATATTGTTGATTGTTGGACATAAAAGTGTGAAAACTCCAGGAAATCTGTTCCGAAGGATCCCCAGGCATAATAGAGAGATATATGTGATCGTATACAAATGTAAGCAAGGTTTGAAATGATTATGTTTTAGTCAAATGGGTATTGTGCGTAGATGCAAGTATGAAAAATGTATGCACTCACTAACTGTAAGTCGCTCTGGATAAGAGCGTCTGCTAAATGACTAAAATGTCAAATGTAAATATTATATTTGTTTGGGCCTCTGGCAGTCAATTTGCAGTCTCCAAATTATTTGTAATTATGTTCTGGACCCCTGACTATCCACTCAAGAAAAAATCGGCCCGCGGCTAAAACTAGTTGATGATCCCTGTAATATAATACATTTGTAGAATATAAATTCATATAAAAATATTGTCAGTAATACAAATATAAGTTACAGTATTACAGCATGTCTTGGTTTTAAAAGTTATTTATCATCCCCGTTCCCTAAGGCTCTCTAGTGTCATTACCATATAATATAAGAATAAGTCCCTAACTGTACAAAATAAGTGTAAAATACACTGATAATAAACCAGTATGGTGATGGCACAGCTGGAAACTATCCCAGTGTGTGTGTATTTGTGTGTATGTGTACACCAGACCATAGTAGCCAGTGTTCTCATGGCCAGCCTTCTGTTGCCCCAGCGAGGCTTGTAGTGCTGTTGGAGGAAGATCAGTGGTCTCTTGGTAATACTCCCCCTTCCTCCTCCTCACTCATCCCCTTTTAGCATTTCCCCCCTCATCCTCCTGTAGTGATGGTAGCGGTGGTGTTGGCCCAGGAGGGGAAGGTGTCCAGGTTGAACATGGCTCTACCCCAGCTGTTAATGGCCAGAGTGATGCACAGGATCCCTATGATGTTCATCACTATACCCGTTTTAGCCTGTAGGAGAGAGAGGGGGTTAGAGTTGAGGTGGTGGTAGGTTGAGGGGATGGCGGTGAGGGTGGATAGCCAAGGTCTCTCACCATGTCTGACACCTTTAGGTATCCATAAGAGAACACGATGGCGTTAGGAGGCGTGGCCACAGGCAGCATGAAGGCAAAGGAGGCACTGAGGGTGCAGGGTACCATCACATACAGTGGGTTCACCCCTATGGTCTGGGACTGCAATAGAACACACACATATTAACCAACACACACTCGCACTTACGTACATACGAATGCATGGACATGAGCACACACAAGTACATATACAAGTAGTACTATCCTGTAATGTGGATGTGAATAGGATGAATAAGAGTGTCTGTGCATGTGGCTCTGTGCTGGCTCAGTTATCAAAGCTTCTCTTTACTGAATCAACAGAGCTGAGAGCTCTACACAGTGCTGCTACAGTCTCACTGTCTGGCCTCTAATGTGACCTATTAGTGCAAATAACCTCTCTCTTTCTCTCTCTCTCTCTCTGAGAACCTCTTCAGTGATAGGCCTGGCTCAGATCCCCTATTGACAAGCTCTATTCAGTACATTCCAATTTTATCAAGAGGAAACTTGATCCGAGAATGAGGGCGCGAGGGAGTGTCTGTGTGAGAGAGAGGGGGAGAAAGAGAGGTTGTGTGTGTACCATGGAGGCGAGGATGGGCAGGAAGAGTGTAGCGGTAGCCACGTTGCTGGCACACTCAGTGAAGGTGGCGATGAGGAGACAGAGGATGACAGCGATGGCCCAGGGAGGGATAGAGCTGAGAGGCATCATCTGATCACCCAGCCACCGCGACAGACCAGACATCTAGATGGATACACACACACATATTGAAGCTTATAAACACGCATGGACACACATACACACACGCATGGACACACATACACACACGCATGGACACACATACACACACACACATGGACACACATACACGCACGCACGCACGCACGCACACACACACACACACACACACACACACACACCTCGCTTCCCTTAGCCAGTGCGAAGCCTCCTCCTAGCAGCAGTACAATGCTCCAGGGCATCTTCCTCTGGGTCACCTGCCAGGTCAGCAGGGCACGGGCGGGGCCGCGGGGGGGCTGGGGCTCTGAGTGGAGGGGGGCGCACACATGTCAAGCAGTGTCTACAGCAGGGGTTCCCAAACTCTTTTGGCCCAAGACCCCATTTTGATATCTGAAAATTCTCGCGACCCCAACAATGTGAAAAAAAGTATGTACAGTGAGGGAAAAAAGTATTTGATCCCCTGCTGATTTTGTACGTTTGCCCACTGACAAAGACATGATCAGTCTATAATTTTAATGGTAGGTTTATTTGAACAGTGAGAGACAGAATAACAACAACAAAAATGCAGAAAAACGCATGTCAAAAATGTTATAAATTGATTTGCATTTTAATGAGGGAAATAAGTATTTGACCCCTCTGCAAAACATGACTTAGTACTTGGTGGCAAAACCCTTGTTGGCAATCACAGAGGTCAGATGTTTCTTGTAGTTGCCCACCAGGTTTGCACACATCTCAGGAGGGATTTTGTTCCACTCCTCTTTGCAGATCTTCTCCAAGTCATTAAGGTTTCGAGGCTGACGTTTGGCAACTCAAACCTTCAGCTCCCTCCACAGATTTTCTATGGGATAAAGGTCTGGAGACTGGCTAGGCCACTCCAGGACCTTAATGTGCTTCTTCTTGAGCCACTCCTTTGTTGCCTTGGCCGTGTGTTTTGGGTCATTGTCATGCTGGAATACCCATCCACGACTCATTTTCAATGCCCTGGCTGAGGGAAGGAGGTTCTCACCCAAGATTTGACGGTACATGGCCCCGTCCATCGTCCCTTTGATGCGGTGAAGTTATCCTGTCCCCTTAGCAGAAAAACACCCCCAAAGCATAATGTTTCCACCTCCATGTTTGACGGTGGGGATGGTGTTCTTGGGGTCATAGGCAGCATTCCTCCTCCTCCAAACACGGCGAGTTGAGTTGATGCAAAAAGAGCTCGATTTTGGTCTCATCTGACCACAACACTTTCACCCAGTTCTGTATATGTGCTTTCTTGAGCAGGGGGACCTTGCGGGCGCTGCAGGATTTCAGTCCTTCACGGCGTAGTGTGTTACCAATTGTTTTCTTGGTGACTATGGTCCCAGCTGCCTTGAGATCATTGACAAGATCCTCCCGTGTAGTTCTGGGCTGATTCCTCACCGTTCTCATGATCATTGCAACTCCACGAGGTGAGATCTTGCATGGAGGCCCAGGCCGAGGGAGATTGACAGTTATTTTGTGTTTCTTCCATTTGCGAATAATCGCACCAACTGTTGTCACCTTCTCACCAAGCTGCTTGGCAGTCTTGTAGCCCATTCCAGCCTTGTGTAGGTCTACAATCTTGTCCCTGACATCCTTGGAGAGCTCTTTGGTCTTGGCCATGGTGGAGAGTTTGGAATCTGATTGATTGATTGCTTCTGTGGACAGGTGTCTTTTATACAGGAAACAAGCTGAGATTAGGAGCACTCCCTTTAAGAGTGTGCTCCTAATCTCAGCTCGTTACCTGTATAAAAGACACCTGGGAGCCAGAAATCTTTCTGATTGAGAGGGGGTCAAATACTTATTTCCCTCATTAAAATGCAAATCAATTTATAACATTTTTGACATGCGTTTTTCTGCATTTATTTGTTGTTATTCTGTCTCTCACTGTTCAAATAAACCTACCATTAAAATTATAGACTGATCATGTCTTTGTCAGTGGGCAAACGTACAAAATCAGCAGGGGATCAAATACTTTTTTCCCTCACTGTACTTAACAGCCAATGTAAATTTTTTTATTTGGGGCTATGACAGTCAATTGAAAAACATTCTAACAGTATTTCTGATTGTCTTCTCCACTCACCATCACATACTTTTAATGTGGGGCTAAGACAGTCAATTGCAAATTAGTCTGACATAATGTATCTTATCTCACCACTAATGAGATGGGTGTGCTTGATGCATGTTGCGTCGGAGCTTCTCAAAGTCTGGGTCGACAATGCACACCTCATCTCTGCTGTCATATCCAACCTGGATCGATATTTGGTTTTAATTCAGACGAGAGCACTGAATCCGGCTTCACACAGATATAGCCTACCATGAGTTTTATGGTGCTTTCAAGATAACTGGGAACTCGGAAAAATACAAGGTCAAATCATGACGTCATTGATCTTTAGGTCGGAAAGTCAGAGCTCTAGAAAGAGGCCAGATTTCCCGAGTTGGAATTCCGAGTTGGATGACCGTTTTTCCCAGTCGGAGCTCATTTCTTTCCGAGTTCCCAGTTGTCTTGAACGCACTGAAGTCGGAAGTCGGAGATTTACGAGTTCCCAGTTCCCAGTTGTTTTGAATGCGGCATTAATGCTCAGAGGGAGACGGCAGGGTATTCCCTTTGAGTCAGGAACCAAAACTCCTTTGTAGTGACCCGTGAATGCATTCGGTCACATGACAACTAGATCAGCTGTTTGATTTCACTCACCGCCATGTCAACTGAGCCAGGATCACAGTCAAACGGATTGGAAAGTAGGTCCCAAAATGCTCTTCCAAGCGTTGGAGGTGAGCAGTCATCACACGTGTGGGACACTTACTGATGCTGTTTTCTGTTATTTTCTTTTTATTACACAGAAAGTCAACCAAGTCTGTTTGTTTTACATCTATTGTGAAAGACAACAGTTCCTCTCTCAATGCGAAAAATCTTTCCAACACTCCCATTCGATAACAACCAAGCCTCGGTGTGAAATAGAACATTGTCGTGCTCTGATCCCATATCTCCACATAGTTTTGTGAACATCGGTGCGCACAGTTACCTGCTGCAATATACTGCATATATACTCTTTTGCCGCCACTTGCTCTCGCTCTAGAGTGCAGAGGCCTGCCCGCCTCCCGCCATAGATGGAGCCCCATCGGTGCAAAAGCCCACAATTCGATCCCATGGAATCTGTTTTTCGTCAATATAGCCACACAGCACACTGAACATCCCCTATGCCGTTTCATGCTTGGGAATCGTGAGACAGAACAATATGTCCTCGTGAATAACATCCCCCGACATGTAGCGAACAAAAGTCAATGCATCTCGGCCTTCACAGCTAATGTCCATTTGTTAGAGCATAAGCTGCAGAGTTTTTGAGTCGTTCAGTCAGAGCATAAATTATTTGTTTATGTCATGAACCCTGCGTCCTGAGTCGGTTCCTGCCTGTGTTGCCGTTTTTCTGCTCTGAATCTCCTGTTTCCTGAAGGTTCTTGAACGCTCCCTGCCTGGTTGCCGGGCGACGTTGCTAGGCGGGAGATCTCCCGATTACCCGCACCTGCATCTCATCAGCTATCGGCACACCTGGTCCTGATCATCACCCTTCATAAGCTCTGACCTGACATCCATTCCCTGCCGGATCGTTAGCCATGAACAGTATGTTTGTCAGCGTATCAGCCTCTGAGTTACTAGCGTTAGTTTTGTTGTTTTGCACCTTGTTGGCTTGCCGTGTACTTACCTCCGTTTGTTTCTGTCTACAGTCATTCTCCCGGAACCTTCACCCAACCCCTGCCTGGTTGTCGGCGGCTGCCGAGCCATCATTGGATCTGCCACTTCACCTCCACCAACTCATCTCCGCCACCCGCTCTGTTCCCTGGATTATTCTGCATCGTTTTTTGGATCTGTTAATAAATACTCACCTTCGTTCAACTCACCTTGTCCTGGTCTGCTTCTGGGTTCTGGCTTAGAAAACCGTGACAGAACGATCCGGCCAGAAATGAACCCAGCGGACCTGGACTCTGTTCGCCATGCCATTACCCATCAGGAAAGGATGTTGGGACAACACAGCACGGCGCTACAGGAGATAGCGTTGTCAGTTCGGAACTTTTCGACCAGTCTGACGAAGCTCCAGGCTCAGCTCAGGTTGCCGGTGGAGAATCCACTACCGGTTTCACCCCTTTCGCCTACCGCTTCTGGAGCTGTGCCCTTCCGTGAGCCCAAGGTTCCGACGCCTGATAAGTATGAAGGGGATTTGGGAAGATGCCGTTCCTTTCTTATGCAGTGTGGATTAGTGTTCGATCTACAGCCCCACACGTACGCCACAGACAAGGCTAGGACAGCCTTTGTGATTGAATTGCTGCGTGGTAGAGCCCTGGAGTGGGCTTCAGCCGTGTGGGAACGACAGGACACCTGCATGGCGTCATACCAGGAGTTCACGGCAGAGGTGAGGAGGCTGTTTGACCATCCAGTCCGAGGTAAGGACGTAGCTAAGCGCCTGTTCTCTCTTCGCCAAGGAGCTCGCAGCGTCGCCGACTTCGCAATCGAATTCAGGACATTGGCTGTGGAGAGTGGGTGGAATGAAGAGTCACTGCAAGCGGCCTTTTATCAGGGGTTGTCGGAGCAACTCAAGGATGAGCTGATCTCCTACCCGGAGCCTAGTGACCTGGACAGTTTGGTAGCTTTGTCTATTCGGGTGGATAACAGAGTCCGAGAGAGAAGGAGGGAGAAGCAATGGGGCCCGTCCGATCAATCAGCTTCTCGGTTCCCAGTCGGGTCAGGAGGTGGACCAGAACGCGTCGATCATTGTCCACCACACGGGATTAGTGGAGAGGTCCTGCCTTCAGATTCTGAACCCATGCAAGTGGGGCGGCACGGGTTAACCAAGGAGGAGCGCCAACATAGACGTGAGACCAACCGCTGCCTCTACTGTGGGAGTTCGGGACATTACATCTCCACTTGTTCCCAGCGGCCGTCAAACTGCCCGGCTCGCTAAGTTTGGGAGGACTTTTAGCGAGCCAGTTACAACCTCTCAATACCCCTGTCAGACCCTGTTTCCCGGCTACCCTCATGAACGGGAATCAGAGTTTAGCGATTAACGTTTTCGTCGATTCAGGTGCCGATGGCAGCTTTATTGATGCCGACGTGGTGGAACAGCTGGGGCTTTCCAAGGAGCGATTACCGGAAGCCCTTGAAGCTACCACTCTGAACGGCAGTAGTCTGGCACGTATCACGATGAGGACTGAACCGGTTAGGATGCTGTTGTCAGGGAATCATTCTGAGGTTATCTCATTCTTCATTCTGTCTTCTCCCCATGTTCCTCTGGTCCTTGGATACCCCTGGCTGAAGGAACACAATCCCTCGTTCGATTGGGTGACTGGCAAGGTAACTAGTTGGAGCATTGATTGTCATGCTAACTGCCTCAAGACTGCCTGTTCCCATTCTGTTCCCAGTCAGGTCATTGAGGCTAACCCCCCAGATTTGTCCCTGGTTCCCGAAACATATCACGAGTTGGGGGAAGTGTTCAGTAAGCAGAGGGCTCTGTCACTCCCTCCCCACCGACCATATGATTGTGCCATTAACCTGTTCCCTGGGGCTGCCTATCCCAAGGGACGGTTATACAGCATCTCCCGACCTGAACGTGAAGCTTTGGAGACCTACATCAAGGAGTCCCTAGCTGCTGGTCTCATTCGTCCCTCGTCATCACCCCTGGGGGCAGGATTCTTCTTTGTGGGTAAGAAGGATGGCTCTCTTCGACCGTGTATTGATTATCGGGGGATGAATGATATCACGGTCAAGAACAAGTATCCCCTGCCCTTGATGAGTTCTGCTTTCTACTCCTTACAGGGTGCTACTGTGTTCACCAAGCTGGACCTACGCAATGCGTATCATCTGGTCCGGATCAGAGAGGGGGACGAGTGGTTGACGGGTTTCAATACACCGATGGGTCACTTCGAGTATCAGGTGATGCCGTTTGGACTGACTAATGCTCCAGCAGTGTTCCAGAGTATGGTGAATGACGTCCTGGGAGATATGATCGGTCTTTTTGTGTTTGTTTACCTGGATGACATTCTTATTTTCTCGAAGGAACCTTCCAGCCACGTCCAGCATGTCAAGCAGGTTCTGCAGCGATTGCTGGAGAATCGCCTGTTTGTGAAGGCCGAGAAGTGTGAATTTCACGCCCACACTACATCCTTCCTCGGATACATCATCTCCAGGGGAGAGATTGGGATGGACCAAGAGAAGGTTAGGGCGGTTCTGGATTGGGCCCAGCCCGGTACGAGATTGCAGCTCCAGAGGTTTCTGGGGTTAGCGAATTTCTATCGGAGATTTATCCGTGATTACAGCCGTGTGGCCGCTCCTTTAACTGCTCTGACTTCCAGTACCAGGACCTTCAGTTGGAATCCTGAGGCGGACCGAGCTTTCCTGGATTTGAAGAGGCGATTCACCAACGCACCGATTCTCTCTCAACCTGACACGGCCCGTCAGTTCGTCATTGAAGTGGATGCGTCTGATGTGGGGGTTGGCGCCATCCTGTCCCAGCGACGCTCCACTGACGGTAAACTCCATCCCTGCGCCTACTACTCTCGTCGTCTTTCGTCTGCGGAGAGGAACTACGATGTGGGTAACCGGGAGCTTCTCGCGGTGAGCTTCTCGCGCCACTGGTTGGAGGGGGCGGAGCAACCGTTTATTGTCTGGACTGACCACAAGAATCTTGCTTACGTGCAATCGGCTAGACGTCTCAACTCCCGTCAGGCCAGGTGGGCTTTGTTTTTCGGACGCTTTAATTTTTCCCTGACGTTCTGACCTGGGTCTAAGAACGGCAAGGCGGACGCCTTGTCCCGGATGTTCTCCAAGACGGAGGAGAGTGGGGCCAAGACCGAGACGATTCTTCCCCGGAACTGTGTCGTGGGAGCAGTTATGTGGAGGATTGAGGAGGAGGTTATGGCGGCCCTTCGGACGCAGCCCGGTCCCGGTAACGGTCCACCCGGTCGGTTGTTTGTGCCTGAGTCGGTTCGTTCTGCTGTCCTCCAATGGTCCCACGCCAGCAAGATGGCTTGTCACCCTGGCGTGGCTCGGACGATGGCGTTACTTTGCAGACGATTTTGGTGGCCTGCCATGGGAGAAGATACTCAGAGGTTTGTTGTTGCCTGTCCAGTGTGTGCGCAGAATAAGAGTGCCAATCGGCCCAGCTCTGGACTTCTTCACCCCCTCCCTATTCCCCGGCGACCATGGTCGCATCTGGCCCTGGACTTTGTCACTGGGTTGCCCTCTTCTGAGGGGAACACGGTCATTCTGACTATCGTGGACAGATTCAGCAAGTTCGCCCACTTTGTGCCCATTTCCAAGCTTCCCTCTGCCTCTGAGACGTCCGAGATCCTGGTTAGGGAGGTTTTCAGGGTCCACGGGTTGCCCAGTGACAGTTTCCGACCGTGGTCCTCAGTTTACCTCTGCTGTCTGGAAGTCCTTCTGTTTGGCCATTGGAGCTACAGTCAGTCTAACATCTGATTTTCACCCCCAATCTAATGGTCAGGCGGAGAGAGCCAACCAGAAGATGGAATCCACGCTACGCTGCCTTGTCTCCTCCAACCCCACCTCCTGGGTCTCTCAGTTGCCTTGGGTGGAGTATGCCCACAATACTCTCCCTACATCTGCCACTGGGATGTCTCCCATTCCAGTGCCTGTATGGCTACCAACCTCCCTTGTTTCCTTCTCAGGAGAAGGATCTCTCAGTGCCCTCTGTTCAGGCCCACATTCGTCGTTGCCACCGGACCTGGCATCGGGCCAGAAAGGCCCTCCTTAGAGTTTCTGACCGGTATCAGCTCCAGGCGAATTGTCGCCGGATTCCCGCCCCCACCTATTCCATCGGAGATAGGGTCTGGTTGGCTACACGGGATCTTCCCCTGCGGACTGAGTCTAAGAAACTGTCACCGAAGTTCATTGGTCCGTTTGTGGTGGAGAGAGTGATCAATCCTGTTGCGGTTCGACTCAAGTTACCTAGAACGCTCAGAGTCCATCCCACCTTTCATGTCTCCTGCCTCAAGCCTGTTCTCCTCAGTCCTCTGTTGCCCCCTCCGCCTCCTCCTCCTCCCCCTCGGATGATCGGAGGTGGTCCTGCCTACACGGTGCGCCGCATTATGGATTCCAGATGGCGGGGCCGGGGTTTCCAGTATCTCGTGGACTGGGAGGGGTATGGTCCTGAAGAGAGGAGTTGGATTCCTCGGCGTCAGATCCTTGATGCTGACCTCCTTCGTGACTTCTACCGCCTCCATCCTGGCGCTCCGGGTAGTCCGCCCGGTGGCGTTCGTCGGAGGGGGGTACTGTCATGAACCCTGAGTCGGTTCCTGCCTGTGTTGCCGTTTTTCTGCTCTGAATCTCCTGTTTCCTGAAGGTTCTTGAACGCTCCCTGCCTGGTTGCCGGGCGACGTTGCTAGGCGGGAGATCTCCCGATTACCTGCATCTCATCAGCTATCGGCACACCTGGTCCTGATCATCACCCTTCATAAGCTCTGACCTGACATCCATTCCCTGCCGGATCGTTAGCCATGAACAGTATGTTTGTCAGCGTATCAGCCTCTGAGTTACTAGCGTTAGTTTTGTTGTTTTGCACCTTGTTGGCTTGCCGTGTACTTACCTCCGTTTGTTTCTGTCTACAGTCATTCTCCCGGAACCTTCACCCAACCCCTGCCTGGTTGTCAGCGGCTGCCGAGCCATCATTGGATCTGCCACTTCACCTCCACCAACTCATCTCCGCCACCCACTCTGTTCCCTGGATTATTCTGCATCGTTTTTTGGATCTGTTAATAAATACTCACCTTCGTTCAACTCACCTTGTCCTGGTCTGCTTCTGGCTTCTGGCTTAGAAAACCGTGACAGTTTAACAGTGTTATCTGACAAAGATATTGATGTGAGTTTCTGTGCTTCTGCCTCCTCACACATTGTTTTCACCATATCAATTGCGGCCGGTAATATCAAAGTCTCTGCAATAGTGTTTGGTTTTGTAGCGTAGCGGGCCTAGCCATTCACCGTGGGAATGATTCAAGTGCAATGGTCAAGTGTGGCCTTTTCCCATGATCTAAGGGCGCGCTCTTGTTGAATTTGATATTTTTTTTTTCAGGATTTTGGAAATTCTCCTGCGAACCCATTTTCATATCAGGCGGGTCGCGACCCCTAGTTTGGGAACCACTGGTCTACAGTGTGAGTGTGTGTGTGTTTATGAATGCGTGTGCGTGTATCACCTGTGTCAAAGCGCTGTGTTCTCCAGAAGCAGAGGTAGCGGGGGGGCTCAGAGGGCAAGACGAACAGCAGCACGGCAACAAATACTGCCACTGTGGCATCAGTCACAAACCTGGAGAGGGGAGAGGAGAGGTTAGAGGTTAGGGGTCAGACTGTGTGGGGTTAGGGGGCAGCAGGGTAGGGGAATATAGGGGTTAGGAGTTGGGAAAAGGTGCAGAGGGAGGCCGGGGAGGGGCCCTCCAATCCTTTTTTGAACACTAACTAATTCTGACCCAATGACAATGTGATGACAGAGTGGATTGATGTAAAGGACAGAGCATGTTTGATGACCATAGCCCCAGTTTGATCCAGGATTCTGTTAGAATCAACAAGTGTTTCCATGGTGATGTGCCAATTCATAAATTGACAGACGTCACATATGCCCTATGTGTTAGGGAGGTCACATGACCAGAAAAGAGAAGGTCATTTCCATCTAAAAGGACCCATGAGCACCAACATGTGAAGTTCATAGGAGCATGTCACATTGCATGTCAAATGAAAGCTAAGAGTCTATATTTTTGAGAAATTAAGGCATATATACATTTTCCAACCATTTTCCATCCTAAAAATTAGGAATAAGCGAAGTCGTTGATGTCTGGTCAAACAGATAGAAAAGGCGTCTTAGAAAACATCTACGAGAAAAACTCTTAAAAGGAATTAGAAATATATGAAAACACAATAATGTTGAAGTAAAGACCCTTGGCAACTAATATGAAATGATTTGCCTTCTGTAAAATTAAGAAACATTGCCTTGTGCCTTGTAAATCCGTTACCAAAAACCCACATACAGTATCTTTAAGATATTTTTGTTATTTCTCTCCCTCATGAGAAAGTTCACAGAAGTAACATGTAAAGGTAGACCTACCAAATAGTTATAATGTTTTTTACTGCTATCAAGTTTATGAATTATTAAGTGATTAAAACTCGTAGTTTGGTAACAGAATTACCAAAAAAGCTGTAACAGAATTGATGCAATTGAACTGGCTCCAATGGGAAATAATCTTTGTCACAAACCACAGTTGGTTCACCTATTACTAGTCTGGCACACTGTTATGTTCAGCTCATAACAAATTTGATTTATCTTTCTGTCGTCTGGTGGTCAAAGCAAGACCGTGAAAAAAGTCTGGACAACCCCTCCCCCCTCTAACTCTCCCGCTCTCTTTCTCTGCCGCTCTCTCCCTCTCTCTCTTCTCTCTCTCTCCAGGTAATGCCACCTCTCCTGGGTCTTACTGACACTTACCATGACACCCTACCACCTACCCTATTTCCATTTACTTGAACAAGCATCCTTACCCACTGAGCACCGACCGACACCGGACGTCCATGGATGTTGAAAAGTAGTTGAAATCTGGTCATTCCGCCCTGTCCGGACCAGATCTGAACCAATCATAGACGTCTATGATTCACAAGTTTGGACATCACAGTACAGTAGAGCACAGCAGAGAACAGTACATTACAATACAGAACAGTACAGTAAAGAAAAGTAGAGAACAGTACTGTACACTACAGTAGAGCACACTAGCGTAGAGTACAATATAATGTACTGTGTTGTACTGTACTCTACTGTACTGAACATATCTACTTTACTGTACTGTACATCTGTTTCCAAACTTGTGAAACAGATGTATGATTGTTTTAGGATTTGGTCTGGTCCGGACCAACCAAATGTGGTCTTGTTTGGGGCCGGAGCTCATTACAATCAAAGCCAGTGTGTGGACTAATACCCAAATATGCAAAAAAATATAAATAGCATATTTCTACCTTTGTGTACCTATTCAGAATACGTCAACATGAAGAGAATGATATTAATTCCTGTATGGTACAGATCATGGACTCATGATGTAATTCCGTTACCGAAATTTCGTTACTGGATGTAAATCAACTTCACCTACTGTAGTTCAATAACCCAATTATTATTATTTTTTACTCAAGGTGTCATGTCATAGCTGACACCCTATTCTTTCTGCAGGCATCTTTGAATCTTAATTCGGAGCAGATATTTAAAGGTGCAATATTCAGAAATCGCTCCACCATCTCTCCATTTATTTGACAAAACAAGCAATGTTTAGTGTAGAGAATCATTGTACCATCTAAACCGCTGTGAAATATATTTTCAATAACCCAAAATACTGTAATTTCAGCTTTTTGAAGTTGGTGTACAAAACCGAAAGTAAAAGACGCAAAAACGAAACTTAAGTAGGGGAAGAATAGAAATAGCACACATAGAACATATCTACCGCTTCTTAGACTTGCTTTCAATGAGAATGACAGATCTATAACTCACATTTCTATGTGAATTTGGTGGGGTAGCCCAAAAAGTTAAATATTGCTGCTTTAACAGAGTTTTTGGAAAACGTGGTTGCATAAAAAACTGAGGGAGAGTTTACTGTTTGCATCTGCACCGGACTTCCAGTAAATGTGTTTTTGTGAAATGTTCTGTGTAAATTGTACAAAGAAGTCCTTGTGCATAAAGTTGTATGGTTTGTTAAACTTTGAAATCAATGGTTTTTGTTTGGCATACATTTGAAAGTTAATCTGAGTCAAAGCATAATTCCGTTACCGTGGAATTGCCCAAAACGTAGTGTGTGCCTCTCCTGCCCATCGATCTGTTTGTCATAAAGAAGTGTGCTTTTCTCTCTCATTCACTCTAGTGAGATCATGTTTCCTGGACTCTGTGTGTGCTGGTTACAGTGTGTGTGTGTGCAGGTGAGAGTGTGTTTTTGTGTGTCAAAGTTTAGAACACGTGTATTGATGCAACACAGAATGACATATTTTGTCCATCTGTGTTTGTTTTCTCCTGTTTCCTGTGTCCTGACACTTGGTCTAATGGAAGGTTCTGGGTCTAAAGACAACTCAGTTCACCTATCCTTCAGATCAGATCAGGCTTGTGTTACTGTGCATGTGTTTGCATATTTCCACCTGCTAGTGTTTTGTGTGTCTGTGTGGTTGAGTATGTATGGTGTGTACAGTATTTCACTGTGGTGTGTGTGTGTTACATACTCTGCCTTGGCGTTGAAGACGTGGGTTGCCCATCCGTCGATGAAGCCTGGGCTTCGTGTGAACCAAAGCACCACCAGCAGGATGAAGAGCCCCAGGACACTAAGCTCTCCATAAGACATGGGTCCCAGACGACGATGCTCCTCACGGATCAAATCATATGCTGCACGCTCCTTCTCTGACTGCACAGCACCACAGCCCCACGTACGCTTCAGACTGGAGAGGAGGAGGGGGTGACAGGAATGAGAGAAATTACTGGGGGAGGAAAAGAGAAGGGGGTGAGAGAAAGACAAACTGAGTGAAAGAGAGATTATTTACAATAATAGGTCAGATAAGAAGCAGAGTGAGTGAGAGAGACATATTACCCCTATTTTGCCTATGCAAACCTTTACAGATATCATGTCATGGTTGAACTGAGAGAGAGGAGAGAGTAGAGTTAAAGTAGTGCCTGTGATGCTCTTGCCAGGTCACTCACTTGAAGCCGATGAAGACGAGCTGGAGCCAGAGCCAGGCCAGTGTTAGCATTAGCAACATGGTGGGGAAGGCAAAGGCGAACCACGAGGCAAAGTTAATCACGTCACCGTTCTGAGGGAAGAGTCTGACATTGGGTTTCTGTTAAGAACATAACTTCTCAAAAATGTCAAACATCAAATGTCAGTTGATCAACATGATATGTTCAGACCCCCATATCTATGTTCATAGCTATGGGATATACATGCACTAACATTTGTGAGGTGTGTGTCTGTGAGAGGTACGCGTGTCTGTGTGTGTGTGTGTGTGTGTGTGTGTGTGTGTGTGTGAGTGTGAGAGAGAGAGAGGAACATACTGGCTCATCTGCCCTGTGAGGACGAGGTTGGGTCCGGTGCCAGTGAGAGTGGCAGTGCCTCCGATGCTGGCAGCGTAACACACACACAACGTCAGGCCTTTACACATCTTCATCCTCTCCTTCTCCTCCTCTTCCTCCCCAACCTGCTCCTCTGCTTCAGTCCCTTCCTTCAAGACCATGGACACTACCACTGTATACAGAGAGGAAGGGGGAGACAAAACCACTATATATTAAAGAAGTTTGGGAATCAGGACCACCAAGAGGTCAAGGCCAAAGTTGTTAGCTAGGCAGGCTATAGTTTGCCTGTTGCCTATATACATTTAGCCTATGTCTATAATTGTTGGAAATCGCCATTTAACTGTGTTATGGTGTATTGGTGAGAAAGTAGTGCTCCAGCCTCACCCAGACCCCAGCCCAGTGCCCTGCACCTCACCTGGCTTCCCATCAGTCAGAGAGTTGTCCTGAGGAACTAGTTTGTCTGGGGAGTCCAGTTTATCTTTTGAGGCTGGTTTCTCCAGTGGGATGTGATTGTCCTGGATCTTAAGTGTGTTCTGTGGGGTCGAACTGTTCTCCAGTTTTTCCTCAGTAGTCGTACCATTCTCCTGGCTCTGAGGGGTGTGCAGGGTGTTCTCCCCCTTTCGTGGGCTGTTGAGCTGCTCCAGGACAGCCTGGACAATGGGGACCATCATAGCTGTGGTGGCTGTGTTACTGATCCACATGGACAGGAACGCTGTCACACCCATGAACCCTAGCATTAGACTGGTGGGGACAGCGGAGGAGGGGAAGGTGTATCAGAGAAAGAAAAGAGGAAGTGGAGAAGGAGGAAAGAATGCAAGGCTTTAGCTCAGTGGGCTTACATGTTCTTGAATTTTGCAGACAATCCTGATTTGATACTTGAACAATTGATAGACAGACACCTGTGATGTGCTACTCACAGGGCAGGCCGCACCCCCACAACAAGTAGAACTCTGAGGGCAATGCGCTTGTGAAGATTCCATGTCTCCACGGCAACAGCCACCATCAGCCCGCCCACAAACAGCATGTTGGTGTCCTTCAGGTACTGCATACACACCTGATACACACATTTGTGAGAGATTGTCTTTGTGTGTGAGCATGTGTGTTTGTGTGTGTGTGTGTGTGTGTGTGTGCGTGCATGTGTGAGGGAAGCGTACCTGCTTGGACTCCATGATGCCAAACAGAGGGAAGAGGACAGCGGGCAGGAGAGCAGTCACAGCCAGCGGCAGTACCTCAGTGCACCAGTACACTGCCATCAGGGCTATCACATAGGCACAGCCTGCCTCCTGCAACACACACATTTACAATACTTGATTTAGATCCATATAGAAGTACAGAGAACCCAAATATTCTAGAGGTCAAAAGGACAAACACCCACACACACACGAAAGAACTGAAGCACATTAACACGCGGTGTTCTGTGTGTCTGGTGGTGTCATTGTATCAATATTGATCTGTGATATGAATTCGTGATTCTCAAGTAATGTAAACTTGAACTTCAACACCCTATGGTGTGATGAGGAAATGTTTCCTCCCTCTTCAATGCCCTGGCACTGAAACACTGAGCTTACAGGGTATAAGACCTCCTGGGGCAGGTTAGGCTTTATGTCACTCTCACAAGACTAGGTTACTAAGTAGGCCTAATACCTAAAATTGGTCTACTGTCTGTCAGCACAGCAGGAGAAAGCATGGTCAGGTGACAATAACACACTCTCTCCCAAACCAAAAGTCTTCGCTCTGTGTATTTTTTCTGATATATGTATTTAGCTAAAGGGCCCAGCTGGGCCTTCTACTAAAGTTACATAGGGATGGTACCTGCTGTGGAGACCCCTGAGATCCAGTTGCCAGGGTGACCCAGTCAGTCAGTGTGGGATCTGGGATGTTTTTCAGATTCCACATATCTCTATGGATATTTCTGGGAATCACCGACTATATCAACACTGATGATGGGTCATCAGCACTGATGATGGCACACTGAACCAAATTGGTAACTACACGTTTGCAACTTTTGTAGTCTAATTGGAACTAGCACTTTGGTGTAGTAGGCTTATGTATTTAACTTAAGCATTTATTTATCTCTGTGTGAAGCTCCTCTGCTCTACAAACTTTTGAACTCTATAGTCCTCATGTTATCCACGGTTGAAAGACCAGTGCGCCTAGATCGCTTGAATGCTGCAGCAAGCGCAAAAGCGGTAGTTTCCATGATAGGTTAGCGGGACAGCTCTGTCGTTAAAACAACAACAAAGGGTTAGACAAGAGAGCTCAGCACCACATTAACCTCGGGCGCAAGCTGAAGGAATGTGTCATGCCAGGTCCTGACCTTGTGCCCCTCTGAAAGTTACATGCTGACCAAACCGGCCACATTGTGTGCTCGAGTGTTGCAAAATAAATGTACACATACACAATCATTTCATCCAATCTGCTTGCGCGTGCCAACGGCGTCTGCATTGCCAGTCGCTAAAATAGAACTTGGTTCTATTTTAGACGGTTGACACGCTGCAAGTCCCACCTCTCCCATCTACTCATTGGTTTTTATGAGCATAAACCCACATGGGTGATTGAAAGATGAATGAGGTTCACACTTCAGTCCAGTTGGTGTCGGTAATGTACCTTAAAGTTGGTTGCCAACCGCCATATAAAATCCACAGAAGAAGAAGAATTATGAAGAGGAGAGATTAATCAAAGAAAATGTACTAAAATCTAACTAGGTTCTTGGAGTAGAGAACACAAGATTTTGTCTGACTCAAAATGAGTCAAAATTCTACAAAGGTCCAGCTAACCCCCCCCCCCCCCCCCCCCCCCCCCTTGCTCAAACTATGTGGATCCCTCTTGACTGTCGCCCCATCTGTAGGAGGCGACAGTCAAAACGTTCAACTCTAGGTGACAATTGTCGTAGTCCAGACCTACTCTCTGTTATGTAGCTACATGTTTTATTTGACGCTTGTTTATTTTTATTTTCAAGTCTTTGAGATTCTTTCTGTAATGAAAAACGCCAGTGTGTGCGTTGGGAAACTAGGCCTAAATACATATTTACGCCAAAATCAACATGCGTCAGGTGCACAAAATAATAATGCATAATTTATGAAATATCTAAAAAGACGATAGACTACTAGTAGGCTGCTAGTGAAATATTTTAAATCGTCATTCCGATAACCTATTCTTGGTGTAGAAAGCAGAAAGAGTAGGCCTAGCTGGTGTCAAGAGGAGGTAGGGACCCCTGGAATAAATCCATTACACAACTTTGGCACATACCGTGGTTCTGATCAGCAGAGGTAGCGGGAGGAGGAGGAATGGTGTGCAGAAAATAATCACCCCATCCTTGAACATCCACATCGCCCGGAGTGAGGACACCATCTTCTCCCAGTCAGAGAATACTGACATAAATTACTGTTGCGCGCGTCTGGACTCACTCCGGGAAGAAAGCAGAAATTATGAGGGAAAGGGTGAGCGAACTCTGATACCTCCAGCTTTACCCTGGGGACAGGACTGCACATGACATCTCTCTCTCTCTCTCTCTCTCTCTCTCTCTCTCTCTCTCTCTCCCTCTGTGTGTGCGCGTGTGTGTGAGACAGAGAGCCAACACTTTTGAGTGGCATTCATACTTAAATATTAACTTTTGTCATGCGTTTCCTCACACACTGTAGTCCTGGTGCGAGTTTCTTAAACTCTTAGAAAAATAAACGTTTGAAAAGTCATATTTGCGCAATTAACTTTTTTAAACTTAATTTAAGATTACATTTGAATCTGTTCATTGGTGCAGTTTTGTTATGATTTATCACAATTGTTGATTTTCTCACAAGAAAGTGGCATATCAAGACTATGAGTTCACTATTACAAACCTATAGGCCAATTTCATGTTCATTTTATTAGCAGGCAGGGATTTGTTTTGGACACCCATGTCATTCAAATCCTGTCATATCACATTGGAGTTTGGAGGGCAGGGAGAGAGAGAGAAGGTATAAACTGAGAGAGACATAAAGGGAGAGATAGATGGGATTTCCTTGGAAAAGCAGTTGGTGCTGGCAAACCAACCTTTCTTTGGGAGTAAAGTTACACTCCCCAAAACATCGAGAGTGTGGTGATGTGATTTGAAGTCAGGCGCAGGAGGGTAAATCACAGAATAACAGGTTTATTCCGTTGACACAGTGGTACGCAGCAATGCGTCAAACACTCCAGTGCGGAAATATACAGCGCACTGGAAACAACAAGGCACACTGGTGAATATCCCGGCATTACAAAATACAAGAGCTCAACCAAGCTAAACTAACCTCCACAATAAACAATCACACACAAAGACAAGGGGGCAGAGGGAACACTTATACAGGTACTGATGAGGGGAATTGAAACCAGGTGTGTGTAATAAACAAGACAAAACAAATGGAATAATGAGATGAGGAGCGGCAGTGGCTAGAAGACCGGTGACGACGAACACCGAAGCCTGCCCGAACAAGGAGAGGAGTCAGCTTCGGAGGAAGTCGTGACAGTACCCCCCCTTTGACGCGCAGCTCCAGCAGCGCGCCGACACCGGCCTCGGGGAAGCGGAGCAGGGCGAGCCGGATGGCGACAGTAGACATCCCGCAACAGGGAGGGATCGAGGATATCCCTCACCGGGACCCAAAACAGGTCCTCCGGACCGTACCCCTCCCACTCCACGAGGTACTGAAGGCCCCCCACCCGATGCCTTGAATCCTGGATGGAACGGACGGAGTACGCCGGGACCCCCTCGATGTCCAGAGGGGGCGACGGGACCTCCCGCACCTCAGACTCCTGGAGCAGACCAGCCACCACCGGCCTGAGGAGAGACACGTGAAACGAGGAGTTAATACGATAATCGGGATGGAGTAGTAACCTATACAGTGGGGAAAAAAAGTATTTAGTCAGCCACCAATTGTGCAAGTTCTCCCACTTAAAAAGATGAGAGAGGCCTGTAAGTCTCATCATAGGTACACGTCAACTATGACAGACAAAATGAGAAAAAAAAATCCAGAAAATCACATTGTAGGATTTTTTATGAATTGCTTTGCAAATTATGGTGGAAAATAAGTATTTGGTCAATAACAAAAGTTTCTCAATACTTTGTTATGTACCCTTTGTTGGCAATGACACAGGTCAAATGTTTTCTGTAAGTCTTCACAAGGTTTTCACACACTGTTGCTGGTATTTTGGCCCATTCCTCCATGCAGATCTCCTAGAGCAGTGATGTTTTGGGGCTGTCGCTGGGCAACACGGACTTTCAACTCCCTCCAAAGATTTTCTATGGGGTTGAGATCTGTAGACTGGCTAGGCCACTCCAGGACCTTGAAATGCTTCTTACGAAGCCACTCCTTCGTTGCCTGGGCGGTGTGTTTGGGATCATTGTCATGCTGAAAGACCCAGCCACGTTTCATCTTCAATGCCCTTGCTGATGGAAGGAGGTTTTCACTCAAAATCTCACGATACATGGCCACATTCATTCTTTCCTTTACACGGATCAGTCATCCTGGTCCCTTTGCAGAAAAACAGCCCCAAAGCATGATGTTTCCACCCCCATGCGTCACAGTAGGTATGGTGTTCTTTGGATGCAACTCAGCATTCTTTGTCCTCCAAACACGACGAGTTGAGTTTTTACCAAAAAGTTATATTTTGGTTTCATCTGACCATTTGACATTCTCCCAAGCCTCTTCTGGATCATCCAAATGCACTCTAGCAAACTTCAGACGGGCCTGGACATGTACTGGCTTTAGCAGGGGGACACGTCTTTCACTGCAGGATTTGAGTCCCTGGCGGCGTAGTGTGTTACTGATGGTAGGCTTTGTTACTTTGGTCCCAGCTCTCTGCAGGTCATTCACTAGGTGTGGTTCTGGGATTTTTGCTCACCGTTCTTGTGATCATTTTGACCCCACGGGGTGAGATCTTGCATGGAGCCCCAGATCGAGGGAGATTATCAGTGGTCTTGTATGTCTTCCATTTCCTAATAATTGCTCCCACAGTTGATTTCTTCAAACTAAGCTGCTTACCTATTGCAGATTCAGTCTTCCCAGCCTGGTGCAGGTCTACAATTTTGTTTCTGGTGTCCTTTGACAGCTCTTTGGTCTTGGCCATAGTGGAGTTTGGAGTGTGACTGTTTGAGGTTGTGGACAGGTGTCTTTTATACTAATTACAAGTTCAAACAGGTGCCATTAATACAGGTAACAAGTGAAGGACAGAGGAGCCTCTTAAAGAAGAAGTTACAGGTCTCTGAGAGCCAGAAATCTTGCTTGTTTGTAGGTGACCAAATACTTATTTTCCACCATAATTTGCAAATAAATTCATTAAAAATCCTACAATGTGATTTTCTGGATTTTTGTGTCTCAATTTGTCTGTCATAGTTGACGTGTACCTATGATGAAACTTACAGGCCTCTCTCATCTTTTTAAGTGGGAGAACTTGCACAATTGGTGGCTGACTAATTACTTTTTTTCCCCACTGTATGTAACCTCGTTGATTCTTCTCAGGACTTTGAACGGCCCCACAAACCGCGGGCTCAGCTTCCAGCAGGACAGGCGGAGGGGCAGATTCCGGGTCGAGAGCCAGACCCGATCACCCGGTACAAAAACCGGGGCCTCACTGCGGTGGCGGTCAGTGTTGGCCTTCTGGCGACGCACGGCACGCTGGAGGTGAACGTGAACAGTGTTCCACGTCTCCTCCGTGCGCCAAAACCAGTCATCCACTACAGGAGCTTCGTTCTGGCTCGGATGCCACAGTGCCAGAACCGGCTGATAACCTAAGACACATTGAAAGGGAGTTATGTTAGTGGAGGAGTGGCGAAGAGAGTTCTGGGCATATTCGGCACATGGCAAGAACACAGACCACTTCCCCGGCCGGTCCTGGCAGTAGGACCGCAGGAACCTACCCACATCTTGATTCACCCACTCCACCTGCCCATTACACTCGGAGTGAAACCCAGAGGTCAGGCTGACCGAGACCCCCAGACGTTCCATGAACGCCTTCCAGACCCTGGATGTGAACTGGGGACCCCGGTCAGACCCTATGTCCTCTGGCACCCCATAGTGCAGGAAGACGTGAGGAAACAGGGCCTCCGCCATCTGCAGGGCCGTTGGGAGACCGGGCAGAGGAAGGAGGTGGCAGGCTTTTGAAAAGCGGTCCACAATGACCAGGATGGTGGTGTTCCCCTGAGAGAGGGGAAGATCAGTTAGAAAGTCAATACACAGGTGGGACCATGGCCGTTGTGGAACTGGTAAGGGCTGTAACTTACCCGCTGGGAGGTGCCTAGGAGGAGACATACACCCTCACGTCCTTAGCCAAGGTAGGCCACCAGTACTTTCCGGTCAGGCAGCGCACTGTACAACTGATACCTGGGTGACCAGAGGCGTGTGGGCCCAATAGATCAGATGGTCATGGACAAGAGACGGCACGTACTGCAGCCCAGCTGGACACTGAGGTGGAGATGGCTCTTTGCGTACCGCCCGCTCTATGTCCGTGTCCATCGCCCATACTACCGGCGCCACAATGCAGGAGGCCGGAAGTAAGGGGGTGTTGTCTATGGGCCTCTCCTCTGTGTCGTACAGTCGAGACAGCGCGTCTGCCTTCACGTTCTTCGTACCCGGGATGTATGACAGAGTAAACTCAAACCAGGTGAAGAATAGGGCCCACCTGGCCTGGCGAGGGTTCAGCCTCCTCGCTGCCCGGATGTACTCCAGGTTACGGTGGTCCGTCCAGACGAGGAAAGGGTGTTTCGCCCCCTCGAGCCAGTGCCTCCACACTGTCAGGGCTCTGACTACAGCCAACAGCTCCCGATCACAAACGTCGTAATTCTGCTCCGCCGGGCTGAGCTTCTTGGAGAAGAAGGCACAGGGGCGGAGCTTGGGTGGCGTGCCCGAGCGTTGAGACAGGACAGCACCTATCCCTACCTCGGACACATCCACCTCCACTACGAATGGTAGTGATGGATCGGGATGGGCCAGTAACGGGGCTGAGGTGAACAGAACCCTCACGTTACTGAAGGCCCTGTCAGCCTCAGCAGAACAGCGGAGCCGGGACGGCCCACCCTTCAACAGAGATGTGATGGGAGCTGTGACCTTGCCAAAGCCCTGGATAAACCTCCAATAGTAGTTGGCAATAAAGCGCTGCACCTCCTTTACCGTGGTTGGAGTCGGCCAATTACGCACGGCTGAAATACGATCTCCCTCCATCTCCACACCTGAGGTGGTAATGCGGTATCTGAGGAAGGAGACGGACTGCTGGAAGAACAGGCACTTCTCTGCCTTGGCATAAAGGTCATTTTCCAACAGTCGGCCCAGCACTTTGCGAGCCAGGGACAGATGCTCGGCGCGTGTAGCTGAATATACCAGAATGTCATCAATGTAGACCACTACACCGTGACCAAGTATGTCCCGAAACACCTCGTTCACAAAGGACTGGAAAACGGATGGCGCATTCATCAAACCATATGGCATCACCAGGTATTCGTAATGCCCCGTGGTTGTGCTGAATGCTGTCTTCCATTCATCCCCCTCTCGGACACGCACCAGGTTATACGCACTCTGGAGATTTTGTGAAAAAGCGTGCCCCATGCATTGACTCGATCACAGATGGGATGAGGGGCAGAGGATAACTATAATATATTGTCCCCTTGTTCAATGCTCGGTAATCAATGCACGGGCGCAGACCGCAGTCTTTCTTCTTCACAAAAAAGAAACGTGAGGAGGCGGGCGAAGTGGAGGGACGTATGAACCCCTGGCGCAGGGACTCGATCACCTCCGTTTCAGCCTGCGACAGGGGATATACATGACTCCTGGGAGGCACAGCGTCTACTCGTAGGTTTATCGCGCAATCCCCCCAGCCCTGATGAGGTGGTAATTTGGTCGCCTGCGTTTCGGAAAACGCGTGCGCCAAATCGAGGTATGCGCACGGTGGAGGAAGTGTCTGGACTTTCCACGTGGTTGCACCAACGGAAACAGCTAGACACTCTCGCGACCACCCCGTGAGAATCCTCTGTGGCCATGAAAAGGTGGGGTTGTGTAGTGCTAACCAGGGAAGACCCAACACAACAGGGAAATCGGGGGACAAAATAATAAAAAATGTGACGTGCTCTCTATGGGTCCTTTGGATAACCATCGTGACAGGTGCTGTAACTTCCCTAACGAACCCTGACCCTAATGGTTGACTGTCAAGTGCTTTGATGGGCAGTGGAGTGGCTAGGGGAACCAATGGAATACCTAGACTTAGAGCTAACGACCTGTCCATAAAGTTCCCAGCTGCGCCTGAATCGACCAGCGCCTTACATTGGGAAACTACGGGGTAGTCAGGGAAGGTGACATGTATGGTGCAGTGTGCAGCAGAGGGCTCTGACCGAGTGTGGGTTTGCGCTACCTGGGGTGATGCGAGAGTGTCCTGCCTGCCGCCTCCAGACCCGGAAGAACCCTGACGACAGCGTGCAGTATAATGTCCTCTTCTGCCACAGGAGTGACACTGAAGCTTTCCTCCTCCGTTCTCCCAGATCGCTGCCCCACCCAGCTCCATCGGAACGGACTCAGAGTTGGGGGGTGTTAATCTTTTTCTATTATTTTTCTATTTTCTCTCTGCATTGTTGGGAAGGGCCTGTAAGTAATTATTTCACTGTTAGTATACACCTGTTGTTTACGAAGGATGTGACAAATACAATTTGATTGATTGATTGACACATCAGACTGGGGTTCAAATGTGTATTTTATTATTTGTTATTTAAATACTAATTTTCTGTGTATTTTATTATTTTAAAATAATATGTCCCAAATAATTTCCTACAAAACATTTTCAAATACTTATTTCAAATACTATTTTCAAATACCTGGGTTAAATGCATGAGTCAGTATAATTGAGTATTTTTAAATACATGCCAATACTTTCCTAGTGTATTTCCAAATACATTCCAATATTCAACTACTAAAATATCTGAATACTTACTTCAAAATGTATATGAAAGTAATTGAGATATTTTAAATATTATTTGAACCTAGGTCTGACTCACACACACACACACACATGCACGCACACACACACATTATTTGACTTCAGATCCTACACTGCCACCCTATGGCCTTTTTTTTTTTTTTACTTACACTCAGTCCTTAACATGAAACCTCCGTTCAAATAGCCCAGATGTTCTGAGAAATTAGAGTTAAAACATAGAAATGCACAAATATGAAATCGGATTATTTTGCTTAAATTTGATTTGAACATGGAGGACCACTTGCAGGTCATTCTTCATCCAATATATGTGGGGCCAATCATCTTCCTTTCCCGCGTTTCAGGACCAGGGTTTCCATGTGGAGAAGGCTACATCCAGGCTAGTTGTTCTGTGCAGCCAGCTATTGGTAGCAGGTAAAGGTCAAAATCAGTTATGCAGACAGTCTATGCATCTCCTACCTGTATACATAACACAATCCATTGGCTCATGAGGTAATGTGGGGGCTGTGAGATGTGGTCCTTTTATGCTACCCTAATGGGAGGCAGTAAACAAACAGTCACCGCAAAACACCCCAAAGGGGCTTAGCAGGTGATGGCCTGATTCACAGGTGCATTGTGGGTTTGCAATGGTAGTGCCAAGGTCTTGCATCGGCGTAGGGTTGGAATGGGGCGGTCCGTGCAAGAAAAACAATATCCCCCACCCCTTACTCTATTTTACCTGAAGGGCTAGAGACAGAGAATTGGAATTATGCCCAAAATCATGTTATATCAACTCCGATTTATATAGAAACATTCTACAGTGCTTATGCTGGGTTTCCTCCATTAGGGCCAATAGAGGGAGCCACAGTGCTGTAATGCTAAAGTTCATGCATATGTTAACGTTGTAACATATCAGCTGTCATGGTCACAGACACTTCAGTAGGCAGACATTTGACATTTGACACTATGGTAGAGCTATCTGTGAGGGTTTCCAAACTCTTTCTAGGAAAATGTGTTTGTAGGTCAGAAAAAATTATATCACAATCCAAACTGCAGCCCCCCCACCCCCCACCCCACCATCCCCCTCTGAGAGAAATAGAAAAACATAGAGGTCCTATTCTGATGGTAAGGATCCCCCTTATTTTGACATTTAAAAAATGCATCTTCCCTCCTCCCTAAGGGATACCACTGATCTGATGAGAGCAGAAAGGTGAAAATATTGTGCTACTGGCTACTTTTACATTAATTAAACCTGCTAAATGTTTCAGGTGAGTGACATTTCTGTGGAATGAGGGGAGAAAGGCTCTTATAAAGGCAGGTTTGACCTGTGGGTCACATATCTAAATATTTACATTTTCTAGTAGAGTAGTGGCTCTGCTGAATCAATGCAGAGTTGAACATTAACTGGGAAATGAGGGGGCTGACAGTGTAGAGTACTGTGCACTACAGGATCCAGCTAGGGGAACACTCACCGTGCCTGTCTGTCTGTCTCTCTGTCAGTCTATATCCTAATCCTATTTGCCTATATCACCTATCCTCTGACCAAACATCGACTGGGTAAGTTTTCACCATCTTGATTCACTTTGACAGAGGTTTGGAAGGGATAGTATCTGATGTTGGGGAGTCAGTAGGTTTTTTGGCACAGTGCATGAAACCATATAATTCTAGTATAGTAAGTGCTTTTTATTTAAAGCTATTTGGAACATGATTTAGATGTATGGCTGTAGCTATTAGTTTACCAGTGATATAATAACAGCACAAACTGTTAAAAAAAATAAGACTAAAGAGCCCCCTGTAAATGTAAATGTAAACTAAAATCACCAATCAAGACATATCACCACTACCACTATTTGTACTACGCCTATGAATGCTAATGATTCTAAGCAGAGTCATATATATATATATATATATAAACACGAATATTACCATTGCATCCATAGAGAACCCATTGCAGTAGTGAGGCCAGTGTTTGCTGTTTGTGGACTTTAGCAGTGGAACAGAAACCTTTGGCCCTCTGACAAACAGTTGTGATCCCGGAGCAAAACACCACACATCTCTGCAGTGTAGAACCAGGCCTAAAGCAATGCCCCACTGACCACTAGCCAAGCAATCATGCTTTTGATTGGCTCTCATTTCCTCTCAACCTATCAGTGTTCGCTGGTGTTCCCATGTCCAGCAGCAATATGTACTCTGTTATTGCTCTGTAAAAGTGAGTGGTTCCGTAATCTTAAATATTTAAGTCATTGGCCGTGTTCTAGAGGATCAAAACCGTAATGTATCATGGGCAAATTGTGACTGACTGACTGATCTACAAATAATAATGAGTAGTTATTTATGATGCAATGTTTTTTGTCGGCAGTCGCCTGCACTGTCGACTGCAATGTCGAACAAGCCCATTGTGACAGTGTAGGAACCATAGTTTCGGTCCATGTTTCCCAGGGGACCCTAATTGGTGTTAAACATGTGAAATGTATAAAAGCAGAGATACTGTATATGATGACGAGATGGTCTTGTCTCCGCCCTAATAATGGGCGTTGTTGTCCCAAAGGCGGGAAGGCATGCGGTCTGCTTATCGCTGTATTCCCACGTACACAGATTTTAACAGGAGTGGACCCTCTCGCTTCGCTTCTTCCTCTCTGATAAAAGCACTGCATAGTCCTTTTCAGGGGTGTATTCATTACGGAAACCTTTTACCGTTTAAGAACCAAACGGAAGCAAACAGAGCAAATGGAACAAAACGGGGAGGGACCTACCTGACTTTGTCCAATAGAAACTTTCGTTTTTGTTGCAAAATATTTTCCAGTTGGAGTAAATAGTTTCTGTTGCAATTGGTTTGCTCGCCTCCTCTCCTCTTTTTTTTGAAAAAGGTCAAAGGTAATTGAGGAGCAGAGACAAGGAGTGGAAACAAATGTGCTTGTATTAAATGAGACTCTCCATTTCTACTCTTTCGTGTCATCAGGCAATTTACGTTTACAGGGGTGGAATACCCAAATAAATGTGTAAAGTTATAAAAACAAATGTAGCTAGTTGTCGTGCAATACATTTGAAAGATAAAATGATAAGTAGCATATGTTTTTGTTTTAAGCGTGCATGCTTTACTCCTTTGAGAAGAAAACAGCTGATTCAAAGGGGGTGGTGTATTTTAAAACACTTCCGTGCTACCTGCTGTGAGGATACTTTTGTGCATCCTCTGTCGAAGTAGGTGATCGAAGAGCAGAGCAGACTCTTTTGATCGCCTACTAACGAATTAAAAGAGGACAGATTTTTGCCCAGTTGACAATCTCCCAGAGTGTGTGTACAGGCTGTGCAGGTTGTTGCTGTCAAGCTTATTTCTATGAGAAACCATTTTGTGAACATGGTCATGCTGTCTGTGTAGAAATGTTTGGGGTGTGGTCCATTGTTCAGAAAAGTTGTTGCCAGTTGATTTGTGTTGGGAGAGGCTTTGCTGGCTTCTGGGTCCAAGCAGTGTTGCTAGCGCCCTCCCTTAAGCAAAGTATTGGTTGTCACAGTTTCTTGGTCACTGTGTGTAGCCTAACTAGGCTGTGAAATCTAGTCGTGTGAAATCACTGTTGCACTTTAGAAGGAACTGAGATCTAAGAAGCCTTTTGTATTCATGTCAATGTATTTTGTATGTGTATCTATTTCTATACAAGCAAACCTTCATCATTTAATAAACTGCTGTTTTTTTGTGTTTTTTTACACCTGCCTCAGACTATTTCCCTTAAATGGTCCTAGATAGAACCTGTATCTTTGAATAGATGTTATATTATTGTACAGGTTTGTTTGTTCTGTATTGCAGGCTAGCTGTTGGGATATGAAGCTGCATCTGCCTGTACTCTTGCTGCTCTGCCTCTGTTGGCTGGGACTGACTGTAAGAGGGCCAACCATAACCTCACCCCAAAACACATCAACCTTCCTTAAATATCTAACCTTTAATTGGAAAAGGATTGACTACAAGACTTTTAAAGCACCCTAACCCTACCCTAGTCTTTACAGTCTAACCCCTAGACCCTCTCTCGTGCACTCTTCCTTTCTCTCTCTCTCTCAGGATGAGACTGGTACGGTAGCTCCTGAGGACCCCTCTTGCGGGGAGCAGGTGTTAAGCCAGGAGGCCCTGTGGTCAGTAGGAGGTGCTGTAGAGAGACTGGGCAGGCAGCTACTGGACAGCCTGCAGACAGGGCCAGAGCAGCCCAACATCATCATATCACCCCTCAGCGTGGCCCTCACACTGGCACAGCTCACACTGGGTGAGGCACGTGTGTGTGTGTGTGTGTGTGAGAGAGAGAGCGAGAGAGACATCATGTATAATGTCAAGAGTGAGTATGTATCTGTGAGATTGTAAGTATATGTCTGTGTCTGCTTATGACTGTTATCTCAAAGACCTGATGTAATCAAAACATGGTCATTGCCTCCTTGTGTTGCCCCTATCAGGAGCTCGTAACGAGACACAGAAGTTGCTGCTAAGTTCTCTACACGCCCACACCGTACCCTGCTACCATCAATCCCTAGGCAGCCTGCTCGACCACCTCACCAACACCTCCCTACAGGTGGCCACACGCATGTACCTGCGCCCAGGTGAGTGTGTGTTATATTTCAGTGTATATTTCAGTGTTGTAGCTCTGTGCCAAAAAATTGCAATCTACTAACATAATTATAAAGCACACCCATTGTAACTGTCTTTGTTAATGCAGTAAAGGTCTGACAATGTTTTGGACACCTTTGGTGTATATTTCTCTCTCTCTCTCTCTCTCTCTCTCTCTCCTCTCTCTCTCTCTCTCTCTCTCTCTCCTCTCTCTCTCTCTCTCTCTCTCTCTCTCTCTCTCTCTCTCTCTCTCTCTCTCTCTCTCTCTCTCTCTCTCTCTCTCTCTCTCTCTCTCTCTCTCTCTCTCTCTCTCTCTCAGAGTTTGAGGTGTACCAGTCCTTTGTTGCAGAATCCGTGCGTAGCTACAAATCAGAGCCCGCCACCTTGATCTCAGTGGAGGATGTCAACCAATGGGTGGAAGACACCACCAAAGGTCACATAACCAATTTCCTGCCAAGTATTCCGCATGATGTCGTGCTCATGCTTATCAATGCTGTGCATTTCAAAGGTAAGCCCTTTCACTCCCTGTTTAAAATAACGGCTTTGAAACTGTATCCAAGCGTCTACTTTTTACAATCGTGTGGCTTGTTCTCCTGTTGTCACTGGTAGGTGAGTGGGAGGCTCGCTTCGACCCTCAGCTCACACAGAAGGATGTCTTCTACCTGGACAATAAGAACTTTGTCCATGTAGACATGATGCGCTCAGCCAAGTACCCACTGAGCCTGTTAGAAGACGGGGAGCTTGGGGCTCAGGTGAGCTGGGCTAGCTGTGTGTGTTCTGCCGTCTGCTTCTGTCTCCATCCTCCATTTCTATCTTTTCATCTTTTCACACACAACACCTTTCTACTGGAGACTTGTTTTGAAAATACTTTGCTGTTGAAACGTAGACAGTAAATAGTCTGTTCTCTCCACCACTCTCTCCACCTCCATTCTCTTTCTCTCAATCTCTCTACAGTGCAGTTTGTGCAGTCTCCCTCTCTAAAAAATGTCTATCCACCCCCCTTTCTTCTGTGTTTGCAGGTCGCACGTTTTCCATTTAAGGGAAACACCAGCTTCCTGATAGTGAGGCCGTTGCCAGGAAGAGGAAATGTGTCATCGCTGGTGGCCAAGCTGAATATCTCTGACCTGTACAGACGTCTACCTCAGGAGAGGACCATGCAGGTCCAACTGCCCAAGTTCACCCTGCAGTACCGCCAAGAGTTACAGGAGGCGCTGACTAGCATGGGTGAGAACAGAAGTAGTCTCAGAAATTCAAGACCTAGGGTAACAGCACTAGGTCTGGGATTTATGTCTGATTTTCTTTGCCAATTCGGAGAAGGTGCTTTTCAGACAGACAACTCTCCCAACAAATCACTTGTTTTGGTAGGTGGGGTTTAAAAAGAATCCCCTCAGAAACATGACAGAGACGGACACACAATGTGGATGCAGATAGCTAGGGTAATTTTAGCCACAGCCAGTCAGTGGTTGTAAGCTTGTAATGCTAACGTCATGGCGCATGCAACCTAGTCACTTGCGAAATACACTCATTGAAAATGTCCTCCTCCAGCTACATCTAGCTAGCTACAGCAGATCTCTGGATGGATTTTCCGGCACCCAACTCCGCTCTTATCTCTCTGCCAAACTGACATTGGTCTTAGTACAGATGTGTATGCTGGAACATTGGTACGTTGTGGGAGGCAACCCATCTGTCTAGAAACTAGCACAGAAGGTTAAATAGTTTGGGCCAGGAGTTTTTTCTCTGTCAGGGGTCACGTGGTCTGGAAGAACTTGAGTCATAGTTTAAGCCCTAGTCATAGTTTAAGTGAGCTATAAACGGACAGGCAGGGCCAGCCCTAGCCTTTTGGGGGCCCTAAGCGTTAGTTATCCAGTGTCTACTTGCTGGCTGAACCAGTCTCAAATCAATCCAGATGAAACGAAAGGCAGGGATGATACCATATGGCCAGTCAAACAAGCTTGCACTAGGCTGCTAGCTGGAGCAAGTTTGCTCAGCTGATCAAGCATGGTTTTCTGTAGTAGCCAGTAGCTAACGAGAGCGGAGTGATTTTCAGAATAAGGAACTAGAGTTAGGCGGATGGGCAAAGTCTCGATTTTTAGAGATGAGTTCCACGACATCTACAAGAGAGATCGGTTGCGGGACGCCTTCTGACATGAGACAATGGGGCCCCCCTACCTCGCTGGCAAAACATTATTGTGGTCCCCTTCATGACGGCGAAGAGAACATTTTAGGTTTTAAAGTACATTTTCAGCAATTCCACACATTTTGCCCTGGGGTGGAGAGAAAACATTGCAATTTTATAACAGATTTCATGCAATTTTACTCATTTTGCCATGAGACAGAGAGACATTTGTGCAGTTTAAAGCTAATTTCCTGTAATTCTACACATTTTGATTTATGCCATGTTAATATGATATCTGATTGAGAGTGACTAACAAAATCAATGGGTGCCCCCTGGAGGTCAGGGTCCCTGGGCACGTGCCCTGCGTGCCCGGTCGGTATTCGGCCATGATTACTACAAGTTTAGATAGCTGACTAATTTACCAATCTAAAAATTGTTAGCTGACATGGTTAATTGAATGACTGTCAGTGACTGACATAACAAGCAAAAAACTGCTGAGGCACAACCACATTTAGAAATTGCACCTTGTGTATTCTACTGTTCTAACAATCAAAATCTCTCTTGTCTCTCTTCTCTCTCTCAGGTCTGGGCTCTTTGTTCTCCAGTCCTAATCTGTCCGGTGTCTCAGAGGTTCCTCTGCAGGTGTCCAGCATTCGTCACGCCTGCGGGGTGGAGCTGAGTGAGGAAGGGGCCGAAGCATCTGCAGCCACCTCCATCACCATCATGCGCTCTGTTCCCATCTTTTCTGTAAACTCCCCCTTCCTGTTCGCCCTGGTAGACCACGCCTCCCTCGCTCCCCTCTTCCTGGGCACCGTCACTAACCCAGCCCCTGACGCCAGCCCCATGCAGATCGACAGTCCTCTCAGCGATGATCCCAATGGCAACAGGACCCAAAGTGACAGCTCTCATAGCAACAGCAATGTACAGAACGATGGTCCCCATAGTAACAACAACGTACAGAGCGACGGTCCCCATAGCAGCAACACCGTACAGAGTGACCAGCCACAAAGTGAGAGAACGCAGTGTGGTGCCCCTGTCGAAGGGGAGGAGCAACAACAGCCCTTGAATGAAGTAGAGGGAAACCCCAACGCCCAAGTGGAGGGGCAAGGATCCAGTTCCTGTGCCAATCCCTCTCATACGGTTCCTTCTTAAACCAACACCGATGCCCAGCCTGCCCCAACCCATCTCTCCCTGTCATGTCCTGAACAACACTGCCCGACCAGCCGGTCACATATGGAGCCCAGCCCTCATATAGCAAAACCCAATCTATTGGCACAGTTCCCAGTCCAAAATCAACCCCCTACTCCTAGACACCTGACAACTTCTCACAGTCCCTCCCCTCCCCAGTGTATGCCCCCTGATTACAACCCAATGATATAGGCGAGACCATGGACCTGTCCCATACTACACTGTGTGTGCAGATGAACACTCAAATGTGATGCTATTTTTACACTTGGTTGTGCACTGTCTGTCTTACAGTATTTGTTGTGTTTTGATGTCTTACTTTCTCATTTTGATGATTCCCACCTCTGGTATTGATTAAAGAAAAGTGAAAAGAAATGAAGTCTCAATGTTCTATTTAATTTTCAATGGATTTAGGCTTATACCTCACAACCTATATTTTAACTATTTTCTCCAGCACATTCATGCAATTAAAAACAGACTTATTTAAGATTTGTTATAACATTTCAGATCAATTGCTTGCGTGTCAAATTGAACATACCAGCGTTATTTTGGGGCGGTGAGGGAGGATCATGGATGTGCCTTGCACTCAAAACAGCCATCCAGGTTCTTGCCAAACCCAACAGGCTATCCTCTGATACGTCAGAGAAGGGAGGGTGAAAGTTGGCTTCACGGCTGTGTGCATCGTCCTGGTACATTCAGCACTCCACCGGAGAGACGGCTGCTAGAGACATACGGGCGGGTGACGTGGACCATAACCGCTTGGAAAGGTCAGTACTTTTATGCATCATATGCAGAGTTGGGGAGTAACGGATTACAAAAAAACTAACTGTAATCCAGCAAGAATATTGTAATCAGATTTACAGATACTTTTAAAAATCTAGATGATTACTTCTAGGATTACTTTTCAATTCAGAAAGAATGTTTGATAAAAAAAATATCTGACACCTTTCTGTTTTCTCAATGACATTCAAATCAGCATTGAAAAAAGGCACAGGTTTAAATTTGTTCCGCCTGAGCAAGTCTGACCACAAGTCAGAGACCACTATGATGAAACACCAGGGTCATTCCTACTGTGCGGTGACTTTTCTGTCCCCAGGAAATATCACTTCTTATTTAGTGTAAAATGTGGATTCCAAAAGGCTTTAAATATAAGGTTAGGTGCATAGCCACGGGAAGTAGGGGTGCTGAGGGTGCTGCACTCCCTGAAAAATCAGAATTAAAAATGTTTTAACAATTACTAGTCCTGTAGTAGTGACTGATATAGCCATCTGTAACGCAGGCAAAAACATTAATTGAGCACCGTAGGTTGTAATCAGGTTACAGTTACTAGTTACCTGTCCAAAATTGTAATCAGTAATGTAATTTTTGGATTACCCAAACTCAGTAACGTAATCTGATTACTTTCAGATTACTTTCCCCTTAAGAGGTGCAGGTTAGCGTTTTTTCGTCATTAATTTTGTTCTTGAGGCAGCTCTGCAGAGTGGTCACTAGCTGGCACAGCCACAAAGTCCTTAAATCTAACCCTAACATTAACCACACTGATAACCCCTAATGCCTAACCCTAACCTTAAATAAAGCAAACATTTTTCATACATTTTTACAATATAGACAATTTTGACTCTGCAGCTTGCCCATCTAGCGGAAATCGATCAGTTCTGCCTCAAGAACAAGACTCATCCCAATAAACATTAACCTGCTTAAGAGGCATTAGAAGAAGACAATAATTCATATTACCAATTGAACATCCATTGCAGGATAAATCAATGTTAAGTTTACATAGATGGCCATAAATGGATGTTAGATTTATACTATGGGTTGGTTATGTAGGCTTCTTCTAACCCATTGCTTTCTACAACAGATAATAATGCTATTAGGCTATATCTTTACTTAAAAAAAACACCAGAGTCTGTCAGATTTCCAGTCATTCCAATTAATTTAATACCCCTTGATCTTCAAGAATAGGACATAGATTAGCCCAATTATTTTAGCAGAGCATAACCCCAAAACGAAGGACTAATTAGCCTACTCTGTTGTTTATGATTTTTTGTCATGGAGGACAGATTGGGCTCATTGTTTTGAGTTGAAAAATAAATGCTCCTCTCAGAATGGCATGCTTTGTGCACTACCGAAAAGCGCTTGTATGCCATATGCTGCATTTGATAAGAGGCCTATTGTTTACGTTTTTGTTGGTGACATCTTGATAATTTACAGATGTTTAAGTCTATCAAAAGTGCGCGAGTTGTGTCCCCAAACCGTCTATGTGGTCTTCTTAAATTAAACTAGTTTTTGACAGTATGTAGCACAATACCAAGGGTGAGTTTAGAAGGAACTCCCTCAAACTTTTATTCCATAAACTGGGTTCCGCACTATGTGTTGCAAGAGCGTTTTATCCTGGCTGTCCACTGGGGCATATTCATTATGCCTATTCTGTTGCAAAACGTTTCTTAAACGGAAGCAAACGGAACGAACCGTGGAGGGACCTACCTTAATTTGTCTAATAGAAACTCTCGTTTTGCTCTATTTGCTTCTGTTTGGTTCTTAAACGGTAAACATTTTCCTTAATTAATATATCCCTGGTCGCAAAAACAATGATTGACAGGCAGCTTCAACTTCTTCAATTCAACCATTATTGGGTTAAAATACACATATACATTTGTGAACAGCCATCCACATTCACATCATCCACAAACCGAAATACGCAAATAGCTAAATGAGAGAGCAGCAGTGCGATTCACATCAATGCGTTATGTAGCCTAGATATCAATAATAAGTTATATCCGTATCGCCGGTAGGCTACACCACTGCTGTCGTTCTTACCTCCAAGCGTTTATTCAAATTGGATAATCTTTGGATGCTGACAGCAGTCGCTCCATTGGAAGACAGCTTGGACTGTAGCCTATGCCTGAGGCAGCCTATTCCTGCTCTTTTCCCGCGATCCATCAAACGCATTTGGTGTATCATCATAGTGGTCTCTGATTGTGGTCAGACTGCCTCAGGCATAACATAGTTTTGATAACAGAAAGGTGTTAAATATTTTTTTCACAAAATCAAATTAAATCAAATGTTATTTGTTACATACACGTGTTTAGCAGATGTTATTGCGGGTGTAGCGAAATGATTGTGCTTCTAGCTGACCATGCAGTAATATCAAACATCCTTTATGAATTTAGTAATCCTAGAAGTAATCATCTGTTTTTTCAAAAGTATCTGAAATCTGATTACAATATTTTTGCTGGTAAAGTAACTGATTATGTAACAGTGTTTTTGTAATCCATTATGGATTAGCCTATATGTAATCCGTTACTCCCCAACCCTGTTAATGGGATAATTTGAACTCTTGATCAGGAATGATTTATTAATACTTTTGTCTGTAAAACAGAGTTACATAATGTGACTATTCATTTTTTCCCTTTCTTTCCCAGTACTTTACTGACTGGTTCAGAATCAACATTTCCATTCAAGCTGCTCGATCAGCATGGCTCCAAGAGAAACACCAAATCTAACCTTTCCCAGAGCCCGAACAATTTATGTAATTGACCCTGTTTCCTAGTTGGTCAGGCCAATATCACAGTTACCACTCAACATGGTTTGAATCAACTATAAACCTGTCTCTTTGAGGAATGACAGACATACATGTCTTGACACCAAAACATTCTCCATTCAAGCTGCAAAGGCATCGATAACGGGGAAAATATGCATACTTTCTTTTTTAAACACATTTTTCCACCATCATGCTACAGTCGCTAATGCTAGTCCTGGATGTTGCATATCACGATCAGCCAATCAGGTTGCAGCAGTCTGTTTTTTCACCCCTGGCCAGAACCGATTGCTGCAACCTGATTGGCTGAATGCGAATTGCAACATCCGGGACTAGCATTAGCCACTGTGGCATGGTGGTGGAAAATGGTGTTTCATAAAGAAAGTACACTTATTTTCCCAGTTTAGTTTTTTACACCTTCTCGCCATTAAATAAAGTTAAGGAGGAAATTGACGCCTTTGCAGCCTGAATGGAGAATGTTTTATGTACGAACCGGTCTACGGGGGATACGAGTGTATAGCCGGCTGCGTACATTCCCTTTGGATGGTAAGATGAAACGACTCAATATCGCCATCTGCCGGCCTTTGGGCTACCTCAGGATGTGCAAGGAAGCTACAGACATTAATCATTAGCAGAGTTTCATTCTAAAATAATAATATGCCATTTAGCAGACGCTTTTATCCAAAGCGACTTACAGTCATGCGTGCATACATTTTTTGTGTATGGGTGGTCCCGGGGATCGAACCCACTACCTTGGCGTTTCAAGCGCCGTGCTCTACCAGCTGAGCTACAGAGGACCACCTAAAACACTATATATTTTCAGAAATGTTGGTAAATTAGCTTTTATTGTTAAAAAAAAATGATGAAAGAGATTGGTGTGTTTTTTCACTATCTAATCATCGCATGGGTTGGTTCATTGACAGACATCTATTTGTTTAAAATATATCACTTGATGGTTTCATTTCAAAGAGAAAAATGAATCATGTTTTTTTGCAAAATGCTATATATCCGCCATACTATCAGAGAAATAAGTAGTAGGCTACTGCTAGGTTTTACACTGTCAAATGTAACAAATAACTACATTTGTTTATAAAGAAATGTACAAATAATACATTTTTTTACATCAATATTGATTTACATTTTTTTTCATCAATACAGTAATATGTAAAACATTTACACTTGACATTTTAGTCATTTAGCAGATGCTCTTATCCAGAGCGACTTACAGTAAGTGCATTCATCTTAAGATAGCTAGGTGAGACAACCACATATCATAGTCAAATATACAGGATACGAACATTAGATTCCTGCTAAACAATGGATATATAGCGTTTAAAAGAGATCTAATAGATCTAAAATCTATTAATAAAAAAATCAGATAACAGCAACATTTTACACACACATAAAGGTACCCATAAGCAATAATTTCTGATGGAAAAATAAAATGTGAAAAAGTGGTCGATATAGCGTTTTGGAAATAAACTCTTCATTTGTGGGTTGAAAGAGTTGTGTAGATCAAGAGGACTGTGTGACCTACAGCCAAGACCTACAGTACCATTTTCCATTTTATTTTGGCTTAAATTCACCATGCTTGTGATTGTGAATGGTAGAGGACGGCCTCAGTGCAGAGAGAAGGGAGATCTCTCTCTGTGGGCTTGGCTGGCTGCTTTGGGTTAGAACTCAGAGATCAAGTGTCTGGGTTAACCATCAGGCCTGCAGAGAGAGAAAGGAGAGGGGGAGGAGGAGGAGAAGACGAAAGGAATTGAGAGGAGAAGTGTGGTCTGAGGTCAGTTATGGATGTTTTTTTCATCCGGGAAACCAGGAGAACTTTAATGACAACCAGATGTGCAGGGAACAAGAGAGTATGTGTGTGTGGGTAAAATAGAAAGAAAGTGAGAGAGAGGGAGAAAGAAAGAGGGAAAGAAACCTCCGTTCTACACCTCCTGTGACCCTTCAGCTTCTCCCTGCTCTGTCTGTGTCAATGAGTCTGCTCACCTCTCTGGACTCTGTGTGACCCCAATCACTCCACAAAGCTCATTACCATTACTAGCTGTGCTAGTGTTGCTAGCTAGTAAACGGGTGTGAACTTTACAGCAGTCTGCCTCTGCTTGTGTTGTGCATTAGCTACACTCTGTGTGTGAGTGGAGAGGCAGAAGTTTAGGATATAATATATGGTTTAGTCTCTACTCAGTAAGTGGATGTAATGGAGCTCAGTTTGAACACACAAATGTCTACACATCTCCAACTAGTGAGAGCGAGAAGAGGGGGAAGTAGAGAGATGCTGACAGAGAGAGAGCAATAGAGACAGATTGAGCGAGACCTTATTGAGAACTAATTGATTCCTCACACTTTGCTGAGCAGGTGAGATGGAGGGGTTTACTGTAAGTTAATAAGGATCGGACCCTTTTTTTCAAATTTTCGCCTAAAATGACAAACCCAAATCTAACTGCCTGTAGCTCAGAACCTGAAGCAAGGATATGCATATTCTTGATACCATTTGAAAGAAAACACTTTGAAGTTTGTGGAAATGTGAAATTAATGTAGGAGAATATAAACATTAGATCTGGTAAAAGATAATACAAACAGAAAAACATGCGTTTTCAATTTGGTTTTTTGTTCCATCATCTTTGAAATGCAAGAGAAAGGCCACAATATAATATTGCCATTTAGGCGCAATGTAGATTTTGGCCACTAGATGGCAGTAGTGTGTGTGCAAAGTTTCAGATTGATCCAGTGAAGCATTGCAATACTGGACTATTTTGTATCAAGTCTTCCCAAATGTGCCGAATTGGTCAATTGATACATTTTCAAGTACATAACTATAGAGAACAAACAGAAATGATATGGTAATACAAAATGTAAGTGTACACACTCCCAGTAATGTCATACATGATGGATCATTAGCTTATACACTAACTTTCACACATCTAGATGTCCGGGCGGGGTGGGTGTGGAGCCATAGACAGCAGTGGTTCAAACTAGAACCCAGTTCCTACATTTGAATATAAAAAAATATTTTATCAAACAAAACTATGCTACATTTTATCTCTGGGACCCTTAGGATGACAAATCAGAGCAAGATTACTGAATGTAAGTACATTATTTACCTTCAGAGGTGAATGTATCAAACCAGTTGCCGTGATAAGTTTATTGTTGTTGTGCACTCTCCTCAAACAATAGCATGGTATTTTTTCACTGTAATAGCTACTGTAAATTGGACAGTGCAGTTAGATTAACAAGAATTTAAGCTTTCTGCCCTTATAAGACATGTCTATGTCCTGGAAAGTTTGCTGTTACTTACAACCGTCATGCTAATCACATTAGCGCACGTTAGCTCAACCGTCCCGTATACGGGACACCGATCCCGTAGAGGTTAAAACCACATTTTCCCACAAGAGCCCTGGCCTGCAGCGAATCACACTCACAAACTAAAAGTCTGACTCACACACTATGGGCCAGTTTCCCAGACACAGATTAAGCCTAGTTCTAGATGTATGATTGTATAATAATGTGAATGTAATTGAGTGTGTGATTGTGTTACAGGATGATGTGGACGACCCTATTGCTGTGCCTGGGGGCCCTCCTCTCCCTCTCTTATGCTCAGTTGGTGAGACCACTCCACATCTCCGTTTTCACACTCCTTTCTTTTTCTCATACTTTCATGTCTCTTTATATGCAATCCATCCCTTTGGCTTTCTTATTCTACACTTCATCTCTCTGCATCTCTCTCCTCATCGTCCTCTAGTAGTTTATCTCTTTATTTTTCTCATTCTTCATGAACTAGCCATGTCATTAACCCTCCTTTCTTTCTTCCTGTGTCTTTGGATCAACCAATCCTGTGCAGTCGGAGACAGAGGGGGCGGGAGGGGAAGAGGAAGCTGTGGAGCTCTTTACCACGCCCAGAGCCAAGATGGCTGCCGCCACATCTGACTTCGGCTACAACCTTTTCCGGGCCCTGGCGGGTCGCGACCCCAAGACCAACGTGTTCCTGGCTCCCATCAGCATCTCTGCAGTGCTCACTCAGCTCTCCATGGGTTAGTTAGCCTCAGCACTGTTATATTTTATATCACTGTCTGCTATTTATCTGGTAATTGCATATTGACCCCCCCCCCCCCCCCAGGAGCATCTCCGGATCGTTCAGAGAGGTGGTTGTACAGAGCTCTAAGGTATCACACCCTGCAGGACCCTCAGCTCCACGACACTCTCAGAGACCTACTGGCCTCACTCAGAGCACCTGGCAAAGGCATCAGCATCGCTGCACGCGTCTACCTGGCCCGCAGTGAGTGTGTGTGTTAGCATGCATGTGTCTTTGTGATACTTTTGATCAGTCTGTGTGTTTTGATTGTGTGTATGTTTGTTGACCAAAGTGTGTATGTGTGTGTGTGTGTGTGTGTAACTCTCTAGGACTGCGTCTGAAGCCGGAATATTTTGGCGTGGTGGAAAAGCAGTATGGGGTGCGGCCCAAGGCTCTGATGGGTGGGGCTAAAGATGTTAATGAGATCAATGATTGGGTCAAACAGCAGACGGGCGGCAAGGTCGACCGCTTCATGTCCAAGCCCCTGGGACGGAACTCTGGTGTGGTCCCTCTCGGCGCCGCCTACTTCAAAGGTAAGGACAGTCTGTCTGCGGTTCAATTCTCAACCCTTATCCCCAAAGTGTGCACTCGTTTATGGGGCACTGTTTGTAAAATGCTGTGTGTGTGTAGGGAAGTGGATAACTCGGTTCAGTCAGAGTGGAGCGATGGAGGACTTCCAGCTTGATGGAGAGGTGTCCGCCCGCATTCCCATGATGCAACAGGACAATTACCCAGTGAAGATGGGAGTCGACCCAGACCTTGGCTGCACAGTGAGTACAGATGCAGTATATGCAGAAATTGAATTTTTTTCAATGGTTATTACTTTCTTAAACAGCCAGTTCTGAAAGTTTGCATCAGGGAAAACATCTATTGATCCCCTCCTTCCCTCTCCCTTTCTCTCCAGATTGCTCAGATCCAGATGCAGGATGACGTCAGCATGTTTGTGTTCCTTCCTGATGATGTCACTCAGAACATGACCCTGGTGGAGGAGAGCCTGACGGCTGAGTTTGTTCAGGACCTCTCCATGACTCTTCATCCCGTGCAGGCGGCCCTTACACTACCTGTCCTAAAATTCAGCTACTCCACTGACCTCTTGCCACTGCTCACTGACCTGGGTGAGTGCCTGCACCTCTCTCCCTCTCTCTTCATCTTGCTCTCCTGTCTTCACATCTCTCACATCCTCTCTCTCCATCTCTCCAGGTCTCGACGAATTTCTGGCAGACACGGACCTGACTAGGATCACGTCTCAGACGGCGAAGCTTGGCAGCCTCAATCATAAGGTTGTCATGGAGATGGCCCCAGAGGGCACCCAGTATGCCAGCTCCAGCCACGTCCACACGCCCCTGTCGTACCGCGTGGACCGCCCCTTCCTGTTCCTGGTGAGGGATGAGGCCTCAGGGGCGCTGCTCTTCATTGGCAGGGTGGTGAACCCACGCAAACTGAGGATATAAGCGCGCACACACAAACACTTGCTTTACTATCATTGTGGGGACCAAAAAATATAATCCTCTTTTCCCTAACACCTAACTCTAACCTTAAACCTAACTTTAACCCCTAACCCTAATTCTAACCCTAATTGTAACCCTAAGCCTAAAATAGCCTTTTTTCTCGTGGGGACCTTTTTCCTTGTTTTACTATCCTTCTGAGGACTTATTGTCCCCACTAGGATAGTAAAACACACACACGTTTGTTTTACTATCCTTGTGGGGACCAAACAATTAATTCTCATTCAAAATCCTTTTTTCCCTAACCCCTTACCCTAAGCCTAACCCCTAACCCTAATTGTAACCTTAACCCTAAAAGGCCTAAAATAGCCTTTTTCCTTGTGAGAATTTTCCTTGCTTTACTATCCTTGCGAGGACTTCTGGTCCCCACAAGGATAGTTAAAACACACACACACACACACACACATACACACAGGAGGTCCTAGGAGAGGATCAGCTTTCGTTAAGCTAAAGCTTCTTTGTCTCATAAATGCACAGTATGAGACAAGCGGCTAGATTCAGCTGTGGATCAGATAATACAGTTTGTTAATCATGTACGAATACCATGTATACCAGTCAGGCCAATAGTCTAAACACTCACTGATATTCCTTGAAGTCTCAAGTTGTTTCAGGAAAAGGAATTTGCAAAAGTACAGCTCTCATGATGTTGAAACCAATAGCCATATCATGTTTATCTGACTGACATGCTTCTAAGAGGCACAGACAATACCTTATGCTTTAACCAAAGAAACTACTCTTCACATTATTGTGTATTGAGATGCAAGAAATAAACATTTAAGTTTTAAGTCTGTCTGTCTGACTGTCTGTGTCTGTCTGACTCCAGTGAGGGAGTTGGATAACTTTATCCAGTTGACAAACTGTAGCTGTTTTCAGTAAAGGTTGGGTTGATTTGGCAAGACATTTGACTCTTGGATGTTCTTTCCTTAGTAATTGTGCTGGGAAACAAAATTACAGTACTGACACACACATACTTTTCTCATTCTTCTATGCACTTCAGTCTCTTTCAAATTAAACATAGCTGAGGAGTGTGTGTGTGTGTGTAGTGTGTTTGTGTCGAGCCAAGACTGTATTTCGAAATTATTCTGATGAATTTTCCACATTTGGGAAGTGATTCCTGTGGCCATGGAAACCCTTCCCAGAACAACACAACCAAAGTAATGCCTGGAAAACAAATCTCTCTCTCTCAATTCAATTTCAACTTAAGGGGCTTTATTGGCATGGGAAACATTTGTTTACATTGCCAAGGCAAGTGAAATAGATAATAAACAAAAGTGAAATAAACAATACAAAATTAACAGTAAACATTACACTCACAAAAGTTCCAAAATAATAAAGACATTTCAAGTGTCATATTATGTCTATATACAGTGTTATGATGTGCAAATAGTTAAAGTACAAAAGGGAAAATAAATAATCATGAATATAGGTTTTATTTACAATGGTGTTTGTTCTTCACTGGTTGCCCTTTTCTTGTGGCAACAGGTCACAAATTGTGCTGTTGTGATTGCACACAGTGGTATTTCACCCAATAGATATGGGTGTTTATCAGAATTCTCTCTCTCAAAATGCTCTCTCTCTCTCTCTCTCTCTCTCTCTCTCTCTCTTCTCTCTTTCTCTCTCTCTCTCTCTCTCTCTCTCTCTCTCTCTCTCTCTCTCTCTCTCTCTCTCTCTCTCTCTCTCTCGCTCAATTCAATTTCAATTTCAATTCAATTTAAGGGCTTTATTGGAATGGGAAACATATGTTAACATTGCCAAATCAAGTGAAGTAGATAGTAAACAAAAGTGAAATAAACAATAAATAGTAACAGTAAACATTACACTCAGAAGTTCCAAAAGAATAAAGACATTTTAAGTGTCATATTATGTCTATATACAGTGTTATGATGTGCAAATATTTAAAGTACAAAAGGGAAAATAAATAATCATGAATATAGGTTTTATTTACAATGGTGTTTGTTCTTCACTGGTTGCCCTTTTCTTGTGGCAACAGGTCACAAATGGTGCTGTTGTGATCGCACACAGTGGTATTTCACCCAATAGATATGGGGTGTTTATAAGAATGCTCTCTCTCAAAAGGTATCGCTCTCCGCTCTATCATCTATATATAGAGCGCTCTATCGATCTATCGCTCTCTCTCTCTCGCTCTTCTCTTTCTATATCTCTCTATCCTCTCTCCTCTTGCGAGATCGCTCTCTCTCGCGATTATCTCTGTCTATCTCTCTCCTCTCTCTTCTCTCTCTCTCTCTCTCTCTCGCTCAATTCAATTTCAATTTCAATTCAATTTAAGGGCTTTATTGGAATGGGAAACGTATGTTAACATTGCCAAATCAAGTGAAGTAGATAGTAAACAAAAGTGAAATAAACAATAAATAGTAACAGTAAACAATACACTCAGAAGTTCCAAAAGAATAAAGACATTTCAAATGTCATATTATGTATATATACAGTGTTGTAACAATGTGCAAATAGTTAAAGTACAAATGGGAAAATAAATAAACATAAATATGGGTTGTATTTACAATGGTGTTTGTTCTTCACTGGTTGCCCTTTTCTTGTGAACAGGTCACAAATCTTGCAGCTGTGATGGCACACTGTGGTTTTTCACCCAGTAGATAAGGGAGTTTATCAAAATTGGGTTTGTTTTCGAATTCTTTGTGGATCGCTGTAATCTCTCTCTCTCGTGGCCACTAGAGGGCGCCCTTTATCAGGGATAACACAGGAGGCTCTGAGGAGAGATACTGTAATACTGAAACGGATAGGAGAGATGATACTGATGATATTGGTACTGATTGATATAGCGCACATCCTTGTATGTTTTACTTCTCATGGGTTTTATTTGTATATATCTGACCTAGTATTGATTCCGTGCTCTTTAAGATCTTATTCTGGATATTCTATTTTTCTTACCTTTGATATTACTGCATTGTTGAGGAAGATATTTTAAGTAAGCCTTTCGCTCTACTGTTTACACCTGTTCTATCCTGGGCAAGCGACAAATATACTTTGATTTTAAGCAGAGAGAGGATGGGAAGAGATGACAGGAGGAATCAAGGAGAAACTATTGAGAAAGAGTCATTCATTTAAAGAGGCAGTGCAGTCAAAAACGTGATTTTCCTGTGTTTTATATATATTTCCACACTGTGAGGTTGGAATAATACTGTGAAATTGTGAAAATTATGTTAGTGCACTGTTTGAAAAGACCGCCTGAAACTTCAGCTTGTTTGGCTGCATATTTTTTTTGGTAACCAATACATCAGATAATGATAGGCTCACCGTTCAGTCATTTTAACTGCCATTTAATCCAAAAGCAAAAAATACAAGATACACATTTCAAAACTGTTATTTTTGAAGTGCTAAATACAAAGAATAGTAGATGGTCAATATAATTTTCCATACAGTATTTTACTATAACTCGCACAATTTTTTAAAATAATTTGTTTCTAATGGCAGGTTGTGAGCATGTTGAGAAATATGCCAGTCTTACAGTTTCATTATCCTTATACAGTACATGCTGTACGTTGGACAAATCATCAGAAATAGAGGTATTGTAATGCAGTTGGATACTGTAAAAACGTAGTACAGTGTTGTATGCCATTTCTGTCCCATGCAACATTGTACAAGATCACTTTTTTTTTAACGTGCCTTGTCAACTGATACAGTAGTGACTGCCTGTCTGCTTACAGTGTATTAATGAAATTCAGATAATGAGTGGAATATACTGTTATATATAACCCAGGTAGTTCAACAGCGCATTGTACTCTGCACTATAATTCCAAATGGTAGCACATAGTGTCCTATTGAAGCACACTGGCTGATGGAGAATGATGTAGTATTTACAGCCACATCCATGATTAGATTTAACCTTCCAACATAAATTGATGTCAAATCGATACATTTGTGAGGTAAAAATATAGAAAATGAAAATCTAACCACTTGTATTCATAATTATATTGTTGTTTGTAAATTACAACTTTAGACTACTACATTACTACCTAAAGTCCCTTCAGAAAGTATTCATACACCTTGATTTATTGCACATGTTGTGCTACACATGTTGTGTTTGAATTCAAAATGGATTCAATTTATTTTTTCCGCTCACCCATCTACACACAATACCCCATAATGACAAAGTGAAAACATGTATAATAAAAAAAACATTTGCAAATGTATTGAAAATGAAATACAAAAATATTACATTTACATATAGTGGGGGAAAAAAGTATTTAGTCAGCCACCAATTGTGCAAGTTCTCCCACTTAAAAAGATGAGAGAGGCCTGTAATTTTCATCATAGGTACACGTCAACTATGACAAACAAAATGAGGAAAAAAAATCCAGAAAATCACATTGTAGGATTTTTAATGAATTTATTTGCAAATTATGGTGGAAAATAAGTATTTGGTCAATAACAAAAGTTTCTCAATACTTTGTTATATACCCTTTGTTGGCAATGACACAGGTCAAAAGTTCTGTAAGTCTTCACAAGGTTTTCACACACTGTTGCTGGTATTTTGGCCCATTCCTCCATGCAGATCTCCTCTTGAGCAGTGATGTTTTGGGGCTGTCGATGGGCAACACAGACTTTCAACTCCCTCCAAAGATTTTCTATGGGGTTGAGATCTGGAGACTGGCTAGGCCACTCCAGGACCTTGAAATGCTTCTTATGAAGCCACTCCTTCGTTGCCCGGGCGGTGTGTTTGGGATCATTGTCATGCTGAAAGACCCAGCCACGTTTCATCTTCAATGCCCTTGCTGATGGAAGGAGGTTTTCACTCAAAATCTCACGATACATGACCCCATTCATTCTTTCCTTTACACAGATCAGTCATCCTGGTCCCTTTGCAGAAAAACAGCCCCAAAGCATGATGTTTCCACCCCCATGCTTCACAGTAGGTATGGTGTTCTTTGGATGCAACTCAGCATTCTTTGTCCTCCAAACACGACGAG